AATGGCCGAACAGGGACTTGGTGGTCAGGATTGTAAGGAAACGTCTGGGAGTAGTGGTTGTAGTACTGCGGCTACGCCACACGTTCGGCTCTGTAGCAACTGCAAGAAGCCTGGCCATAATGCACGAACTTGTCAGGTAGTTGCAAGGACGTCTGATGAAAGCGAGTCTGAGTAGTTTCAATTAATTAGAGGTATTGTGGTTGAATTGACTTATACAAAGCAATGCAGGTGCAAGAAAAGTGCGCAACTCGTTATGCTGCGCAACTCGTTATGCAAGTACGTTATACAAAAAACTAACATCCAAGGACAGAGTAACCTGCATCTCGAGCAATGCTGTACTTCTAGGAAAACGAATATAAACGTTAGATTCGCCTTGAAGAGGCAGTTCGAATGATACCTTTTTTGATAGGTTGCATCCTTTTGCTCTAGAGTTCTTGGTGAAAGCTGCCAAATCTTGGTGCGAACCTTGTATTCTTGCAAGAGTCGCAAGACTTCGAGATGCAGGCAAGAACACAAGATTCGCACCAAGACTCAGCAACTTTCACCAGGAATTGGGATGCAACCTACTAAAATAGGTATCATTCGAACCGCCTTCTCAAGGTAGATCTAATAGTGATCTTTGTTTTCCCAGAAGTACAGTGTTGCTAGCGATGCAGCTGAAAACGCTTCTCGAGGGCACTCTGAATGTTAGTCTTTGTATGGGAATTCTATACATTGCGCTAACTGTCCCTGGATTTTGTCCTGTCCCTGAATTTTGTAGCCAACTGTCTTGACAGTGGCCCCTTAATGGAAGAAGCTCGGGCCAACGGGTAGACTGTAAGGCTGAGTAATGGCAAGCGCAGCTACATCAAGCCGACCTCCTAGTTACAAGTTGGACCTGTTCCCCAGGAAAGGTTGAACAATGGCTTCGAGGATAGACATCAAATATCTCGATACGAGGGGGGAGCGCAGTTAAGAAAAATGGGCCACGTCGGACACCGAAAAATAAAAAACAGTGGTCATGGCGATTCATGAGACTTATGACGGTCTGAGACGGAATGAAAATCTCAAGACTTGGACGAAAGGGGCATTGGCGGAGAAGCCAATTGCCAAGAGGAACCCACGTTCTGATCAGCAATCTAGTTGTGCTAATGTCTCTGGCTTCTAGGTCTGACGCATCGGCCATCTGCGTCCCTTGAAACCGGGCTTAGGTTTCTTGCTGACCAATTCTGCTTCCTGGCTGATTGAGGTCAGTTTTCGGCCGCAGAATCTCGCCAGTTGATGACATTGTTGAATCGAGGACAGCAGAAGCGCGCAACGTTTGTCCTGCACAATTGGATCAGCGGCCGCCAACACCCCGGCAGTGCCCGGGTATGAACTGGGCGTCAGGCCCCTGCCACCTCGCTTGAGCTTGGACCTGTTTTAACTTTTAATACCATAGCCAGACGGGAGAAGCTTCATGGAAAGATTATGGAAGCTTTCGACAACCTCATTGATGTACACTAGATGTATCATGTATGTCGCTCCCTTTAGGCTTCAGGTGTGCCGGCGGAGAGTACTACGTCGTCTAAATGATGGTAATTCCACACGTAGTGGTAGAAGGCTCGATCCAAATGTGACAAACCCATCATTCACCTAACATTTACCGTACCTAGGTGTGTACAGTACAATACCTAACGTACTCCGTACAGTACACGACCTCAACACCCTCCCTCGCGGCTTGACTTCCAGTGATACATATGTACTATGTTAGAGGCTGTATTGGAGCAGTGCACTACCTACTGTGGTGTACCCATGCTTCCAATCAGAAGGGCAGAAGCGAGCCCTGTTTTTCTTCCGCACATTTGCAGCAAATCCTCTTGTTTTTCTATCTTGCATTGGCTTGGCTCGCTTGGCTACAGAGACAACGTCGTTATTCAAGTGTTAGGAGCCAGGCTCCACCTCCTTTTCAAACCTCCCTCGCCCAAAGCCCCACCAGACTGGGGGCACCTGCATCCATTGCTTCTGGAAGGATTCTGGAAGCTTTCCGTAAGCAGTGCCGCTCAGCTGCTCCCGGCAGCCCACTTGGACTGAGCGCCAGGGGCATTTTTCATGCACCGGCCATATCGGCGACTCCACGCACCCAACCAGACGTCAGCCTCGAAACTTCAGAGACCCTCAGGACCAGCTTTCTCAATTTCTCTAACATGCGCTAATCTCGTGTCGTGGGGCTCCTCCTAATGTACTGTACTTCGCATCATTGTTGCCCTTTTGGAGCAGCTCGAGGTGCTGGTTCTGGCAACAGATTTCCCTTGATCATGTCAAAGCTATTTCCGTCTACACGGGCAACTTCAGGCACAGACCGGGTACAAACTAATCTACGATGTTGCCGGGCTTGTGGGCGTATGGAGTATATACCCCGGCATGCGGAGGGTTGCACGAAGCAGTGGAGGAATTGAACCTGTATGTAGTTACTTACCGTGATGTGGACACTTCAAAGGACAAGCGGCTATCCAAAGATTTTGATCAGCGGGATGCTGGCCGGAAGGGCAAGATAGGTACTGTATGTACAGTACATAAAACACACAGTAGCCATCGCCTCCAACCGTCCCAAGCTCAGTTGGCAAGCACTGGTTGCGTAATTCTACGACTACAACGACGGGATGACAGATTGCCTCCGGAGACTTGTCCGGAAGTTGCGCCAAGTGCTGCATATTGTTCTGCAGCTGCGCGTGCCTGTTGGTTGCAGCTTTGCCCCCTCGATGAATTCGAACCACCCGCCGGCTGATGACCGAGATTTAGCCAGGTTGAGCAATGTTTATAGACTGGCTGATACCTCCTCTCGGCCACCATTACCTCCCTGAATTGCCAAGTAAAGCTCTGCTCAACTAGATGGCAAATGACTTATTAGGTGCACCACCCGTGGCAGCGGTGAATTTTTTCCAAATCTCGGATTGGGCCGAGACGTGTAGAATACCAGCTTATACAAGCAAGCTCGCAAAGAACAAGCTAGCAATGGAACTGATAGAGGATGTATTCGGTGGTTCAGAGAACAATCCTTTGTATGTATGTACAAGCGAAGCATCATTTTGATGTGGTCCAGGCTCAGCAGCGTATTCTGCGCAAGAATGGCGGGCAACCTGAAGGATGACACGCCTCACGAAAGACACAAAACCCTATCAGCAAATTATAAGCTCTTTAGCGTGTTTCCCATGAATACCTTGGTTTAGCGCAGCGGCGTCTGCTAAGCGCAAGTATCCATACTTTTATGCGCAAAGTTACATCCATATCAGCTTACGTTACTTCGTACTGTAATTATCGCGTTAGGCCGTTACTTACAGCCTGGAGTAGGTGCAATGTGGATCCACCCGCGTCGGAGTGCCCACGCTCTGCCACGGCAGCTCCCTGCTTGTTTCAACTGGGCCCTGCACCTTTGCCCCCAGTACGGCTTTCACTCCCCAAGCTGGACATCCCAATTCATCTAAATCCTCCTCGTGCCGAGCCACGTTATTTTTCTTTTGCTATTATTTTTTGACCATCCTCCCGAACAAAACACCAGCCAGGGCTTCCGCGGTTTGTTCCCATCGATCGCGTTCCAGCTCTTCACTTACATCGCGTCCCGGATTTGGGTCGCGATCTATGATCCCTCTCGTTTGTCCATCACCGTTCGGCTCTCGACGACATCTGCATCGGAAGCACATCCTGGACTGTATCGAATAAACGGTACGTAGCCCCGAACACCCGGATCCCAAGAACACCAGTGCTTTTGGGGGACGTGCTGCCCGTCAATTCTACCTGGTCAAACATACCTATGCGCCCTTGCTTGACTACCGTCTGTTTACGCCGAGGTCGGTTGAATGGGGAGCTTCGGTCGCATTTGCTTTCCTTACATACTCCCTTTGTCGGCCGCTGGTTTGCACACACCGCCGCCTTCCGGCAGTTCCCCCATCTGCGTATGGCAAGCACTTGGATATAGTCGCCGGGCCCATGCGCCCAGCGAGATCGTTCGCGTCAACGGAGGCAAACGACCGCGCCTCACGCGCTTGATCAATCTAGGGTGACGCGCTGTTGCTCTCCCGAAGCATGGCCAGCTCAATTATTCTCCCCCTAACCAATCCACCATGTAGTTCATGTTCCACCGTCAGATCATGCGATAAGCTAACGAGTACCCCGGTTTTTCAGGCGTGACCCCAGTGTTAGAGTTGGCTTTCTCATCGACCCCGACGTAGCGAACGTACCGGCCGACGATTGAGCGACAACAGGAAGCAGATTGATGAGCAGCGAGGCCTAACATTTCTGCGCACCTCAATAGCAGGGTCGCTGCGCCTGGTCTAAGAACAGCGAGCAGTCATCGTTGGGGCTGCTTTGGAAGTAGAGTGTGAAGCACCGGTCCTCCTCAGCCTCTGAGTGCCATAGACACGCAACTGCACCCACGTCTATTCGGTGTGCAATACAAAGTATCCTTGTTGTCGGCAGGCCCAACAGCTGCATCAACACAACTGTCAGAGACCCACACAACAGCTAAGAGGTGGATCCCATTTTCACAGGGCGGCCGGAGGTCGCTGCGATCCAAAGTTTCTTTTCCATTGAAGGGTCAGCAAATTTCGCAACCTCCCCTGCCACAAAAAAACCTTACCTCGCAGCAAGACAATCCATTCTCTCGTGCGCTGCATCCGAAAAGTAGAGTACGAACCCCGCCGTGGCTTTGGCCAAGATCGACGTCGTCAACTTAAAGGGTCGCATTGTGGCCAAGGCGTCGCGTGCATTCAGCAATTCAACATCCTGCCCTTGAGCACAGGAGCCCACGTGAACCGTGCACGACTCACGACAACGCCTTTACAACGGTTTTCAAGAAGCCCAGAGACTGAGGTGTTGGCCTCAAGAACTCTATCCCCGAGCAGTATCTGGCGTCTCAAGTTGCTCCTTCTGAGGATTTTGGGCCTCTTTATACCTAAGGTGAGAATTTTTCACTCCTGTGAACCCCGCACCACTTCTCAATCTTTCTACCCTTCGCTCGTGTCTTTCATCATCAAAAACATCACGGCAAGCCCGAGCTGGGTTTTCTAGTTCACTCAAGTCGATCGCCCCCATCCACTATTACAACCCACGGCCTGTTGTTTGCCAAGTTGCAGCTGCCCTTCGATTACCCTTTGACTAGTTCTTCCTCAGCTCATTCCGAACCCCTCACCGCCAAAACTTTCGACGACCGGTTCGCTCACTCATCACTGTCTTTTAGTGGCGTATCCTGGTTTCTTAGTATAGGCCATCGGGGAGGTTCGCAATGTCACAGTCACCGTCTTCGGCCGGTGCTATGGGTATTGGGAATGTGCTCAACACCAAGGGGAACGCTTCCAGTGCACAAGCCCTGCAACCAGGTGCAACGCCCGACCAACAGGCACCCGCTGCTCCACCTCATCCCCTGCTCCCAGTCGATCGGCCGAACTCCCCTCACGGCTCTGAGCATTCAAGATACTCCGGCCCGATGAACACGTCGTACCCTTCCCCCACTGCCATGGGCGCAGCGCCGTTACCGCCGGTGCCTAGTGCTAATATGGCGCCCGCCCCGATGGGTATGCCTGGCATGGCACCGAATGCCATGACTGGGATGCCCCCAGGAAGCTATAAGGTTGAAGCACCGTCTCAGGCACCGGCTCAGGCTCCCCTCAAGGCTTACCCTTGCAGCACCTGCGGGAAACCTTTTGCCAGACGGAGTGATCTTGCGCGCCATGGTACGCCCCAACATGCTCTCTTCCTGTTGTTCCGTTGTTAACCGCTTAATAGAGCGCATCCATAGCGGCATCCGACCTCATGTTTGTGATTACCCAGGCTGTGGCAAGCAGTTCATCCAACGGTCCGCTCTCACGGTCCACCAACGTGTGCATACAGGCGAAAAGCCCCACCGGTGTGAGCGCTGTGGCAAGGTGAGTGTTAAAATTCCGGAGGTTCAGATCATAACATACTAACCGCCATGCATAGCCCTTCAGTGACAGCAGCTCTTTAGCGCGGCATCGCAGGATCCACTCAGGCAAGCGGCCATACAAATGCCCTTATGCAGACTGCCAAAAAACCTTCACGCGCCGCACGACACTCACTAGACACCAAAACCACCATGTGGGCACAGTTGAGGATTCGGCGCGGGCGCGGGCCGAAGCCTTGGCCCAGGGTGCGAGTGCTGCTGCTGCGGCGGCGGCGGCGGCGGCAGCAGTCGCGAGAACCAAGTCGCAGTCGGAGAGTGAGCAGGCGTCGAATCCTGCATCTCCCCTTTCGAACCCATCTCCCGCCCAACGCACCATGTCCATGTCGCCGGGTGCAGAGCTAGCCAACATGAATAACATGCAGTATCTGAGCAACAATTCCATTCCGGCGCACCTACGGACTGATGTCCACGTTGGCAGCCCAGCATCCACTGCGTCATCAGGCTACAACAACGGCGTCCGTCCAACGTCCCATCCTTCCGGCTATGTCCCGCCCCAGACACTCGAACCCAATTTGGAGCAGCACCAACAGGGTCCCGGTAGCGCGGCTGGGAGTCCGCACATCGGTAGTGTCGGATGGGCCTCGCCCGGCCCTGTCGGCTCCCCAGCTCAAAGCCCAAACGGCAACGGATACGTGTATCCTGACCCCGAGTCATACCCGACAGGCACCCCCATGGGACAGATGTTTTACAACAGTGCCGCGGCAATCAGACGGCCTGGCAGCGCAGAGCCGGGCAATTCGAATCAGCAGAGAGAACTCTGGGCAAATGCTCAGTAAAGATATTCAAGCAGGATTGTGATACCTGCCAGGCCGTTGTTGCAGAGATGGGTTTGTCTCAATTTCAGTGATTTTCTGGGGATATTAATAGTTGCAGTCGCTCCTCGCTGGTGGAAAACACCACATCATGGGCACAAGCAACAAAAGAGTTAATCTACATGACAAGGCCGGGGAAAAGTGGCTTCCTTGCGTGTTGGGTTCATTTTATAATAAAGACGGTCTGGACCGGCGTGGACTTACATTAATGACATCGGGGCTTCCGGGCTTTGCACGCGGCAGCGGGTCAGTGGCATGGCGGCGCCCTGGTTTTCTTCCTTTCACCCTCCTCTCTAGGGCTGGAGCAACTTATGCACGTTGCCCGTCCCTTCTCTCTTGTCAGTTCTACTTGTTTTCTATCATTGGCACTTCGAACCGACTATCTATCTAGACTGGACCGGATGGGCTGGGCTGGGCTGGCTTGGTTGGCTGGGGAAAAGGGCATTGACATGGGTGGTTTCCTTTGTGCCTGGGTTTGTGTTGTGGTTTGGGGCTCAGAGTATTCTTTCGCTATATGCGTTCTGAGGCGGGAAGACTATCCATTCTGTAGTGTAGCGCAATTACCATGGTTTTACTGCGTCTCTGCTTATTTTCTTTCTTCTCCGGCTTGGTCTAATCCTGTTGTTGAAGGATAGATGACCAATGCTGGGGAGGGAAAGCATGCAGGAATGGACAGGATGGGTTCCTCGCTGGAGGAGGGGATAGGTGGATTAAGGTCCAGACGCTCAGTGTCATATATCACTGAGGACAGAGAGGTTAGCTGTGGTGTTTCAGGCACCTGGGGGAGCAGTTTGCTTGGTGGCTTGGCTCCTCTGTGTCAGTCCGGACTGGCTGGCCTGTTTTCGACTGCTTAGTCCCGGGTGTGGTGCCTAAGCACTCTGCTACATTATGCTAACAAGCCCGCTTGTTGAGATAAAGCCTGTCTCGATTGCTTTTTTGTGTTATGTTGTGCTGCATGTGTGTGTTTTCCGCGCATGGGGCCCTAGTTGTTCACAGTTGACACCCCCTTTATTCCGTTCCTTCGCTAGAAGTATGGATCTGGCTGTGGAAACCGTCTATGGCTGGAAAGAGAGACAGAATGATGGAAATACGAGCCACGTTAGCCATTGTCAATGTGAAAGGCGATAGGGGTGGGCAGGCTGATGACGAGCACAGAGAGCAGAAGACAAAGACACCATAGACCGGACAGGGGATAGCAAAGTAGCGGGAGCAATGAAGAATACTAAGCGGATGCCTTGATTCTCCAAGCTCCCTGAAGGGGTCCCCGACGACATAAAATAGGGGTGGCCGGGTCGACGCTAAAGACTAAGGTATACCTAGCTCTTTTAATGCAGAATGCCTCGATAGCACTTCACCAACAGCCAAATCTTCAAGTTTATCCAACTCTCAGCGCTACATGGCAACCCAAGGAGAAGCCTGGGAATGAAGACAACGCCTTTGTTAAGTATTAAGGACAACGCTCCACATCAAACACCACATATTGTACATATTCAATCGCGCCTAAGCCAAATCCGCCTCCGTTTTTGCTTTGATATTCGCAGACACGAAGCCGCCAACCAAAAAAACGTATCAATAGTGTACTGTACAATTCCGGGAGTAACAGAGCCGAGAGAGCACAGGGCACAGGGGAAAGGGGAAGCAGGAAGAAACAAGGAAAAGCCCGCCAGGGCGTGATGTGCTGCATGTCGAAAATGGGCCTTAAATCAAGATCGGAAACCCGGAATCGAAGGTTTGCCGGATAGAGCATCAGCCGGACTTGCCCAGAAGGCAAGGGCGATAATAACATAGAGACCGAGGAGCTGTACAACAGCAGGAAACGGTTAGCTAGTTGCATCTTGAAGCTATTACGCAAGAGAACAGTGAATGACTAAGAACATACCATTGCTCCTTCGAGGTAGTTGGATTTGCCGTCTTGGACAGTGTAGATGACGACAAACACTGAGAGGGCAAAGGCAACAGTTTCGACTTGACACAGCGTCAGCAAAGGTTCACTGAGACAAACATGGCATAGTAGAAGCAAGAGAACTTACAAGCTCCAAAGTGAAGGGTCATGGGCTGGCCAATGGCCCAGCCCAGCATTACCAGAGCGGGCGTGACAAGGAGCGCGATCTGGATGCTCGAGCCAATGGCGACCCCCATGGCCAGGTCCATCTTGTTTTTGACGGCTACCACGCAGGCCGTCACGTGCTCGGCCGCGTTTCCGACAATGGGAATCAAAATCAGACCGATAAAAGTCTTGCTGATCTTGCCTGACGCTACTATGGCGTCGATGCTGTCGACCATGTAGTCGGCGCATACCGAGATGATCAGCGTCACCACCACGAGCACAAGCGCAGCCGACCAAGGGCCAAGCACCGGCTCGTGCTCCTCCTCGCCGCTGCCCCCTTCGCTCTGCGCCTCGGGCTCGAACAGCTTCTTGTGCGTCCGCAGGGCGAAATACAGGTATAGGCAGTACAAAAAGAGCAGGATGATGGCGGTGCCGCGCGACAGAACCAGGATGCTAGCCTGCTTATGGTCTTCGGACTGCTCCAGGACGCCATAGAGTGCGGCAGGGAGAATCAGCGAAGCCGACGAGAGCGCCATGAGCGAGCATGTCGTCTGCGCGGTTCCCTGAGAGAAGCTCTGTTCTGTGCCGTTACCTTGGGCGTCGCGCATGTTGTACACTCCGCCGAGAAGGAAGCACATGCCCATAACGAGCAGAAGATTGGAGAGGATCGACCCTAGCATGGAGGCCTGTACGACCTCGATTTCGCCGGCGCGAAGAGCAACAACGCTGACGATCAGCTCGACAGCATTCCCGAATGTGGCGTTCACCAGACCTCCAAGGGTCTCGCCCAACCGGTGGGCAATTTCCTCTGTCGCAAACGAGAGGACGGCGGCCAGCGGGATGATGGCAAGGAAGTTCAGCGTAAACACCCAGGCGGCACTCCATTTCAGCATGCCAGCAATGATACCAAAGGGGACGAAGATGAGAAGGATGTTAATCCAAGCTGCGATATCATGTCAGTCGCCGCGGAGGACATTGATCATCACTCATCGATGGGCACATACAGCTGAGCAAAGTGACCTTGGTCACGTTCCAGAGGTAGGCCGGCCACCGGACAAGCGGATTCGGACTGTCAGTGCCGGGACTGCTGCGGGGGTTAAGGAGGAGGTGCCGCCAAAACCCCGAGCTGTGGTGAGAAGAGATGCGGTGGCCCAGCAGCGGCCTCACTTCGGGGTCCATATCGCCGTGATCTGGGCCGAGGTGGCCGGTGGCGTGGCCGTTTATTCCGTTTATTTGACTGCGACCGGTTCCAATCCGGCGGATATGCTGCCGCGCTTTGGTATTGACTGCAGATTGCGTTAAGCCGTTGCCTAAGTCTTCGCCCATGGCTGTACTGGTCCGTGGGGTGTGCAACGGTGTATTTTGATGTGATGGGGAACGGTCATTTCTCAAGTGGTTGGGCTAATGGATAACGTAGGTAGGATAAACAACAATGTTCTCCAAGACGCGGCGGGGCGGTGGTCGCACTGACCGAGATGAGACGTCGCGAGGATCGAAGAACGCGCCGTTGAGAGATAGATTGTCTGTATCGCCGACTGGAGGTGACGAGGGGAAGGCAGGCTACTTACACATATTCGTGACGGTATCTGTGTTATTAAGCCACACTGGGTTAAGGTTGCTTTTAGACAACGATTGGCGGGATAAGACGGTGACTGACTCGATAGAATGGTTGAGGTGCTCGGCCGTGACGGCTAATGAACAAAGCTGGGCTTCCCAATCCGGACAAGCACCTGGCCCGGTCTGCCTGTCATCCGCAATTGTCAGTTGGCATTCTGCAAATAACTTAGCGTTGAGTTTTTAGTTTTAATGAATAATTCCAGTCAAGCGTCCATCAATCGATTTAACATCGGTTGTTGAGTCTTCACAACCTCTGTCAACCTCGACACGGTTCCTTTTCTCCTTCCCCAACAGCACCTCCTCACCAAGCCAACACGGCTTCAGGAGAAGGATCAAGGGTTCGGATCAGCAAGTCCGCTCTCGCATTACCCGCAAACTCACCACAAGTTCCGCGTCACCACACTACTTCCGAGACTTCCTCAGCGGGCTTATTGTTCGAGTCGGGCGGTCTGCACCTTTGTTGTTGGCTGGCAGCGCCAAGCGTGGCTGTGGTTCAATGGAGATGAGGTTGTGTCCACGTTCTCTCTGGGCTTTCTGTTCCAAAGTGCAGTTGGTTACTTGCGCTGATTCAAATAGTTGCTCATCCGCCTGTGCCGTAGATTTGGGCCAAAAGAAATAGACGCCTCTGTTGGTGAAACTTGCGTCGACTTTGCGGTGGCCGTATCCAGGACCTACGGGCGTCTACATACTTGGTTCACGTAGATATGCGCTATGACGAGATGGGACAGGGCATTTGGAGAGTTTCCAGGGTCCATACCCATATGGATAACGACAAGCGGCGATGTTCTTGTTTTTTGGGGTGGAACGACTTGCGTCACGATCTCCCAATCCCATTGCTTCGCTGTTTCGCCGGCGATGGCAACACAAGCCAACGGGCTACGAAGGTACGGAGTACCTCCTTGTATGTTACACACATGGTGCAGTATACTGTACATACCGGTACTCCGTGTGTAGAGTCCGATTTCGCAGAGCTTCGCATTCCCAGGGCGTTGCCCGGACGCCTCTGACCATCTGACGAGACAGCCTGAGCCGCCTGTCAGGCAAACGGCACATTCATGGGCTTGATTCCTCAACAAGAAGTTCGCCCAACCTCAATTCAATTTTTTGCGAAAAATGTGCCTTGGGGGCCAGCAGTATCCAATTGAAGATGCATGCTGCAGGAGATGGTGCTGCCCGAAACATGGGATTCCAGAGACAACGCGGGTAAAGAACGAAAGCGGGGAAAGGAGGCCTCCCAGACATGCCAAGAATCGTCGAGGATTCGTGCGACACGGCAGCTGTGGGGCCTTGTGGTTGCCGTGATCTCGGAGGCTGCCGAAGTAGGCTGAATCGGGCCGGAGGTGGTGATGTCCGATTCACCGAGAAGGCTCCGTCTGGGCGTATTGGATCTTCGGGCCACCTGTGGCGCAGGATCTCAACAGTAAAGAGGGCTTCGATCAATTACTATGTAAGTGATGTGCTCGGTGTTCGAAGCAAAGATTACATACCATGCTGAGTAATAGTTGAAGTAGTCGGAGTAGTCTTGTATGAACGGCGTGAGGAGGCCTATCCGGATGCTTTCATCCCAAAATGTGAGGCTAGAGTCTGTCAGAAGTACCTGTGCATTTGATTGTTGCAATGATAGTGCACTTGTATGTACAACAGAAGTCAGCAAGAGATGAGATGCACAGTAAATGCAGGTACGGATACAATACATATGATTGTCAATAGTGAAAAGAAACAAGTCGCAACCCAAGTCTTTCACTTCGATCTCACCAATACTTTCATTTGATATGAGAAGCAACACTAGGTAGCAACTTGAACAACTTACTGACCAAGCAACTTCGAGGTCAACAAGTGAGGGTGTTTGTACAGTACAATACAGTACATAAGGGGTAAGCTGTGCCAAGTGAAAGTGAATCTTGGACCCACCAACCCTCAAATCAACATCCAGTTCCCGATACCTTAACGCTTTGTATTCACTACAGAAGGCATCACCGGCTCCCGTACATCAACACAGAAGTCAGGGGAAGAGGGGGAAGGAAACAAGGATAGAGTGGAGGGTAAAGTAAAAGCAAAACAAAATAAATAATGGAATAAAGAAGAACAGAAAGCAAGGAAACAAAAAAAATTTGAGCAAACCGCCAACATGGACCGGCACGCAGCCGCCGTCTCCAAGATCGCGTCGGCCGTGCGCGGCTACTTTGAGCGCGGGGAGCCCTACCGCATCTTTCACGGAAGCACCAACAGCACGCGGCCACGGCCTTCTCCTGGCCGCACCGCCGCCGTCGACATCTCGGCCCTGCGCAACGTCATCTCGGTCGACGCGTCGCGCCGCGTCGCCCTCGTCGAGCCCAACGTGCCCATGGACCGCCTCGTTGAGGCGACCCTGCCGCACGGCCTGGTGCCCCCCGTGGTCATGGAGTTTCCCGGCATTACCGCCGGCGGGGGTTATGCCGGCACTGCCGGGGAGAGCAGCTCCTTTCGGCACGGTTTCTTCGACGACACGGTGAGCCGCGTCGAAATGGTGCTCGCCGACGGGGAGGTCGCCGAGGTCATGCCAGAGGGGGAAAGGGCGGATCTGTTCCGGGGCGCGGCGGGCGCGGTCGGGACGTTGGGCGTCACGACCCTGCTCGAGGTGCAGCTGATGCAGGCCAAGAAGTTCGTCAAGACGACGTATCGGAGGACGGGGAGCGTGGCGGAAGCGGTGGAAGCGGTGAGAGAGGAGGTCAGGAGGCCGGAGAATGACTACGTGGATGGGATTTTGTTTTCCAAGGATCACGGGGTCGTCATCACCGGGGAGCTGACGGATGAGAAGCCTGACGGGGTCAGGCCGCAGACGTTCAGCGGCGCGTGGGATCCTTGGTTCTATCTCCACGCCAAGGAGAAGACGGCGACCCCTTCGGCTGAGTCGCCGGTGGATTATGTCCCGCTCGCCGAGTACCTATTTCGATATGACCGTGGCGGCTTCTGGGTGGGTGCTGCGGCGTTCCGGTACTTCAAGCTCGTCCCTTTCACGCGCTTCTTCAGGTGGTTCCTTGACGACTTCCTGCATACCCGTATGATGTACCGCGCGCTGCACGGCTCAGGGGAGAGCGCGCGGTTCCTGGTGCAGGACATAGCCATGCCGTTTGAGACAGCCGAGCCTTTCGTCGACTACACATCTTCCGAGCTCGGCATCTGGCCCCTATGGCTGTGTCCGCTCAAGCGCCGCGGGCCGCCGACCTTTCACCCCTTCACAACCCTGCCAGAGGGCGTTGCCAAGAAGGAGGAGGATATGATGCTCAACATTGGTGTCTGGGGATGGGGCCCGGCTGACCCGGCGCAGTTCGTGCAAAAGAACCGAGAGCTTGAGAACAAAGTGCGCGAGCTCGGCGGCATGAAGTGGCTGTATGCACACACCTACTATCCCCAGGAGGAGTTCTGGCCCATGTACGGCGGGCGGGATTGGTACGACGACTTGCGGCAGAAGTACAAGGCCACCAAGCTTCCGAGCGTGTGGGACAAAGTCCATGTCGACCCTCGAGCAGCTGAGGGAAAGAAGCGCCACTGGCTCAAAAGGCAGTGGCCGATTGGCGGGTTGTACGGCATCTATAAGAGCATTCAAAGCAAAGACTACATGCTGCACCGTCATGCGCAGTGGAAGTACAAAGGGGAGTGATGTGCATCGGCGACGTCTCTCGGCGAGGCCAGGCAGTTTGGTGCAAGTGTAGAGCTCATTGTACTGTTATCCTGTAATCTAGGCTTGGGAAACCTGCCACAATGTAGAATAGGTAGCTACCTTAGTCAAGCGCATCCACGATATAGAATAAAGGAGACTAATGGAAATATATCTTACTTAGCCAGGAAGATATGAATGAGATTGAGAAAGTCAAGTTGGAACTCCCGCCTCCTAAATAGAATACGGCTTGGATATGTATGCCATTGATGATAACGTCTACCTAAGATGATGCCGGACTGTCAGCTGCCACCAGCACTTCTTGCCTAGCTCGCCTAGATCAGGTACCTGATGGCGACGGCTTGCCTTGTCTTGACTACCTACCTTGATTGCGACTGCTTCCATTGCCTTCTTTGAGCCAAGCAACTGTCTGCCAGAGGCAAATGTCCCATTCAATATAGGCAGGAGCGACTCCTAGCCGAGTTAGAACACGCCCAAGACGGGCTGAGAGAAATCTCCTGTCAACTTCACGCCATCGTTGCCAGTTTCCGAGCATGGATCTCACCGCTGCGGTTGTCTCCCTAACTTGGGATGTGTTTGACAGTACTATCCGCAGTAAGTCGCCGGCTGTTCCCATACCCCTTCCTGCTAGGCTTCTGAACCGAGAACATTCCCTCGGAGTGAACTAACAGTTACTTGCCATTTCCAGTGTTCAAGTTCATCACCGCACTGGTTGAAATGCCAAAGGAATGCGAGAAATACCGGGTCCATCTCATCATCGAGTACAACCGTGTCCTTGCCTGGGGAAAGACAGTCGGTCTTCTAGACTCTAGCGGCTCGACCTTGGCAGCCACACTGGGAACCAGCAGCATTGAACTTGTGGCCATTGTGAGCAGGATTCAATGGGTTCTTTCGGAATTCAGAGACCTTAATTCCCGATATGCAAACGAGCTCCCGGTGGAACAGAGCAACAGCAAGCCACCGACAGACATTGACATCCTCAAGAAGATATCCAGCTTGGCTGTATCATACGAGACCGACAGAAAACAGTCCAACCGCCCCCAGAGTACCAAGCATATCCGAGACCTCCTTTTGAAGATTGGCCGCCACACCAAAGAGATTGTTACTCATCCCCTTCGAGTACGTTGGGTGGCAGTCGACAGGGAGGCATTCGAGGCGCTCCTGGTTGACCTCCATGCTCTAACAGGAAGACTCTACGAGCTTACGAAGTTCCACCAGGAGAACCGGATTGCTGACATAACGGCAAAAACTCATCGCGAGATGATTTTGGCCCGCAACGATATCCAGGAGCTCAGGGACATGTTCGAGGCTTTTTCATCCCGGCTGACCACGGCCCCAAGCAGCAGTAAGGCGAGCGAGAACTACGACATGGATAGTATATTTCAAGATCTAGTTCGGCTCAAGAAACTCAGCGTCACCTCAGAAGACATCCTCGCTAGAGTCAAAGGCGACAGCACGTTTGACACCAACAGCAGCTTGCTTGAACTTCAAGTTTCGGTGCGTAAATTCACCGCCACAGACCTTAGCGCCGATTTTGAATGGAACGAACCCGCATTTGAGGAACCCCAGTTTCTCGCTAGACCACGGGGTATCCTGTACGCTGAGGGCGTCACTACCATGGTCTGGATAGAGTGGAAGTCACTCGGTGATGTTGCTCCTGACTCGCTCGAAGACAAGCAATCGACCCTTCGCACGGTAGCCTTGGCTGAGATGCTACATTCTCCCAAACCGGCATCCCTCCACGTACCCGAATGCATAGGGTACTTCGACGATCGCAATGTCTGGGGCACGGAGCGGTTCGGTTGGATATTCAAAATGAACGATGGCAGCGACTGCCACACTCGCGTCATTTCGCTGCATGATATCCTCGGCAACGGCAAGCTCAAGCCGAGCCTGTCGACGCGCATAAAGTTGGCCTTCAAGCTCTGCTCGACGGTTTTGAACCTCCACGCGGTGAATTGGTTGCACAAAGGGATTTTTAGCGACAATGTGGTCTTCCATCTGGATGGTGTTGGTGGTGTAGAAGAACGAAGCAATGTCGTCGCTCTTGAAAGACCCTTGCTAACAGGGTTTGAGTTCTCCCGGCCTGACGGGACACACACAACGGCGAGGGATACGGATGTTACCTGGGATCTGTACCGCTGGCCCGCCATCCAGCGGGAGAAGCTGACGGAGCGAAACTCGAAGAAGACGTATGATCTGTACAGCTTGGGCTTGCTGTTGCTGGAGATCGCCCATTGGGAGAGGCTTGATAGAATCATGCTGCTGGGGAAGAACAAAGACCGCAAGGCAGATACTGATTTAACCGTGCCGCTGGAGGAGTCGAAGGCAGTCCGGGAGTGGCTATTGGGGATCAAAGGGGGCTCGCCGTTCGAGGCAGCGGGCTGGCCAAACCCTCTGGAAGAAGTGCGCAATATTGCGGGCGACAGGTATTGGAAGGCGGTCGAAAGATGCCTCTGGGCGCATGGTGAGAAGGGTTTCGGGGTCGAAGAGTCTTACGATCAATCGAGCCCTCGAGTAGGGATCCTGCTTCAGGAGGCGTTTACCAAGCATGTAGTTGAGGAGCTTGGGTGCATTCATGTTTAGCTGGTAGTCATGGCCGGGAAGTTGTATGGTTAACCAAAGTCTACTAGAGTGGTCAGAGTAGGATTAACTGTCTCAACCCGGTATAGTTTCAGCTTGCCATCATGACGGTGTTACTATTGCTGCGCTGCTATTTCTGCCATTGTTTTACATTTTCAACATGGTTTGTCGATGTCATCCGGCCACTCGATCACAAACTTAAGCAGCAGCCCCTTACCTTACGGATGAATCTCCAGGTTATTCATAACGTCTACACGCTCTGTAATGTACTCTATAGCTAATCCTGCCAGTTAAGCGTACACGATGGGAAAAACCAGAAAACCGAGAACAGAGCAGAACCCTTACCGACTCAGTCCTTGTCTTCCCTCTCACAGCTTGGCAATCCCCACGTCGGTGCTCAAGCCACCGTTCATGTTCCGCAAAAACCTCTCCTCCACGGCCTGCTCATCCTCGGCACAAAGCTCGGCGGGTTCGATCCGCTCCTCCTCCAAAGTCTTGGCTCTGATCCTGACGAACCTGCTCCCGCCCTCGTCGGCGACGCCTTGGGGCCCGGATTCCGCCACGCTCTTGATGAAGCCGGCCCACGCGTCCAGGCAGCGCCTCGTCTCCTTGAGGTAGGGGAGCGCCAGGCCGAAGCAGTGGGGCATGGCCTCGTACTCCTCAAAGACGACGCGCACGCCGTCGCGCCACATGCACCGCGCCGCGTGGCGGTCTTCGTCGGCGAGCAGCTCCCAGCCCGTGCACAGGTAGACCGGGGGCGCGCCGCGCCACGACGGGGCCAGGAGCAGCGTCACCAGAGGGTGGGAGACCAGTGCGTCCGCGACGTAGATGTTCTTGCGGGGCGGGTCCGCGGGCCACGCCGCGCAGCGCGGCCGCTTGAGCGCCGCCTCGTGCTGCTGGGCTGGTGTGGGCAGGTAGTCGAAGGCCGCGTTGGCCGTGCACGAGGGAGATGAGTGCGTCACGTCCAGCCACGGCGAGTTCACGGCCACGCCGCCGGGAAGGGGGATCGGGCGGTGGGAGCCGTCCGGTAAGGGGATGACGTGGTTTGCTCGGGAGAGGTGGAGGATCAGTTGGAGGAGGGCCAGCGCGAGATTACCACCCGCGCTATGTATGGGTGACATGTTAGAAGAAACTGGAACTGGGACTGGGTGAGGTCAAAAGGGGGAGGAGGAAGGAACGTCAACTCACCTGTCGCCGGCGAAGACTATGTGCTCTGGCTTGACTGGTTCGTGGAAGGCTCCCTCGGGCGGATACAATAGCGCGAGATACGACATCAGCGCATCCATCAGGGCCGCGGGAAAGGGGTGTTGCGGCGCGAGGCGGTACCGCACGTTGTACACTCTCCCGCCTGTCAGCTTAGCCAGCTTCTTCACTGTCGGGCGGTGAGTTGCTGGGTCCAAAGAGCAGTAGGCGCCGCCGTGGAAGTAGAGGATCGTCACGGGACTCTTGACGTCCTTCATCATTTCGGTATAGAGCTCCCTCTGCGAAAGCTCTGGCAGGGGTGAGTCGGACGTCGCGCAGGGACGGTACCCAGTCCACTCGCCCTCGATAGGTTCCGGATCGGGCAGCTGGTATGCGGCCTTGGGCGTCTTGGGGTTCCAGATCCCATCGATGGCCTTGGTGATGGCATCCTGTAGGACTCTATCGCCAGCCGGCGGAGGCGGGCATCTGTAGGTGCTCACCCAGATCCTGCCTTTGGGGGGACCGGCGGCGCCAAATAAGTCCATCTTTTGTATCGATGTGATACTCTGGGGCTGAGAAGGGTTCATGTAGGCCCGTAGAACGGCGACGATGAGCTCAGTGCGTAGGTCTACGTACTTAGACTGTTCCGAACGACGTAGGATATAGAAGAGGGCTACCCGTAGCATGAGCGGGACATGAGGGAGTATCATGGATAATCCATTGGGTCCAATGGATGACTTCTCATCGGTTGGTTTCGTGGCGGCTTCTCGAGCCGGATTAGGTTCTTGAGGCGACATTTGGGAGGGTTAACCGGACTCCAGGATGAGGCTTATGAGATGTTCCAAAGGATATATTGCAAGGCTGTTGCAGCAGCAGGCGATATCGCAGTTTAAATTGGATTTTAGAGTTGATGGGACCGATTCGCAGCCTGGACCGTGGAAGCCGGTGATGCCGATACTGGAAGGATAGGAGGAAGCGATTACAACGACGTCTTCGCTAACACATGGACCGCCAAGTGCCAGATCACCCGTGGCAGTGTGACGGTTTGCAGGACCAACAGTCAGTCTGTGGAAATGGGGGAAGGCCCATCCCAAAGATCCATCCAAAAGGGCAAGTGCCTCGGCAGTTGGAAATGATAGCGAACTCACAAGTCCCCCACAGCACTGCAGTCCAGTCCGAGTCAACGAATTAAGCGCCAAAGAGTCCAAGTTAATTCCAATTGGAGTGAGGAATAGATTCGCCACGTACTCACATGGTTATGGGACGAGAGGTTGCATCCTATTCCAGTGTGAAATTGCCCCCAAGACCTGAGTCAAGTAAGGAGGTAGGGAGGTAGGGAGGTAGATATTCAAGTAAACGGTCCTTGTTGGAGCCAACCTGGGAGACTGATACGAAATACGATTCCTACTACCGTAGGTAGATTTGCGGAAATGGGGACAACACTACTTACAGACTAAGGATTCTAGTCAGCTTCTCCAGCATGAGCGCTTCTGCCCAGGTTGGAGTAAGGGTGCAGTGGGTTCAACCTTCTTAGTTATGCACTGTAAGTTGATATTCCGAGTCCTCAGTCTGTGCAGTAGTGTTGTCCCTACAAGTACTTCTACTGTAGGGTCCCACTTTTTGACCGCGGCACATTCACCAACCTGGCCTACCTAGGTGAGTACCTGAGGCGTTTTCACCGAGCGAGCTCTCATGTTCAGGTATGCATTGTGCGTATTTGGCTCCAGATGCCCCAAGGTCCATTCGTACATTCAGTCCCGGAAACCCGCTACACTGTAGAAATACACATTTTTTTACTTGCCATCCCTACACTCCGCGTGTGATGCCCGCCAAATAGACCATAGCCATCATTGACTCAGGAGCTCCCTGTAGCCTCCCCAGCCTCACTGCTCCCAGCATCTGCGCCATTAGCAGCTGGGGAATTGGACGAGGCCGAGCTCTTGGACGCCATCAATTGCCATGCCGGAATCGACGCCTTGCCCTGCATTCCGCTGCCCAACGGCGAGCTGCGGTTGGCATTGGACAAGTAGTCCTGGTATGCCGGCTTCGGCTCCTCCTTCGCCTCGGCGCCGGCGTTCTCTGTCGGCGCTGGAGTGGCGGCAGGGCTAGGTGTGGCGCTTCCGCCGGCGGCCGGCCGCAGGTAGTTGCTAACGCTGGTTGACGTCGCTGTTGGATTCATGCGCTGTGTGATCAGAGTCTTCAGGCTCTTGAGTTCGGAATTGACCTCGCGTAGCCTGGTATCGGTTAGGTCCTTCTGGTTATTGAGCGCCCGAGGGATCGACTCCTTGAGGTTCTGCACGTCGTCGCGCACGCGCTGCGCCTCGTCATCTCGCCGGCGGTTTGCTAATTTGAGATCGTTGATGACCGTCTCAAGCTCATTGAGCGCTGTGTCTAATCTCTCGGTACGTTCTTGCTCGGCCGCCTTTAGGGCCGCAGTGTCTTTTGCCAGTTGGTCGACAAGGGCAAACGCCTTCTCGAACTGCTCGTCGATAGACTTCTTATCTTGCTCCAGCCGCTCGGGCGTAGGGGGTGCAATTAAGGGGTAGACATAGCGCTAATATCCTTGTCAGCTGTATGGCATGCGCGAACAAAGTTCCAAGTCCTTTACCTGTCCTAGTGTGTAGAGCCCGTATGATACACCGCTGACCACGGTGGCCATGATAAACCAGTCTCTCCAGTCCCGCCGCGGAACGGGCTGAGGAGGTGGTTGCCATGCGTATGACGGGTATTGTGACGGATATTGCCCATAGTAGGGCGGTGGTTGCGTAACGGAAGACGATGCGGCCTGTTGAGTGTAGGCTTGCACTGGAGCGCCTTCGGTGCTTGCGCGCGCGAGCGCCGCCTTAACTTCTTCTTGTGTGAGGTTCTTGGCCTGGAGAAAGGCAATCTTCTTCTCGATCGGAGACGCGGCGACACTTGGGTCCTGTAGGACTGGGGATCCAGTGTCAGCTCGCACTTGGACACATCGCCGAGGATAACGCACACTTTGCCGCCGAAGCGACGAGATCCTCGCGGATAGTCATTCTATTTTTGGATACGATTACCGCCGTTCCTTCCTCTCATTTCTAGTGTACGAAGACAATTTCGAATTTCGAATTCCAGCCCCGGTGTGTTGAACAGTGATTCCCGCAAGCAAATACGTGATATCGCGGATGGCAACGATGCGGATAATGGAGGCGGCTGGTCACTGTAACCAAGCCGAGGTTCGAGGCGGCAGTCCGTTCACATCACTTTAGTGCAACGCGTGCCAAGCCTAGCCCCTGCCGTGTCCTCCCCACACCTGGTCAATCTGGGTGCCATGTGTCACGTGTGAAAATCGATGTTTCATTGATGAACACCCACTTTTATTTCCATGTTGATTACCGGTATCCCCGACGCCCTGGCATAGGCCCCGCAGAGTTTGTTTACCTGAGCAACCAGCGCTTGAATTACGCAGTAATTGCACAACGACAGCGCTCTCTACCACTCTTTGAACCGATCTTCTTGACTCCTTTGCTCCAGTTTCATGTGCATTCGATACCCACAGGAACTAGCTGTTATACCAAAGGTAGCTTGTCTATTATGTGTTAGCGCCCCGTCCTGATTTGCGGACGGGCGCAAAAGAGCAACAGTCGGCATATTTGCCATCATGTCGCAAGACACCAGTCTTTGGAGTATTCGAAGACCGAGGGAGGTGCGATTTCCGCGTCGTTCTTTTTGCTTGCAGGCGCAAGTCGCAGCCAAAACATGTGTCGCATTGGATAACTGACTTGCTTAGCAGACCCTAGGAGGACTGAACGTCAACTCGGGCATCCCGCAACCCACCTCCGCCATGAAGCGATCCAGCACCATCGGCAGCGCCAGCCATGGCCGCTCCGTGTCCGGGCCGCGGCATTCACTCGCCATGTCCATGTCACGTCCTAGCCAGCCAATGTTCCAAAGATCCTCAACCGGCGGCAACCTGGCTGATATCGGCCTGTCGTCGGTCAAGCGCACCTCCGTGTCAGCCTACAACACCACTACTACTCCTGCACATCGACCATATCACACCCCCGGCCCGTCTACCGACGCAGATCGCCGTAGCAGCGTATACCGCGCCCGCCCGTCGACGACCCCAGGTCCTATGGGTGGTCATCAGAGCTTCTTCCAACAGGCGCCGCAGGCAGCCGGCGTTCCGCGAGACCCTCGCCCGCTCAAGGACAGGTCGTACCAAAACCGTCTTGGCCAGGAGCTGCTCGAGTACCTGGCGGCACATAACTTTGAGATGGAGATGAACCACAAACTATCCGACAATTTCACGAAGTCGCCGACGCAAAAGGACTTCAACTACCTGTTCCAGTGGCTCTACCATCGCATCGACCCGAGCTACCGCTTTCAGAAGAATATTGAGCAGGAGGTGCCGCCGCTTCTTAAACAGTTACGGTACCCCTACGAGAGGAGCATTACCAAAAGCCAGATTGCTGCGGTGGGAGGCCAGAATTGGAGCACATTTCTCGGACTGTTGCACTGGATGATGCAGCTAGCGCAAATGCTAGAGGGATATGCGTGCAATCAGTACGATGATGCGTGCTTGGAGGCAGGCGTCGATGTCGCGGGTGATAACATCATCTTTGATTTCTTAACGAGCGCCTACCAAGACTGGCTCAACATGGACGACGAGGCTGGGGACGAGGACGTCGAGAAGGTGCTGGCGCCGCATGTCCAATCCATGGCCCGCGCTTTTGAGCAGTCCAACGCAAAATACGTCCAGGAATTGGAGATGCTGGAGGGTGAGCATGCGCGGCTGCTCAAGGAGATAGAAGACCTTGAGAAATCGACCCCCGACCCGGCCGTGCTTGATAGCCATTTCAAGATTATGGAGGAGGATAAGGTCAAGTTTGAGGAGTACAATACGCTGGCTTTGCAGCGTTCAGAAAAGTATGAGGGCCGTATTCAAGTGCTTCAGGAGGAGCTCGACAAGCTGCAAGCCGAGCTCAAGGAGGCCGAGGATGAACGACGACGGCTCCAAAAGGCTGTAGACGACCAAGGGATCAGCATGCAGGATATCGACCGCATGACTTCCGAACGGGAACGTCTTCAGAAGAGCATCGAGTCGGCGGGCCAACGGTTGGAAGACGTCAAGCGGAAGGTGGCTGAGAAGGAAATGGAAGCCAGCCAACGGCTGGACGAACTCGAGCGCATGGTTGACCGGTACAACACGGTGGCGTACCAGATCGGCCTAATACCCTCAACAGCGGTCAATGCAAAGGGGAAGGACTACGAACTCCAGGTCACGGTGAACGAAGGTCCGAACTTTGGCTCGTCGCAACTGCAGGGGTCGTACGGGCAAAGCGTCTCGGAAAGCGACAGGCTCCTGGCTGATCCTGTGACGGGTTATCAGCCGGCGCACATCCTCAACCTGGACCTCCGGGGGCAGGTTAAGAACAGCTTCCTGGCTCTCCGCAAGGAGATCTCGGAACGGCGCAAGGCAGCACTGGACATGATGATGGAGGACCACGACCTGCTGGACCGGGCTAAAGAGGCCATTGAGGACAAGCGCAACGAGGTCGAGGCGCTCGAGCACCGCGTGCGCGCCGCCGAGGCGGAGTACGAGACGACGAAGGAGGTGACGATGGCGCAGAAGCTGGCGTCGGACGCGCAGATTGAAAAGATGGAGAAGGAGCTCGCCAAGATGCGAGCACAGCTGACTGAATCGGTGCAGCTGATGGAGCAGAGGGAGATGAATACCAATATTGAGTAAGTCATGCAATCTGTTGATGTTGAAATGACGACCGGGCTGACTTTGGTTTACAGGTATGAACAACTGACACTCAAGGCGAATGCTCTGCGAGAAGAGTTACACACTGAGACGATGCGGATGCTCAACGACGTCATCAAGTTCAAGATGCACATCCAGAAGAACCTGGAGGATTATGAGAGTTTTGTAGCCGATGAGCTGGAGAAGGAACTGGGTAGTGATGAGATGAGGGATGATACCCAAGCCATGGATATGTAAATGTTTGATACTCTGTATGACTGCACTCTGTTATGTTTAGAATGACGACGGAATGGACCTGATGGATGATTGAGATCACGAGTCTGGTCAATTTGTATGATGGCATCCTGTTCTAACTCGGCCGGTGCATCTACGAGTGAATACCCAGTCAGGCTCGAAGTATTAGTGTTTGGTTTTGTTCTGATCAGTATTCAGTTCCATTGCCTTGTAAGGAGTTGGGTGACTCCCTGAAGCTTGGCAGCTCTGGGCCCCACCATCCCAACCTTAGCTCACCTTGGGACGACGTCTTCACCTACTACTTACACCCATCCAGCTTTTCGGTATTGATTGTTTCCGAGGAGAAAAAGGCACTCATTCCCTTAAGCCAGTTCACTAAACACATCTCCTGGAGCACCATCCTCACAGACCGTCCCCACTTCCTCCGGGTATTGTTGCATACAATACAATACCATACCATACAAATGTCCAACCCCACGCCGACCCCACCACCACCAACATCCTCATCATCAACCACATCATTCCCCTTCCCAAGGGAATACTCCTTCCCGCCCTTCTTCACCCGGCAGACCAACCTCACGACGCACCATGCGCAGCTGGTCAAGTGGGCCGCCCTCGTGGTGGCCTACTGCCGCCACTACCGCATCTTCAAGCTTGCCCTGTCAGGGACCGGCACCGTCGCTACCAACACCACCACTTCTATTACTACTACAGCGGGAGGTGATCAGCAGCAGCAGCAGCGGGACACGACCGAGCTGTTCCACAACCGGCGCATCAACAGACGGCTGAGCCTGGCCGACATCCGGGAGGTGATTGATTTCCTGCGCAAGGACGGGCGCGCCGAGTACGTCAACGGCGGTGGCGGAGGCGGCGGTGATGATGGTGGTGGTGGTGGTGGCATCGGCGGTGGTTGGGAAACGGGGGGTGCCGGGGAGGGAGGGGGCGGCGATCTGGTGTGGATATACTGGCGGACGCCCGAGGAGTGGGCTGCGCTGGTGGAGGCCTGGGTGGAAGCAACCGGCCAGAGGGGCAGTGTGATGACGCTATATGAGCTCGTAGAGGGGGATGCTACGTTGGGGGAGGGTGAGCTTTACCCTTTGCATTACCATCATCTTTCCGTTCTTTTCGACGGCCTATGTTTCCTGATGGGACCATTTGGAGAGAAAGTACTAACGAGTGGCTTGTAGAATTCCATGGGCTGGACCAGGACCTGCTGCTCAAGGCCTTGAATGTGTTGGTCAAGAGGGGCAAAGCGCAGATTTTTGGCCAGGAGGATTCTCGAGGTGTTAAATTCTTCTGATGCCATATCTCGCTAGCAGGCTAAGAGTTCCCTTGGGGGAGAAGGATGGTATAACAGCTAGGGACCTATCTCAATAGCCGGACCCCATACCATACACAGCAAAACATCAAGCAAACACTCGAACAGATGGCGTCCGGGTATCCGCACTAGTAGCCACCCACCACGAACACCAAACTCCGGCCATACGTCAACCTCACGACGACGGTGCTTGAAGCAAATGCTTCGCCGGCTCAAACACAAGCTCTTGCCGCATTGCAACCTCCAAAAGCCAATCCGGCAGAACAATCCGTGGTTCCATATGTCCCTGGCGCGCCATCTCCTCAAAGCGTGGCCACAGCTGCCTTTCTACTGGTGACGACCCTGAAAGCAGATATACGGGATCCGGGTCCGCGCCGCCGTCCTCTTCGGCCGATGTAGGCTTGATGGTGGTGCCGCCCCGGGCCCGGTAAATCTTGAAAATGGCACCGTTGGCCTCGGCAATGGTCTTGAAGGCGTCGACGCCGTTGGGGACGTCTACTGTACAGTATATTGGCACTCCCCAGAGTAGCCGGCCGCGGTTGGCCCGTGCCCGGGACACGGCCTGTTCGATGGTCACACCATACCTTGCTTCGTTTGCTTTGTCGGCGAGCAGGTGGTCCTTGATATTTGGCCGCTTGCCTGTCTCTATGCAAGCCGTGATGAAGGAGGAATTGATCACCTCAGGGCCCCTCGCGAGACACTTTAGGAACTTCATTGTCCGTATCATGTTGGGGGCGGCGAGGTAGTCGCAGGGGACATTGTCCTGTACGATCTGTATTCCGAGCGAGCGGAGTTTCCTCTGCATTTCTCGATTAGCGAGCGCATGTACTAAAATGTTATTCGGAAACTTACCCGATCAGCGTCCTCAAGCGACCTGTCCCCCACCCACCGCCTGTACCCAGTCAAGCAGATCCGCATGTCTACTTCGGGAAGAGACGTCTTCGCTCTCTTTGCTGGCCGTTTGGCCCCCGGCTCATCCTCACCATCCTCCGCACGCCCGACGGCTGGGCTGGAACTCCTCTCCGCACGCTCCTTGTCGATCTGGTCCGCGGCACGCTTGCCACCCCATACTCCGTGACCATCTTTCGCGGACCGCTTCTTTTCCTTTTCATACAGTGCAATGTCCGGTGCCAGATCATGGAGTTTGGACAGCGCCTGTGCTTTGGCGCTGCGGCTGGCGCTGCTCATGACAGACGGGGTATCGTTCTCCTTGCCAGACCGAACGTGGCGTCCCTTGTTGGCTGGAGTGGCGAAATTGCCAACTGCCGGAGTGGCTCGCGGTTTTCTGACCGACTTCTCAGGGACGGGACTCGAGTCTTCCCTTACGTTGAAATCTCGGTCCAGCCCCACACTGTAGGTATTCTTCTGGGCGATTTCATTGATCTTCCGCTTCTTCTTGGCCGTTGCAGTGAGCTTGTCCTCGCCGCCCGGATAGAACATCTCTCGGAGGGTCGGCTCGTCTAGGAAAGTTTGGCCGATCACCTCGCCCAGGTTGGTGCGCGGTGGGAAATGCCGGTATTTGGGGTTGCTGAGGGGAAGCGCTTGACAGGCGGCGTAACTCTCCTCGATCCAGAGATGATTGACTATCTCGATATTCCAATCCTTCGCCGCCTCACACTTCTCACTGTGCATGCGAGCCGTAATCAAGTGTGTGTTTTCGGCCTTCATTGTCCGTGTGTATGTCGCGCCGGCTGCAGTGATGAGATTCTCCAAGTAAATCCGTGCCTCACCTCCGTAGTTTGACAAGGAGATTCGCATGTCTTTGAAGCCAGGAATGCCGTTCCTCGGGACGGGATAATGCAGTAGCCGCCGAAAGGGGGACGTCCATTCGTTGTATACCATCAAGTGGTAAAGCCAAGCCAGGTTGCCCACATCTTTGCCGTTCTGTGCTGCGCGGATGTACTCGTCGCCGTCGCGGTACTGGCAAATGAACATATCACACTTTTCAACCGAGTGAACGACCTCGCCATCTCCCTCGGTGATCTTGTCTGTGATGGTCTTGCGTAGCATAGGGTTAATGGGTAGATCCGACGAGAGCATGACCTTCTTCTGCGCAAAGACGACCAGTTTCTCGCTTCCGTCGGTCTCATAGGGGCCATTTGGAACCGCCGAAACCGCACCCTCCAGTTGCTGGCTTGGAGGGGGAACCTTGACGGCTTCTTCCGGAGCCTTCCTGAGAATCTCCGGGTCGGGAAGAAGATAAGGCCCCTCGTCAATCCGCTTTCCCAGCCGGAAGCAGTCGTCAAACCTACAATCTATGAGATGTGAACGAAGAGACGCCAAATCCACAACCGGACTCACCAGTGAGGTAGCACAATCTTGCACTTCGGGCTCTTTTGCCTGGCCTCGACACATTTTGGATGCTCCAGGGATAAGGCGCAGATGTGGGTAGTCTGGCGCGTAAGGTCTTTTGATTCCATTCCGCCGAGTGCCATGATGGCACCCGTGATTGCTTCCTTATCTGTGTTCGGGATGTCGGCACAGGTAAGAATGACGCTCGAGAAAATCATTCTGGGATCCGGAGAGAACGGGCGGACTTGGGCGACCTTGTTCCGCGCTATGGTAGCTTTGATCCAGTCGGTTCGAACGACAGGAATCATCATGGCTTGTGCCTCGGTATACTGGTCAAAGTCGATGGTGTTTGACACGATGTGCGTAGCCTGCGGGATTCGGATCCTGCCTTTGCGGTCGGGCTCCAGAACCTCGGCGCCATGGTCCTTGACAACCTGTGAGAGCTGTGCTAGCCATTAGAGTAAAGCCCGGGGAACGGCATATCTGGTATAGACACATGCCTGCGCGATGACGGTACTCGACAACGACTTGCTTTGAACAAAGGCTATCAAGCAGGAATCGAGCAAGCCCGCCTTTTCTTGTGGATCCGACATCCTGGACGCGAAAGCAATGTGACGCGCTTGTGGTGCAAACGTTTACATGAGAGGAGAAAGATTGTAGAGATGGGGCTTGGAAACCAAATCCACGAGGAATTGAAGAGACTAAGATGCTAGCAACGCTGTCCGCTGCAGTTGGTGAGTGGGAAGGGTGAGTGCAGCTACCTTGACGGAGATACGTCCTCAGGCTGCTGCTCGTGTTTTGTGGCGAGCGAGACGCGCCTGAACAACGGCAGTGGGGACCGCGCAGACGCGCGAGGCACCCGCGCCTCACATGACGAGCCCATTTAACATCCCGGCAGACCCACTTTCCAACATCACTCGTAGCACCTCTCTTCAGTGTCATCACACCTGAACTTAGCTTTCGGGTTGAGGAATCCTGGTTGCAACTCTCAACTTTACCGTCTTGTGAAGAGAACCTGCCTCTAACTAGGTACCTTCCCGTTAACTAGTATTCCCAGCCTGTGAATATGGACGCATCATTGTCAATGTTTGCTGCACGAGCGGAGTTGGCTCGCTGACGCTCGCCCGTGGATATTTCAAGCCAACCACAGTCGAATATAGTATCTTCCTACTAACTGGAAAACCATACTCTTTTCCAACATAGCCAATTTGACAGTAACCTACTATTCAGGATATCCAACACTTACCGTTTAGGATACCCTACTTACCATTCAGGATATCCAAATTCGAACGCTTACCGTTCAAGATATCCAACGCTTACCGTTCAGGATATCCAACGCTTACCGTTCAGGATATCCAACACTTACCGTTCAGGATCATAGGTTCCACCACGTCCTTTAAACCAATCAAAAATTCGTAACAGCTATGTACGCTGTAAGCGATAGTAGTTTTTGCAGGTGCGTGAGCCCAATCACTATCAAGTTGTTAAGGGTGGTCCGTGTTCTACAGCAAATTTGTAGGTGTTGAGCTAACCACGACAACCGGGTTTTTTTGGTCTGAGCTGTCTTTTAACGTTTCAGACGTCTCGATTCAGGTGGCTGGGGTTGAGTCACGACAGCGGCTGAGAAGGACAGTGACTCAAACCTGACGTTACTGCCAACAGAGAGTAACGTTTACATGTGTCTCCGGGGGATGATACAAGCAGTTGAGGGCAAAAAGCAAACGAGTTGATCGAATCCAGGTTCGAACTGGAGACCTTCAGTGTGTTAGACTGACGTGATAACCAACTACACCATTCGACCAATCATAGGAGCGGATTCTGGTTGGAGTGAAATAAGACCCAAGGTAATTAGTGGGACCTCTCGTGTTCCTGGGAGCGACAGGGTGGTGCGCCGAGTCTATGGATAGCTTTACTGAGCGGGATGAAGTGCTGAGTGATAAGTTTTAGAGGGCTATGCGTGGGATTGTAAGGATATCTATCTAGAAGGATGGCGAAGTTGCAATTGCTCGCACATACAGCAGAGACACCCTGATGAGTTCAGGGAGTCAGGGGTAGGGGGTTTGATTTGCGAGCTATATTGTCACCAATGGATATAGCGGTTCAAAAGACAGTTCCGATAACCTGATTGTAGTACGGGAGGTATGGTACTGTATAAGCAAACAGCAGATATGATCACTTTTGAATGAAAAGGATCTCAGGTTTCAAGACCAACTCCTCCTAGCCTCATAGATTCCAAGACGATCCAAACATGAGCACGATCAGATCCAACCAGCCGCTGAGCGAGATCGGATCTCTAACCTGAGGGGATTTAACTTTGATAAAGCGTCGCGACGCTCTTCACACCTACTCCAGGAAATGCATTCCGTTCAACCAGCCTCATCCTTCATCAACATCTCGAACTCATCCCACGTACCACATCCCACGATTACAGCCGAGTTTTCCCACACCAAGTGCATCTTGAACTACCTATCCAAGACATTAGTGACTCGAGCTATTACACCTAGGTTGGTATAACACCAGTAAGAGACACTCTAATAGACTGCTCCATGTTGAATTATACTCTGTATAGTCTATTGCATTCCACAGCGTGGCCACTCGCGCACTCGCCCAGTGCATCATTTGCAGCCAAAGTACCCGGCCAAGCCGAGCTCAAGGCTCAGAAGCACAGCCGTCTAGAGAGCCAGCAGTAGCCAGACTCGCTATATACAAGCAAGCTCCAAGCGTAAGCGGAACAGACGATGCCTAACCTGTCCACACCCGCGAAGACGAGTGAACCAGACGGAATCCCCTTCACACACCACATATTATTAACAGGCCCAGGTAAGCAACGGGACACTTGTCTAACCGCAGAAGACCCTCTCGTCCGCACTATTCTTCTATTTCCTCTTTCTCGCAGCCACATTTCACCTTCAAGTCTCGCATATAGCAAGACAAGACAAGGAAAAGCAGCAATGGTGCCCCCATGCCTGTGTATCGCATTGCGCCAGCCAAAAACGGAGGTGCCGAAACGAAACCACCTGATGCGATGCACCACGGTCTATTAATCCAACCCGCTCCTCAAGAATTTTCAGCCACTAGTTCCGCCAGAACCGAACCAGCGGGAACATGCCCAGCTCCAGGTTTTGGGCCGTCTATAATGCATGTCTCCGTGTAGTTACGCATCCCACTGTGATGAATGGAGGGGTCGTCTATGCCTTGACCGAATAGTAGCGCTTGAACATGTCGTCCACCTTCTCCAGGTAGTATGTGCCGGGAGCGATGGTTGAGACATCGCCCTCGGGTGTGAAGTTCTTTTGAAGGTGGGCTTTCTTGCGGAGGTCGCACATCTAAAATTTGTTAGTTAGCAAGGTGGCCCATGAAACTCGCTTGTCGAGGTGGTATCAAGCTTACCGCATCGTACGTCTCCGGAGGCACTGCCCGCCGCGCGGCCAGTCTGTTGTTAATGTCCAGAACCTTGGCGATCTTCTCAGTGCTGCCGGTCACGCGCAACGAGAAGAAACTCGCAGCCAGACCGGAGCCGTAGCTGAACACACCTATCCGCTTGCCCTGGAGCGTAGAGCTGTCAACGAGGCTGATCAGACTGGCCAGGCCGCCGTAGACGCTGCCGCAATACATGTTGCCGCAGTTGGTGGGGACGTGGGTCGAGGGGTTGACACGCTCGGCCATGCGCTTCTTGGTAAGCGCCATAAAGGTTTTTTCAACGACCTTGTCGGTTAGCGACTTCTCATAGTCCATGTCGCGCACCTCCGGGGGCACATCAGCGAAGGCGGGGTTTTCTGGGTCGGCAAGGAAGTCGAGGTAGAGGAGGCGCGCGTACGACTTGGCTACCAACTTGCACGTGGGGGCGTGGAAAGCCATGTAATCGAAGCGATCGATAGGCGTCTTGGGCAGAGCGCCATCATGGACGCCGTTGCCATTGAGGTGGCCGTTGACGCCCTTCGTAAGCTGGGCCTCGCGCTTGTTGTAGGCGCGGTAGGCGGCGTCGAGGGCCTTTTGGTAGCAGTTGACCGAGTAGTGGCCATCGACGTAGGGGTACTCGCTGGTTAGGTCGGGCTTGTAGAAATCGTAGACGTGCTGCATGTAGCTACCCCGGAGACCGGGCTCGAAAGCGATGGGCGCATCGGGGCCAATCAGCATGGCGACGGCACCAGCGCCACCCGTGGGACGTGCATTGCCTTTTGCGTAAAGAGCGATGTCGCCAGCAACAACGATGGCATCCCGACCATCCCAAGCTGAAGACTCGATCCAATTGACGCTGTTGAACAGGGCATTCGTGCCGCCGTAGCACGCGTTGACCGTGTCGACACCCTCAATGTTGGTGTTGTCGCCAAACAACTGCATCAACACCGACTTGACCGACTTGGACTTGTCGAGAATGGTCTCGGTGCCGACCTCTAGGCGGCCGATTGAATTGGGGTCGATGTTGTAGTTCTTGAGGAGCTTGGACACGACGGTCAAGCTAAACGAGTAGATGTCTAGAATTGGCGGGGTACCCCACGCCAAATCACATCAGCCCCTGAGCACGAGACAAGGCCTGGGTTCATCAATTAACACAAACAGGACCCACCCAGCCGCCCACACACGAACGGTGGCGGCCGGATACAACCCCAGTGTGCAGAAATAAATAATGAATGAAAAGGAGACACAGAGCCAGGAAACAGTGGCAACTCCAGGAATACTGACCCTCACGATCATCGCAGAAGCTCATCTTCGTCTGGCCAAGGCCAATCGTGTACTTGCCGGTACTAACTCCATCGAACTTTTCGAGCTCGGATTGCTCCACATACTATTGCAGCTGTCAGCGATGTCGGCGCAAGCAGCATGAGGCGGCTCTGGCGTGCCAAGGGGACAACCAGACGACGCACCTGGCTGGGGAAATAAATCTCAATGGCCTTGATACCGATATTCTGAGGTCGCGAGGCCATGGTGGGCGAGCAATTGGGCGGGTTGCAAGTAAGGAATCAGGGGAGAGTGGATGTTGAGGAGCAGAAGAGACACGATCGTTCGAGGAAAGGAGGGTCTTTTGTTTTTGGAGGGGCAGATCAGTTAGCGCCTCGTCCCATGTTATTTTGGAGCCATTCACCGCCGTTTTCCCCATGCTCAAGACCCAGTTTTTCCAACATGCAGGCGTAAGGGTGTAACTGATGATGAGGTGGCAGCAGGATAACGTACATGACTGTGCTCGAGGTTAGTACACCGTCGATATCTTTGGACAGAGGGTTATACAATTTGGAAGAGCGTGAAAGGTAACGAAAAGCAGCAGGTGGGAAACGGGGAGTGACGGGGTTGAATGGAGGTTCAAATATGAATTTTTTCCCCCCTTGGAAGAGCCACCCTTGTGGCGGGAACAATTGTATAGGACGGCTCAGACAATATCAACGCACCTATGGGGTTTGGCGGGGCCAGACAAACGATGGATGATGTCTGGGGGAAGGTGTGAAAGGCAGAAAGGAGCGTGAGGATTAACGCAATAAAACACAGCTCTCCCGATTACGCTGTCGTGCCTGTTGTGCTTTTAACGTACGCGTAGCTTGTCTCCGCTGCGGGTTCGAGGATTTTTATGGTTAGGTAGGTATGTACGGATCTAATCTTTCAGGTGGAGGTTCCATGCGAGATTGATAAGAAGATAAACTCTCCACAAACAGCCCACTGGTTTGTCGGCGAGTATTTGACTTGCCTGACTTTGGACTTATGAGAGGTGTGAAATAGTCGGCGGGTTCTGGCCGCGGTCGGCTAGAACCCGCCGAAATGGCGGCAGGCGACGGGAGTGTCTGTCAATACTTCAATACATAGTGTCGATTACATACCTTGATTTATTACACTGAAGGTAGGTAATGGTTACAGTACAATACCATGCTAAATCAACAGCAGGAGATCACCATTCTTGTCTCGGTGAAAACCTATAACAGCTACAAAATCCCCAGGCGGTACAGAATAAAATCTGCCTCAACGTTCGGCAGGCTCTGATCCCCGATTGCATCCCCGAGGGTCCTCAGACAAAGAGACCGTTGTTTGTGGGACAGACTCCGAATCCGTGCATCCAGGGTCCCGATGCTCCCAAGTCCCCCACCAATTGCGGAGGAGCTCCTCCATCCCATTCGTCGCCCGCCAACGTTACCACGCTGACATGCTGCAGGAACGGGGGTTCGGGCATCGTCGTGTCGTGTCGCGGCGTGGCTGAGCGGGTGACGACTCTCGCGAACCTGTCAAGTGTCGACTGATGGGACGATGGCGGACCTCCAATCAGGGTAATCGCCGCTTATCGGCCGGCTATTCCTCTTCTTCGCCCCGAGCCGATAAACGGTCGATGGATTGATCGACTTGCCCGGATCTGGATTGGATTGGAGTTGGACATTCTCACTTCGTACGTATGTATTTACTTAAGGTACTCAGCCAACCTATGACGGGGATGGCCTGGAATCGGGTTCGGCCCCAGCAACATGGTTCTTGTATTTCGCTCGCCATCGGCTTACAAGCACAGGTCTAGAGCCTTTATCATCGGCTCAACCGTCTACTGCTAAGTAGAGTACATACAGAACAGACAAGCGTACCTAACGTCAACCAACGCCTGGTAATGCAATTGGAAGTGATATAGGAGGTTCCAGCCCTGCCCCCAACCCGTCCTCGCAGAAACAAAGTCTAACCACCAATTGCTCCCTCACGGTGTGCCATAGCCTGAATCCGCCTCCCGAGGCGTTGTGTTCTTCTGCGCGTCGAGACTGGCTCCGTTGGCCTTGTCCGTGTCAACCGTGAAAGTGGGAGGAGGATGGACCACCACCACCACCGGCTCGGCCTCGGCTGCAGGAGCAGGCGCCGGCGCAGTCGTCTTCTCTTCGGCCACGGCGGCTGCGCTTCTGCTCCGCTTCTTCGTGGCAGCCGCCTCTCGCTCCGATTCGGACTCACTACTCTCCGCTTCGGAAGACGACTCTCCATCCGAGCTCGACTCCTCACTTCCGCTTTCATCCTTCTTTCTGGATTTGGACTTCGTCGAAGAAGTCTTCCGATTTGAGCGCCTCTCCTTCTTCCCCTTCTTTTTCTTCTTCTTCTTCCCTTCCCCCTCCTCCTCTTGCGCTTTTTTCATGCTCTCCTCCTCTTCTCTCTTCGCCTGAGCTTCCTTTAGCTCTTGCTCCTTCTTCTTTTCCCTTCGCGTGTCAGCAACCCAAATCTCCGCGCCCTCGACTGCTTTTTCGGGGTTCCGCTTATGCTTGAGCAAGAACCCCTGAATTTCAGCAGGCGAGAACTCACGAGCAGGAATCTTTGAGGCAAACTCCTTGGAAAGGATGTCCACCTTGGCGATGGCCTCCTCCTTTCTCCTAACTGCCTCGGCTGCTTCCGCCTCGCGGGCTTTCTCCTCCTCGGCGGTGGGCAAGCCGGCTCGCGATTTGAAAAGCGCTCTCGAGGTACCAGGAGAGGATGTGGTGGCAGCGGGAGACGGGAATGCGCGGACTTTGTCTCCCTCCAGGGGCGCATAGATCGCTCGGAAGATGGCAGCGGTCATTTCTGCGTCGGCGAGGTCAAACTTGACAATCATGTCGACTCTGCCTGGCCGAATGAGGGCCTTGTCAAGCTTCTCAAGGTGGTTTGTCGTCATGATGAGCACACGGCCCTCCTGCGAAGCGACGCCGTCGAGAATGTTCAGCAGTCCAGACAGAGAGAGACGGCCAATAGGTTGATTGTTGTTGGTGTTGTTGTTGTTGTTGTTGCCGTTCCCCTGCCCGCGAGATTTGCTAGGCGTGGCTGTGTTGTTGGGCGCCACGTCGCTGTTGGGCACCTGATTCCCGTCTTCTCGCGTATGCGTCAAACCAGCCGTGTCAATGTCCTCCAGAAGGACGACACACCGCCGAGGCAGCTCTGAAAAGAGCGAGGCCAGGTTCTCCTCGCTGGATGTAACTGAGCTTAGACTGACAATGTAGATGCGCATTTTGAAGAAGCCCGCCAACGCCAGACTGATGGAGGATTTGCCGGTTCCCGGCGGGCCAAACAGCAGGTAGCCGCGGCGATAGGGGATGCCGCGGTTTGAGTACCAGCGCCGGGTCGCCGGGTCGAGGTAGTCGGTCACGTCGTCGATCAGGTCCTTCTTGACCTTCTCGTTGAGAATGACGGTCGAAAACGGACGGCTCGTCCTCGCCATACAGCGCTGCCAGACGGGCTCAGTCGAGCCACTCTTGGTAGTGCCGCGGTAGATGATGGTCTTGTTTTCATCGTGCTTCATGTATTCCTGCCGGGCCTCGTGTAGAAGCTCCTTCAGCACCCAGGGGTCCCGCCCAAAGCAAGAGATGGAAATCTCCTCGCGTTCGCTGGCCGTCATGAAGGCGGCGGCCTGGGTGTTTTGCGTCCGCCGGAACATGAGGAGGCGGCCCTTGTACCAGAACCAATGGCTCCCAAATGTCGGGGTATAGGCGAGCGCCCGTTTCTTCTTCTTTTCCCAGCTGGCTTGGCCGCCGCTTTCGTTGGCGCCTTCCTCATCGTCGTCGTCCTCATCTTCTCTGTATCTCCACAAGTACCACGATCGTGAGTTCAGGTTGGTGTTAACCACGAAACGGCGGGCGCCCTGGGAAAAGCGTTGCTTGGACACCCAGGCCATCACCATGTTGTAGATCTCGTCGTCTACGCGAATGTCGACCACCGACATGAGGTACGACTGGACGATGTCCCAGACGTAGTCGCTGAAATAACGCCAGACAAAGACCAGGCCGCCGAGGAGCATGACCAAGGGGATATAGATGTTCAAGTCGATATGGAGATACTTTTCCACGGCGGTAGAGAGGACAGAAATCCCCGGGAAAAAGAAGTCGAGGATTGCATTCTGGGGAGCGACGGTTGCAAACCCAGCCCCTGAGGACAATGGCAAGGGAGGCAGTTCGTCCATGGTCACGGCGCTAAACAAGCCAGATACGGAGTAGTCGATTCGATGAGCGAGCAAGGCGGGGACTCGGATGGAACGAGTCGAGAAGTGAGGAAACTGATTTAGGATCCGGCTCGAACGTCTCAGGTGGAAAGGGAGGGGGGTTGCTTTGGTTTTTATGCTTGCGCAGCACAAGGCAGACCACGGGTGGAGAGGGTGAGACAGCTCAGATTGTCTTGTCTCGTGTGTTCTGAAGTGCTGACTATCACAGGAACCCTGCCAGCAGCTGCTAACTGGCCGACTATCTGAGTAATACCTGGAACATAAATAATCTGTCCTCGATCTCCGCTCCAAGGCAGCAGCACGGCAGATGTTGGCGCTAGAGATGAGGCATCCAAGCCTGAGTGGCTGTTGATGAACGGTCACAGCCTTGGTCAAACCTCAAGTTCATCGGCCTACCCGGTTCAGGTCTGCTGTCCCAGGACACCTTGGGATGGTTGCATACGCCTGCGGCCCCTACCACTGGCATGCTGAACTTCTAAATGTTTATCCAGCCACAGTCTCACCAACTTTTTGTTATGCGTATCTGCAGTGGGTTGCCGATACACTGAGATCGTGCAGAGCAACAAGGCAACCTATGGGAGGAGGAAACCAGCTAAGCCTCACCCGCAGTGCGTCATCGGGGGTGATTGGCCGCTGAGACGGACGACGGGACCCCGGGGCGGCGGCCGATAGTGATCCACTTCCCCGGGCCGCCACAGGTCGGTTGACTGAGGACAAAATCCATTCATTCCTCTTGCTGCTCGCCGGGACCCGACCCTTCGGCCGAGTGACTCTTCCGTGGCAAAATTATTGGTGGAGAGTGCAAGTGCTGGGAGAGCAGTGGGGGGAATTTGGCCTATCACTCGAGTCACTGTATTCCCGTCCTTTCAAGTTCATATAATTACCTTCCTAGCGATATTATTAGACATTCCTGTTTGTTCTCGAAATCGGCTGGTTTGACCGCACCGTACCGGGTTGCTGATGTTGCCAACTTGGGAGACCTCTTGAAATAGTTTGGTACTTGTAGATGCCCACGTCCGGTGAAATGCGTCCGGGGCCACCCGACAGCATCAGCCAATTGAACTCTGTGAAGCCTGGAATGGAGAGTGCATTCAGAAATGTTGTCAGCAGCCACAGCCCTCTCCGTTGCTACCGCTCGGCGCACATTGCTGAGCGGAGGACATTGCATAATACAAGCGGGCCGAGAGTTGTGCGCCTCCTCGTCTGTCTTGGTCAGAATCTGCATAGATTATGACTAGTTAAGGCAAGTAGATATTGTAGTCGCATCCTTCAGGCTTCAAGGTGGGCAGCAGGTTGAGTAGGAGCAGGGTTCAGTATGTATGTCTTTTACAAACCGCAGAATCTTTTGTGTTGCAGACTGTTACCTAGTTGATCCCTATCAACAACTACATAAGAGGACAGAGCGAGGGCTCATTGAGACTCCATCCATCCGTCGTCGTATCAACCTCAAATTTTGGCGCATCAAAATCGCACTCAGATGCAAGAACAGAACTCAGAGGAGTGCTGCTTTGTTCCACAAGGCTGCCTCTTTCATGCTGTCCGTCCGGATTAGAATTTAGGTCACATGCCTCAATGAGGCGCAGCTTCTGTTTGAGTTAACGGACGAGCGGGAATGCCCCGCCTTAACCCCGCCATCAAGGAAGCTCTCAAGTCTCAACGACCGCCGTCATGTTCCTCCTGTTACCTTGAGTTGCCCTTGAGACGAGAGCGAATAAGGCAGAGAGACATGACCTCCTCCGGCGTGAACTCCTCCGGCGTGAAGCACAATGCGAATCACTTACTGAATCTACGACCGACGAAAGCGGCATGTCAAAGGTACGCTTTCTGGTGAGTCATCAGTGGCGCGCAGATACCGTCGGGGCCCGTGAGAGGGGACGACCCAAAGCACCATGCAAGCGCCGTGATGAGTTGAAGCTGCAGCAAGGCGCCAAAGCAAGCAGACGACGAAGCAGGGTTAGGGTTGTCCATAACTTATCTCCGAGGCCGTCAAGCACCCAAAGTGCCATATGGTATCAGCGGGCCTCATTAATTCGATCACAAATTGGATATGTAGCTTTCTGCGAGCTGATTATTGATAATCATGACAGTTGTTCAGTGCTGAAACCGTACCTAATATACCAAAATCTTTGGGCTGCCGTTGCCCAACGGATTGTGGAGCTCAAGCACGATGCCAAAAGCTCTTAGGAGAGTTAACTTGGGCCGAAGCACAGAAGTCATGTCTCATTATGTGCCACTCATCAAGAAGAGAGGAACAGTCGTGTTCCATTGAACGCCTTGCCCACAAGCAAGCTGCCCACCTCCCGCTGCTTTTACCCTGAAACTGCCAACGTATGTCTTGGAAAACTTGGTATTCCAGCGAAAAAAAAGAACCAATCCGTCCTGTGGCCCGGACTGGAGACTCTGTAATGCGCCCTTGCCGCGCGAAAAGTCTGTTGGTATTGGTACAGAAAATTGGAATGTCCTGGACGTTCCTTCCATTCACCTAAACGCCGTAAACGCCTGCGCCGTAACGTCGTACAATCATGATCACCGCACTCACCCTGCAGCTTTCCAGCTCGCGAGCTCTGCGGCTTAGCCGTCAACAAACACCTGGATTCCGGCACTGTCGGGCACGAAGTGGCCTCCAGGCGGTGGTGGCGGGGGCGTAGCTGCTGGTCCCATCGGTGGGGGAGGCGGAACGAATTCAGGGTGGACGTGTGGCGGATACATGCCACCGTAGACAGGCTGGAACGCTCCCGGAGGAGGGCCGGGAGGATGGCCCGGCGGAGGCATCATGCCTGGATGCGGGAAACCGGCCTGTGGGGGCCCATAGTCATCGTAGCTGTTGACGCTCTCGTCATCGTCGTCATCGTCGCTTTCGTCTTGAACAGTTGCGTGTCTCGGCCAGGTACCTGTGGGAGGGCGCTGGGATGCGCGGGAGGATCTACCTTGCTTCCGAGACTTCCGCTTCTTATGTTTTGGTTCTGCGGACGTTTCCATGTAGTAGTCATCGTACCAGTACGGCGTGGTCGATTCGACCAGATAGACGTCGCTCCTTCCGCTGGCCCAGGAGAAGACGGAACCAGAACCAGTGCTCCCCGTTTCAATATCGTCGTCGTTGTAGTAGACCCGGACACTCTTGACCCTCGTTGGGTTCCGACCGCTGAAGTAGAGCAGAGCATTGACAGCGGCCGTCTTGGGGAGACGGCGCTCCCTGTACTGGCCCCTAGAGCTCGAGCCCGAGCTCGAACTGCGGGAGCTGACAGACATTGTTTCGTGGAGAGTTGGCAGGTATAAAGGCGACCTGAATAAAACCCAACCTACGGCCCTGGCCTAGGTGGCTGTAGCGGTAGAGAGTGACCGGGGAACCCTTGACCCACTCGGATGGGTCAACAGAGTGGTAGAAGTGACCGAGGGGTCGACTATTGCCACCAACTGTGATTGCGAAGCAAATTCAAGGCAAGAGCCGAGGATCAAGGTTGGAAGAGTTTGTAAGGAAGACACAGAGGGCCAGGAAGAAGACGGGCACAGCCCTGATATAGGGACTGGGCAGACGCCAGAATACCGGGAGACTTACCATGGAGATGAGAATACACTCAGGGGAGAGATGCGCACGGTGCGCGTCTGGCTGCTGTGGTTGTTCTGCAGCAGTCGGGCAAAGCGTCACGTCCAAGTCTGCATGCAGTCGTGCATGGTTTCACTCCCAAACTGGGCCAGGACCGACAAGACGAGGAGGCATCTGGCAATAGCACATGAGGCTTGCGCACCGTGGTATTTGGAGCTCCGTCTTGGAGTCCCGTACCAGATGCATTCATTCGTCCCAGCGTCTCGGAGCCTCACTTAACGAAGGTCACGGATCGGACAACTTTGTGGGTGTTTGGCGTATAAACCGGGCGGAAATTGATTGGTCGTCCATCGCTCAGGACCCGCCATATTCAGTAAGCCACGCGCCCTGCTTTCAAGAGGAGGTCAAGGACACTGCAGTCGCTAGCTGCATACACGCAGATACCCGCGTGCAACCTTGTTCGATCTCTTCCGCTTCTGATGACATTCGGCGGTCAGAGTGCAGCTGCTGAGTATTGAATGGAGCCACGAAGAGAGGATGAGGAAAAGAAAGAAGTGCCATCTTGCAAGGTATAACCATGGTGCCTGACGGGCACCGCCGGACAGGTCAGGCTGCTGAGGTTAGGTATCGAACGGATTCATGAATATGACCAAAAAGAAATTGAAGATTCACGGCTCTCAATGGGGGGTTTGAAAAGGACAGGTGGGGCATGGACATAATTACCGTGATAATTCTGTACGGTATTGTTACGTAATTACAGTAATACCTGGAGAAGGAGCGGGGCAATCCAGGTAGTCAGAGCGACAGCCAAATCGAGAAACATCTCGCAGCCTCATGACAAAGACTTGGCAAATTATAACAAGGCTCATGGACCAAAGTGAGGCTGCAACAGAACATCAAACAATCAGAGAGTGTTCGATGGCTATGTTCTAGGCGTTGAGATGGTGTGAAGATGGGACCAAACAAGCATCGACGAGGCGGCTCCTCGATGGTTCCTCTCCAGTCATTTTTTTCGGCGCGATGCCCGAAGCGCGGGCATGAAAGCGTGGGGTAAGAAGAATGGGCAGTAAAAGAAGGGTAGAATAAACGTTGGTACAGTATAGTACCGCTGTTCCGCGTTAGGCTACAGTACAATTCAATATATAAGGTACATAAGGTATCTTCTCGAGTAACCACGGCACCTTTCCTCATGCGGGAGTACGGTCGGTCTCTATCAGGGCTTGTGGTGACCGGATTGCTGCAGATGCTTCCCAGCACAGCCGCTTCTTTTTGTGTTTGAGCGAGCCGAGCGAGCCGATTAATTGAATTGGATCACGATTGTCGACTTTCCCGTCAATACTTCCAAGGTTGCAACTTCGTGGGGTACATACGAATATGTCAGGTGAAATACAGCATCAGGTAGATTCCCGCGACCAGGAATTTAACCGCCGAGATGTGGTCATCTAGGTATGTAGGTGGTCATTCCATAGCCAGATACCGGTACTACCTAGGAGCAGCGCCTTTCATGTTCTACTGTGCAAGAAATCATACAAGACCTACCGTATGGATTCGATGAGTTCCAGGTTCCCATCTGGCGTTCGTGCTGAAATAGTGTCCGTACCCAGCACCTCATATACCTACCGTAGGTACGCTAGAGACTGGTGCGAACTCAGATCTCACACCGAGGTCTGCGGTATGCTGAGGTTAAACACCGCACATGGTGATGTAGGCCAGTAGGGGTTTAGCGAACTCTTGAACATCCCGTCCTTAAATATAGCAGCAGCCGGTACGAAGTACTACCGTGATGATGCAAGCTGGGCATCTCAACCGATCCTGTTGCATTCCTAAGCGGTGGTGCATCTCGCGATCACCGAGGAAAGGCAACCTGGAAGAATCGAGACTCCAGGCGTACGCCATATTTCCCCTAAAGAAAAGATGATATGGCCGCATGACGCTTCGGTCTCCCCAGGGATCAAGCATGTTTGAACAACTTACTACTAGCAGGAATATACCTCTACCCGATGTAAGTCAAGACTGTCAGGTAAGATGGCCATCACATATTGTCCCTGTATGTATGTACATATGGTACTTATAGGGTGACAGGTTGCGTGCAACGACTCGAATTCCCTGTCATGCACACTAGCAGACCGTTGCAGCTTGCTCTTCGAGCTCAATATACATGCCAGCTTGACTCTAGACGTTTGTTAACGAGTCACTTCGGAATTCTGAGGGTTTTGAGCGGGTTCGGTGTCAAAGACAACGAAGAGCCGGTTGAGAACAGGCCGAGAAGAACACTCGGTGTGAGAAGACTGTCGAAACTGTCGCTACTCTGGGACAGACACTTCCTCCGGCCTCTCACGGTCAAATGCTCATTCACGGTAGTACGACCCATTTGGTTCATTTTATAGGCCAGGCTACGTCCAGTTCCCCCCGTACTCCGATCTCTGCTGCCAGGTGTGGAATGGCCAGCTACAGGCTTAAATCAAACGGGCGAATCCCAAGCCTCGAATATATTGGTTTCCCCGGCTGGAGAATTGCGGGAAACGCTGCCGAGGAAGTTGCCAAAGCCTGGCTGGCCAGGGCATCTGTGTGCTACCGGCCATAAAGCTACACTTCGAGCCAAAAGTCGCCGCTTAGAGAGTGCCGTTTGATTAATCGTCAGGGCGAATGAGACGTTCGAGCTGCGCATCGTTTTGGGACAACGATTCTGCAATTAGGATGGAGTAGTTGAGCATACTAGCTATGCCTTGGCAGCTTTCAAGATTTTGGCCACCGCCGAACAAGCCGAAACGACCGTCTCGCGACGTCGACAGTGCTCGTGTTGCCAGCGGAGACTTCCACTGCCTCCTGCAGCAACCATTTGCCAGACAGCGTTCCATGTTTGTGCGCTTGGAATGGTCCATGGATGGACCAGCAGGTTTCGTTTGAGTGGAGTTGAACCTGGTAACCCTGGCAGTCCTGGCAGTTGAGCAGTGGATCTGCTTTTGAGCGCTGCACGCCATGCTGCCAAGAAACTCCGACGGCCCCGCTAGAGCACTCCGCCCGAAAAGGGGAAAGGAGGTCCAGGGCATCTCCCGTCACCAGCTGGCCAATTGCAAGGTGTGCCGTAGCCCCCCAAATCGAGTCCGAAACCCAGTCGTGCCAGTGTCCCAGACAGAGCAGCCCAGAGAGACTTGCTTGTTCCTGAATTGTCCGAAGGCCACACTCTCTTCTCGACACATACTCAGCCCATCTGGTCGCTTTCCCGTTGCAGCGTCCGTTTTAACGCATGGGAACGGAACGTGCAGATCCATAGCACCCTCCTACCTTACCTACAAGGTTAGCACCGTACTCCGTGGCAGAGACGCTACTAGGCCTCGCCCATTTCAGGCCTCGGGGGTCTCTGTCTGCCAATCACCCTTGCAACCACCCAAATATCACCCGCACGCCCGCGCACTTTGCCTTCTAGGAGCCGACGAGAGTTCATAGCCAAAAAGACGACCGCAGAACGGACATTCCAATCGCAGTGAAGAGGATTTGGCTAAGGGGGTCGATGCCTTCAACGGGAGCCGTCGCCCGTCTTTGAAGAGTTGGCGGTGCCGGCTGGACCGATTGATGGTTTGATTTGTCAAACCCCGTGCGACGCGACAATGGAGTCAACGAGCAACAAGGCCGACGGGTCGGGGAGGAGAGTGTCGACGAGGAGCTCGGTGAGGGTGTCGGTCAATGACTTGGGCGAGGAGCACGATTTGGTTTCGGCGGGCATCATTGCAGATGGTTTCCGACCAGCAAACATACATGACAGATCCGAGGGTTCTACAGCGTCCCTGGCGTCAGACTCGACCCTCATGGCCGATGAAAGTTCGGGTTCGTCGTCGAGGTCCGGCCGCCCTTCCAGCACTTCAAAAGCCCACAACTCGCAAGACTCATTGTCGTCACGCACCGAGTCTGCAGGGTTGACTCGACAAACCACAAACTCCACCGAATCGACCGCAGTATTTACTAGCGAAAGCCCATATCAAGGACCTTCGGGGCCATCGCACCCATATCAAATGTACCCACAAAATGTGCGACTAGCGAGGACCCTGAGCACTACGACAGCGTCTACGCTGCCATTGTCGGAATCATCTTATTCGGGACCACGAGGTCCGAGTCATCCTTACGCCCTGTATCCTCAAAATGGGGGGATTGAGGCAAATGCCCTCCAGGCCGCGGCTATTCCGCTTGGATTTCATGGGCTGCCAGATCAATACCGACGGCGGATGGGTCCCGACGGTGATGATGTGGACGACATGATTGGGCCCGATGGCCATACCGAGCAGTTGCCACCGTATAGCCGCTATCCTGATGAGGCATGCATCCAGAAGGCAAGGGACGCCGACGGCGTCGCCGGAGTCGTCCAAGGAGCCACGGTAGTACCTCTCACGGTCACTGTGCCTCCATCCACACTTCAAGCCATCCCCGGAGCGGGAGGCATTGGGCTGGCTACCCGCAATCCCGAATTCGAGTCTACAGAAGATCTTGGGTCGCCCCGCTCTCGGCATTCAGCTCCAAGCTTCACCTCGTATGATAGCCAACGGCGGCTCAGCCTAAACAACGAAATGTCGGAAAAGAGGAAACCGCCAAAAAGATGGCAGCTCTGGATGAGGCGGAAGCTTTGCGGCGTAATTCCATACTGGGCAATATGTCTCATTGCTGTCGTCTTGGTGCTTATGGGAACGATATTAGGTTCTGTAGTGGGCACCTTCGTGGCCAAGCAAAGGAAAGGGCGCGGAGGAGGGCCATGGTAAGTTGCTGATGGCTACCCCATTGACAGGCTGCTGCTGACATTCCCAGGGAACCAACATTTGATGCCGAACCCATCCCGGTCCCCTCAGACCTTCCACCCTTACCGTTGGGTACTTACGGCATGCCACTCCTGAACGACGAGCAGTCTCCAACTTGTTTCCAGGACCCCAGCTTGTCAGCAGCCTGGAACTGCCGTATAGTTATCTCGGGCCTATACTTGACCGTCAGCAAAGCCAACGATGAATACAGCGTTTCGCTGAACTGCAACCACTCTTTCACTCTTCTGGAGCATGTTTACTCTTATGGAACTCAGCCGCCGCTAATCCAGCAGCCGGTAGCACTGGGCTTGGTCAGCGATAAGCACGAGCCCAACCGCGGGCCCGCCTGGTACAAAATGCTGTCCTATAACAAAACCGTCATTCTTCCGGAAAGCTTTCTCAGCTCGGCAACCAATTCCCGGCAAAAGATTAGACAGGTTAACATCGATGCCGGAATGGCAAGTTTCAAGAGGAAAGGAGTCGCGCAATACGGCGACAAGCCATGGGTGTGCAATTGGCCGGACACTTATCTCGAGCTTTTTATCTTTGCCCAACAGAATTCGAGCTTCTCCAACTGGTCGATGTCGCCGTCCCCGTCGTCAAGAACATCGTCATCTCTATCTACCACGCCAGCCCCAACCACGACAACGACGACGACATCCGGGGGAGAGAGTCAGACAATTCCTTCAGATTCGTTCCAAGGCGGGCCTGGGGGAATATTCTCCTCGAGAAAACAAGGTTTCGGCCCGCCAAACGGTCATGCTCCTGATTCCACTAGTTCCTCCACGGCGGATTCCGCTACCACAACTAGCTCCACCACCAGCGACGCCAGTCCCACAATGACTTCCTCAAGCGCCTCATCGACGGGACCCTTTGGGCCGATCGACACCGACCACAATTACGTACCGCCACCTCCTCCTTACCCGCGAGTTATTAAGCTTGAGGAGCGCCGTGTGTCAACGTCGGGCGCGGCTATGCCAGCTTGTACGCAGGTTGAGATTCGCGGCCCTGGAGAGGAGGCAAAGATACTGCGGGACGAGGACGGCGACCCGATTGTCATTAAGATCCTTGAGACGGAGGATCCCCACGGGGCACAGGCAACCCCTGAACTTGATAAGAGATCTTTGGCGGGCTGGGGCCAGTCGCCACAAGGCCTAGCACCAAGAGCTGGGCCTGAAATGAGTCCTTGCGGGTGCATGTGGTTTTTGACTTGATCCCAATGGCACGTTACTCTTCGTCCGTCAATTCCCCTTTTTCGGAATCCAAAAAGCATATACGTCTTTCTTCCATCTCTTCTTGTTTTGTGACTCTGGGAGGGGTATATGGATTGGATTTTACGTTTATTTATTTCTTTCTGTCGGTGTATTGGGTCAGTCAAATCATTCAGGCGTTGTTGCTTCTTGGGTCGGTCTGGGAGCTGTGATACACAACACATGGCGGGTATGAAGAGAAAGTGCAGGGGAATCCCACAATTTTGCACTCCACGGCCTCCTGCCAGTTGGGCTTTGGATTATTCTTTTCATTTATTCGTTTTTGGATCGTTGTCATGAGGATGGCGCAGAGTAGGTGGAAGCACGGCTGGTGATTAATGGGTAGGGAGCATTGATTCGAAATGGAAGGGGAGGACCCCTTGAGTGTCGTGGATTCTCACTATTGTGGAAACGGGGCGACTGAGGAAAGTAGGGAGAGGACCTCGGTGTTGTCGATAAAGGAGGATTTGAGATGGTTTGATGTATGTGCCTGCCTATTTGAGGCCGCGCGTTCGTGCGATTTTGATTGAGAGAGTACTCAAGTGGCCATGGATACCATATGCAGCTATGCTGTTTGCCCTAGCTCGGAGTGAAGAGCAAATTGAGAGAATTGAGTCCAAGGAATGACTGCCATATCTCCGTTCACATTGCTTGTGGGCAATAATGGTGAGACCGCCTGCTAATGCGAAGGGTTAACTGGGTTGGAGGACTCGCTATAATTTTCAAAAACAACCACAATCATCAGAACTCTTAATTCTTCATTCGCAACGTGGTTTGACTTCTCGAATGCCGGGTCACTCGGGGGTATCATATTCCGGATCCATCTTCAGCATCTATCCTTGGTCTCTCAACTCAGGTCGGTTTCTCTGTACCGACACCATAGCCGTCGCAGCTCTCACCAACGCCGCTTTCAGGAGCTAAATCCTTGGCCAATCCCTCTAAGAAGCTTTCGGCCAACTTCTTGGCCTTCCTCTCCCCAATCTCCCTCCTGCGTTCCTCAATTTCTTTCCTCCTCCTAGCCGCCTTCTCCTCCCTCTCTTTCCTCAGGGCCTCGGTACGTGCCCGCTCCTCCTCCAAAGCCTTCATCTCCTCCTCCCGCTTCGCCTCCTCCTTGCTAAACTGGTAGAACCCTACCCCTTTGGTCCGGATCTCGCGGCTCGCCTCGTAATGCACCGCCTCGGGGGGCGTGGGACTCCGGTCCCGCTTGCGGGCGAGCTGCTCCAGCGTCTCCATGCCGTCCCGCGCGGTGAAGGCCTCGGTCTGCACGGCGTCGCCGTAGATGAGGGCCTCGGGCGCCTTGGGCCGCGCAGACATGCGCTCCAGCTCTGCGGCCGAGGCGGCGCCCCGCGCCAGCCGACGCTCCATGCGCATCTTTTCTGCGCGCGTGCCGCGGCGCAGGCGGCCGAACTCGTCGGTGTACTCTATTATGGTGTTGTCGATGTTGGGATCCGAGTCCGAGTCGGAGTCGGCGTCGGAGCCGGAAGACGAGGCCGGGGTATCGTTGGTTGGGGACTGTTGTGATTCGGCCCATTTGCGGTCAAAGTCGACGAGGCCGATCTCGCGGCCGACATAGTCGCCTCGCTTCATGGCTGCGTAGAGGCGCGCTTTGGACTCCATCTTGCGCCGGGCGAATTCGAGTTCGGCTTTGCTCTCTTCGGTGCCCAAGGGCGACTTCAGGTTGAGTTTCTTGCTTTCTTTGGCCTTCTCGTTGTTGACGGCGCTTGCTTTAGCCGACCGCTTGACCTTGACGCCGGTGAGGTCGGTCACGTCGGCTTTTGAGGGGCGCGCCCGACCGGAGGTGGCTGAGCCCGCAGAGCTGACAGCGGGCGTCCCAGCAGAGGATGCAGCAAGGAGTGAGCTAAGCTGTGATGTGAAAGCTAGAGAGCTCGACAGTGCCATCTCCTTCTTTTGCTTCTTAGGCGGCCGTTGGCCGTACAGGTGCGGATCTTGAGGCATGGTTTATCGTGGGTGTCGGAATGTGGTGTAGAGTGCAGTGGAATATCGGGATCCACGTCGGCACCGTCCGGACAGTACGGAGTATAACGCCCAATGACCGTTTTCAGTGTGTCAAAGTGACGGCAGCATGAGTGCCCCTGATCGTGCCTCCGTTCTCAGTCGTGTGCTGTATGTCTGTACCGTGTTCGCGTATCATTGATTTTTTTGAAGAACCGCAAGTTCCGTTTTCAGAGACAGCGAGGGGCAACTGACTGCAATCCGCAAAAGCCACGCTAACGTTGATTAGCTCCTGGTGGTGGTGTGGGGAAGTGGAGTCGAGCCAGTGCCCCTGGTTTGTCTGGCCTCGATGCTTGGCTGCGCTAGGTGCTTGGCAGCCCCGCCAGGCTGAGTCTGGGTGTCATTGGGAAACCGTTCCCTGAGAGCTCCCGGAGCATGTTAACTTCGGACGGCCATCCCTACCCCTGGTTCTATTCTCCCAGGCTTATCGGAGCGACACCAACCGTCCTCTTCTTCCCGCATACCCATCTCCCGCAACTGAGCTTTTGCTGGCCCAACTGAAGCTCGTCTTCGATGGAAACTATCTCGATTGCATGCTTCATCGACAACTTGCGAACCTGAACAATTAGCTCGACGGGGGTTGTCTCGACTGCTCCATCATCCGCTACAACGACAACGACCAGCTCGGCGGAGCAAGTGACACTTATCAGTCCACCCTTGCCACTTGCACTGGACATCTGCGCTGCGTGCGCTACGCTTGGGACCCTTGTGTATATCAACTTGAACATACTCCACGCTCGAGATGGCTGACGGCATCGACGCTGCAAGCTGGTATGCCTGGTTCACCGAGCCTAGCTTTGTTCCATCCGCCTACCATTATATCCTCCGTGGGACATTCTGGTTCTTTGTGAGTTCGCCTTTCTCTACTAACCGACTATTGTCTGATTGAAGCCAGATGACAATCTCCCTTCTGCTGCTCTCGCCAATTCTCCTGCTGCTGGTCATCGACTTGGTGCTGTATTTCTGGCGACTCTCAACTGTTAGCAAACCGGCCGCACACATGCTGCAAGCCGGCCACACCACTGGCCCGCCGAAACCGCCAGCTCGCTCGGCGCAGGATGGATCAGCCGGGATAAAGAAGCTCAACTGAGCGTAACACCTCCCAAGTCTTGCGTCACAAATGATGTAGCGCACTTCAAGGATAAGCATATTTGCAGACAACGGCGTCAAGGCTGGAGTATGATTGCTGTGGCTATGCGGGTTGCGATACATCAGGTCGGCTCAGGCAATCTGGGAAAGCACCTTCAAGAGATCGCCGGTCACGCCCATTGCCGTGACATCGCCACCAGCCCCAGCGCCCTGAATGATCAGGGGGTTGCTTCCATATCGCTTAGTATAGAAGCTGATGATGTTGTCGCTACCCTTCAGCGCTGCAATAGGATGAGACCGATCAAACTTCTCAAGGCCGACCTTGACTTGCTTCGTGGCGACGTCGATGCTGCCCACAAACCGCACCACCTTGCCTTCCTTTTCGGCCGCCGCCTTCGTTTCTTCCATTTGCTCGTCGAACGCCGGGAGCTTCTCGAGAAACTCGTCACCACTAGCCGCCGATTCCAGTTCTTTCGGAATCAAGCTCTGCACCGGGAAGGATGTTGGAGATTCAACCTCCAGACCAGCCAATCGAGCGAGAATAGTCAGTTTCCTCGCGACATCCAGCCCGTTCAGATCATCTCTGGGATCCGGCTCCGTGTAACCCAGCTCCTTAGCCTTCTTCACCTCAGCCGACCACTTGCCTCCGGTGCCTGATGTAGGGGCAAACGAGTTGAAGAGAAAAGACATGGTGCCGCTGAAAACACCCTCGATCTTGGTAACCTCGTCACCCGTATCTACCAGGTCCTTCAGCGTCGAGATGACGGGTAGACCGGCGCCGACCGAGGACTCGTGGTAAACCTTGGCGCCCGACTTGCTGGCCGCGCTGAAGATGTCCTGCCACAGCTTGTAAGAGCCTGAGAAAGCCTTCTTGTTGGGCGTGACGATGCTGATGCCGTTGCTGAGGAACAAGGGATATGCATCGGCGACATCCTGCGAGCTGGTGTTGTCGACGAGGACCGTCTTGGAGCCGGAAGCGTTGAGAAACTCGACGAGCTTGGGGATCGGCAGCGGGGCGAGTGAGGAGGAAGCGAGGGCCGACGACACGTCGTTGAGTTTGACTGCCAAGTAGTCGGTGCTGTAAAGGGCCTTCTTGCTCGTGCAGATGTAGATGAGGACAAGTTTGGGGGTAGGACGGCGGTAGGTGAGCTGCTCGAGCTGGGACAAAAAGCACTTTCCCACTCCACCGGCGCCTGGAAAGACTACTGTGAGCTTGACAGCCCAGTGGTGACACCGACCTGGGGGGTTGCTTACCAATGATGGCAATGTTTATCTGCTTGGTAGAAGCCATTGTATAGTGCCAGATACTATTTGACGATTCCACGGGAGAGATTGGTAGCGAAACTTTGTGATAGCAATTGCCCTCACCAGTGCGAGTCATCAGACAGGATGGGAGCAATGGCGGGGTGCCAGTCCTTCAAAAATGTCGCTATGCAAGCTGCCGATAGCGGGGCAACGAGACCCTGCAGCAGCACTGCTGGAAAGCTTGGCGAGCTCCAACCTGGAAATCCCACAAGGAACGGGGCGTGAAGTGTGCGGCTTTCACGGAGTATCGTAATGTATGTATTTCGTACACTAATTTCCTGACACTACCTTCACACATTGCAAGATACCACGCGATGGTATCGTTCGTCTTTCACTCAGTAGAACCCTTCGTCATCCTGCACAGTGCCCCTGCTCCTAGATTTACAAAGGAACGGCTTTCTAAGCAACTCTTGATTTTTGATATTTGCTCCAACTGAATCCAAAACTTCCGGAATCTGACAGAATGGGGGGCGCTAAGAACAAGAGGCAAAAGCGAGAAGACTACCGTGCGGCCATGAGGGAGGAGGGCGTCACGGAGCTCCCTCGAAAGAAGTTTTACCGGCAAAGGGCTCATGCCAACCCGTTCTCCGATCACCAACTCGTATAGTGAGTAGGGTCTTGTTGCCCGTTGTGCACGATCCAAGCTAATCCAGTACAGCCCCCCAAGCCCTGATCAGATGGACTGGTCATCATTATATCCAGACTATGTGGTTGAAGAGGCCAAAGACAACGAAATGGCAGGGCTAGATGCCACGCCAGAGCGTGCTCCCATGACAACAAAGCCCAAGAGGCTATCAAAGGAAGTCGAAGTAGCCGACATTGGCTGCGGTTTTGGCGGCCTGCTGGTCGGCCTCGCGCCCACGATGCCCGACACTCTGATCCTCGGCCTCGAGATTCGCGTCTCCGTCACCGAGTTCGTGGAGGACCGGATCAAGGCTCTGCGGGCAAAGCACCACGAAGCCAAGCTCTACCGTAACGTCGGGGTCCTGCGCGCCAATACGATGAAGTTCCTGCCCAACTTCTTCCGAAAGGGCCAGCTCACAAAGATTTTCATCTGCTTCCCGGACCCCCACTTCAAAGCGCGCAAGCACAAACAGCGCATTGTCTCGACGACGCTCAATTCAGAGTACGCCTATGTCATGCGGCCGGGCGGGATTGTGTATACCATTACCGATGTGCCGGACCTGCACGAGTGGATGGTGCAGCACTTTGAGGCGCATCCCTCGTTTGAGCGGATATCTGAAGGGGAGCAGGAGGCAGATCCGTGCGTGGAAATTATGAGGACAGAGACGGAGGAGAGCAAGAAGGTGGAAAGGCATAAGGGGCAAAAGCTTGTCGCCCTGTTCAGGAGGTTGGAGGATCCCGCTTGGTGAGAGAACACTGAGGGTCAGGGGTCAGGAATGGGTAGTGTGGTCGAGCGTTTCAGCGATACCATAGCGGTTGTGAAACGCTCATTCTATAGCATTGAAGGGGAACTATACCGGGCAGGATGCCTCATAGTGTCTATGGTGGTGTCGTGTGCCTGGATAGGTGGATGGTGTATTATACAATGTTGTACATACTGGTACCGTAATACTGCAAACTGCAACCCCTGTAAATTACTACTACCGAGCAAACCTGTCACCGCCCGGTAACAACGTTACTGTACGGAGTACCTTATCTTACAATACGTCAGTCCGCATGTGCCTGGAAGCCCTTATGAATCGATGTCTGCCCCTAAATAATTGACTTGTCTCTGTGAACCCCCTCCATACTAACGACATCAAAACATGTGGCGACGGCAGCCACCCGCTGTACGCGCCCAACCATGGCACTTCACCGGAGAGATATAGCACTTGGTGGCATTATGTGCTTTATCACGTGGGGTTATGCCACCAATTGGTTCCCGACGCTCCGCTGGGTCGGCTACGCCTTTGTTGGCGGTGCGCTGGTCACACTCGTTGCCCTTCTCGCTCTCGTGCTGCTCACCTCGCGCGGCCCCAGATTCCGCAATTTTCGAAAGACAGCGCGGCCACATGGCGCTGCCTTTGTCGGCCCCGATGCGTGGAAAACAGAGGTGGCCGCTTTGCGACACCGCCAGACCTATGCTAAGACGCCGCTCTGCCCCGAGTCCCCCAGGGTGTCGGCAGCTCTCGACGACGTCCTCGAGTACATCATCCGCGACTTCATCAGGGTGTGGTATTCGAACATTAGCACAAATCCCGTGTTCACAGACGAGGTAGACAAGGCCATACGGGGCGCTCTGCTCAGGGTCCGCGATCGACTCCGGGAGCTCGACCTCGCCGAGGTGCTGACTACGCGCCTTGTCCCGATCCTGACCGCCCACTTCCGCGACTTCTCCGATGCTGAGCGAGCTGTGAGGGGACGCAAGCTAAACCGGTCTGTCACCGAAACCGAGGAGCTGGATCTGGCCATCGCCTCGAAATACAGGGAGGGGAAGTTGCATCCAGCTGCGACTCTGTTTTTCTCGGATACCAAAACGACGCAACAAGATTACCTGCGGCAGACAATGTCCAAGGTGTTGCCCAAGGTTGTGCCCGAGAGCTTGCTTGCCTCGAGAGCCGTTTCGATCCTCGTCCGCGAGATCACCGCATGTGCAGTCATGTTCCCTGTGATGCAGATGTTGGCCGACCCTGATACCTGGAATCAGCTGATGGAGAACTATGGACGAACCATGTTGCAAGACCGCTCCACGGTCCGGAGACTGCGCGCCGCCCTAGACCAGCACGCCTCTCCCGCTCCCAAGACGGGCAAGCCGGTAACGTTCCCGCGTCTCACGCCTGGTGATAGTGAGAAGAGGTTCGAAAAGTTCATTCGGGCGATCCGCAAGGTGAACAATTTGTCAGATGCCAGGCGATTCCGCAGCGAGGTTGCGAGTCAGTTGAAGAGGGACTCGCAACAGGAGAACGCGGACCAAGTCTATCTACGCCGGCTGGACATGGGCAAGCGAATGCTAGATCAAAGGGTGTACCATCTGGCCGCTGGCGGTGGCCGACGAGCCCTTCCACCAAACCCGGTTCCCGGCACAGGACCATCAGCCGCATCTCGGCTGGAGAATGCGTCGCTCCCTGAATTGCTCCGAGACCCTTCGAGCCTGTCCTACTTCATGGAGTACATGGATAGACAGCGCTTGGTATCAATGGTTCAGTTTTGGCTTGTCGTCGATGGCTTCCGCAACCCACTTGAACCCGACGGTCTCGACGGAGAGCAGTTGCCGCTGCAATTCCCCCCCTGGACAGAATCGGACAGACTCGATCTTGCTCAAATTGATGCTGCCTACCTAGGCAAGCCCGAGTTGGAGGTCCCAGAGTCCTCGAAGCGCATAGTTCAAGAGTTTCTAAAAGCCGGCAAACGGGCAACTCCGGAGCAGTATTATAAAGCACGAAGGGAAATCCTGCGAGCGCAGAGCGCCGTCCTGGACGAAATGCGGACCAAACACTTTCAGAATTTCAAGAGGTCAGACTTGTTTTATAAAGCATTGGCTGCCGAAGAGGCATCCAAGCATACAGCGCTACCAGCCACAGGAGCTCTTCGGTCAGGCTCGCCTCTTCCACGAGCTTCTTCATACACCGCGTCTAAGCCAAGCTCCGTTGCGCGCCTTGCCCCGAGACTACACACAGGACCCCAGGGCCGGAAGGCTGGATCGACGTCTGATCTGAGAGCCCTAAATGTTGACGGCATCGGCGGATTCGATCCCAGACGATCAATCGACGAAGATCGCTCTCCTAATCCATTATTCGACGATGATGATGTAGGGGATGACGCTCTAGCTGACTCGGTAGCGAGCCTTGATCAGGACTTCAGTGCTGCGCCGCCAGTGCCCGATACAAAGGTAGTCCAAGAGATGGAGAAGGCCCTCAATACTATTTTGGAAGACAGTCAGCCGCCGACAGCAGAGGATCTCAGGGCGTCTTTATTTGGTGAAGGTGACGAGAGCTCGAGTGGGATATTCGGCTCACTAGACGGCGCCGCCAGGGCGAGCTCACCTGCAGATGCCCCAAGGTTAAACAGGCGACCGGTGGATTCGACCAGACCTGGCGAGCCGTCGCTCAATCTCAAGCCCACTGAAGCGCCCAAACCAGGCAGGGCCTCCCTTGACATCAGCCGGACTACTGATTTGCCGCGGTCAGGGAGAAGCTCCCTGGACGGGGATAGACCTGCAAAGGGCCAAGAGAAACCCAGTCTAGCATCCTTAGGTCTCGTGAGCGCGGCTTCACGAATTGGGGTGTTTGTAGACGACGACCTCTTCGGCGACGAAGATAGGTTCCTCTCCGATGAGCGGTCCGGTTCAGACAGCAATAGGGAAGACGACGATGCGGATGCGATACACCAAGCCGCTCCCGGCGATCTTGGCCTGGCCGAAGCCATCACAGTCCTAACCAACGACATTGACAAACTAATCGCTCAGGACGCAGTAGTGGATTCTCTGCTGAGGAAGGCAGAACTAACGAATAACATGGCCGAGCTGAGAATTCTTCGCAAGTCAAAGGCAAGTCTGCAAAGGGAAATTCGGAGAAAGGAGCTGCAGAGACAACAGTACGTCATACAGGAGAGTGACAATAGCCTGTATGGCCGCTCCACCATCAAAATCAAAGGAATCCAGGTCGGGCGAGATGAAGATGGCAAGGAATTCGCCCTCTATGCTATCGAGGTTTCGAGGAACGCGGGCGAGCAGATGCCTGCGGCTACGTGGGTCATCACACGGAGGTATAGCGAGTTCCTCGAGTTGCACCAGAAACTCCGCTCGCACTATCCCTCGGTTCGCAATCTCGATTTTCCCCGCCGTCGCGTCGTCATGAAGCTGCAAAGCGAGTTCCTTCAGAAGAGGCGCGCAGCCCTCGAAAAGTACCTCAGCGAGCTGCTTCTCCTACCCGACGTCTGCCGCAGCCGCGATTTGCGTGCCTTCCTTTCCCAGCGCGTCATTACCGCGCAGCAGGGGACAGAGGGGAGCAGCAACAAACAGAGAGATATGATCTCGCGCCTCTACGACTCGGTCGCAGACGGAATGGAGGATATACTTGGCAGCATACCTGTTCTGGACCAGCTCTCATTAGCTGGGCAGAACCTCATCGCGGCGGCTACGAATCAGCTTGGGACGATGCCCCTAGGCGCACTCAACGACGAGGTGGCTGATGCGGCGGGGATTATGAGCGCCGCCGAGGCTGAGGCGGAGCTCAATGCGTTTGAGAATAACAACAAGGAGCTCGAGCCCTTTGTCAAACCGATATGTGACATCTTCCTCGAGGTGTTTGAGCTCAATCGGGGCAACAACTGGCTGCGCGGCAGGGCTGTGGTAGTGGTGCTGCATCAGCTACTGGGCGGCACCATTGAGCGCAAGCTGAGAGACAACGTCAGGGCTCTCTTGCAGGAGGACGCGCTGCTCAAGTACATCGGCCTGTTGAGAGACGGCCTGTGGCCTGGCGGCCAGCTGCCTAGGGACAAAGTGCCCCGAACGCCAGCGGAGAAGGCGAGGACCAGGACTGAGGCTAGCTTAATGCTTGCGACGCTCGTGCCGGATCTGGCGGGTAGCGTAGTAGGCCGGCTGAACGCGCAAGCGGCGAGCAGGAGGGTGTTTGCGACCTTGAATAACTCGCGGTTGAAGTAGGCAGCCCTTCTCTCCCTTTCCTGAGACGAAAGCACTAACTTTGCTTCTTTACACAGTGCCCATTTGGCGTTTACTTTGTTGGACGAAGTCATCAACGTGCTGTTTGAGAGCTGAGTTGGTGGAGGGTAATCAACGTAATTAATGGACTGCATAGCATTGGAGTTTTGGCTTGGGGTTGATGGGCAAGCTGCAAGCATCACACGTCGGGGGTTAGCGTTGTTTACCTTAGTTATCTGTATGTATCTCATATACCAGCTACATGTACATACCAGGTATCCATGACCTGTGATGGCCTGTTTCTACGCCGAGCCTCATCTCGCCTGTATTCTGGAGTCCGGGTTCTCACCACCTGAGAGCAAAGCATGGCGATGAGATATTTCCAGCATCACGCTTGGCCTACTAGTAGTATCTAGGAGTATCGATATCCTGAGTTCGAAATGATCAAGATCGGGATCGACAGTGACGGTATGACAGCAACGAAGATCCTGGTGTACATAGTGAAGTTGGATCTTACTTGCGTGGTCAAACTTGGTTGGATCATGACAATGACAAGGCTGTGAATTGGCGGCTCTGTATGGGTTCTCTGCGGTTGCTCTCGGAGCGATGCAAGCGACCTATGGGAGCCTCCCCCACGGCGGCTCAAATCTGTGGTTGGGCACAAAAAAAAGCCTTGGCACGGGCCAGAGTCGATTTACGCATCCCATTTGCTGCCCCCGGGCACATGCTGCAGCTTTGGTTTCAGTGGGTCCCACGGTCCCACCCTCCGCCTCCGTTCTTCTTTGCCCCCGGTCAGTTGCGCGAAGCCAACTTTTCCCTCTTTCATCACCCTTCACTACCAGCCACGGCCCCATCACTTGTCGCGGCACGGAAAGGTATCCATCGCAACGCGATTTCCATAGGGCATCCATGCATCACCCTTCAACCTGCAGTGGCTAATACACGGCATTCGGTCGTCTGATATTTGCTCTTTCCCTTCCAGTTTCCCGCGCCAGGTGGGCAAACACCCAGTCAACAGGCCAGCCGCAAAGCCCTCCCAAGGTGGAATTGGCCTTTGAGCAACTGGAAGCTCTTAACCCCACTCGCAGAACGGACCCTTTCCTCGCATCCTCTTCCAACACAGTCCATCCAGTGCACTCCGGGACAAGGAACCATCCACTGCAGCAATCATGACCGAGGTGTCGTCTACCCGTCTTTACCTGGGCAACCTGCCCAAAAATGGTGAGCTTCTTGCGACTCCAAGGACCCGCGACATTGCCCGATCCAGGTGACGCCGTGGCCACCATACAACCGCTTAGACTGACCCGCGCCCCAGCTACCAAGGCCGATGTCGAGGCTCACTTTGCAACCCATGGCACCGGTGAGATCACAGAGATCAAGCTCATGAATGGGTTTGGTTTCATCGAGTACAAGGATGCCATGGATGCCCGTGATGTCGTCCCAGGTATGTTTTGCCGCTGTCTACTGTTTAGTGTCTATCGTCTCTTGGCAATGAGTTCTGTTTTGCTAACGAGTTTTGCATCTTTCAGCTTTCCGTACGTTGTGGCCTTCGCTTGGAGATACCCGATCCTCTGACCATCCCTTCCTGGCTAACGGCATTCTGTGAAGATGGATCCGATTTTATGGGCGAGCGTCTCACTGTCCAGTTTGCCCGCGGCACGCGCCACCGTGAAGGAGGCAGCGGCTACAACCATGAGCGCAACAGTGCTCCCCGGCCCCGCCGCACGCCTCATAGAATGCAAATCACTGGACTTCCCAATGATACCAGCTGGCAGGTCTGTTAAACCTCTTCCACTTCGTTTTCCGCGGACGTATCATGGATTCATCCAGCTTTGAGGCTTTTGGAGCTGGCTATACCCCCCTTGGCCTGGTTGGGATCCTCGGTCCTGGTTCAGCTGGTTTGGTCAGCCCGTCTGGATCACGCTTTCTTCCCCCGAACAGGTCTCATCATGTTGGCATGGTCGACATCCAAATCGGCATGCTTCCCGAGAGAGTTATGCATCCCATGGTTCTTCGGCGCTCGCATAATTTGAACTGCAATCTTGTCGCTGGGTTTTGTTGCCGAGTGCTTTGGGCAGCGGAGGGCTATCAAGCGAGAAACTTCCCCAGAACCCTCAACCCTCTGACACTCTTGGTTTTACTGGACTTGGCTGTTCCTTCGCGTTGGGAAACCGCCAATCGTCGACTCGAGCATCGCAACTTACATGGAGTCTGGCTCTAGGATTTGAAAGACTTTGCCCGTCAATCCGGCCTTGATGTCGTCTACTCGGAAACCAACCGCAATTCTAACGGTGAAGGGTACGTGTCTTGAGTCAGCGCACAACAACCGCGAGCCCTAACGACCATTTAGCTTCGTCGAGTTTGAAACGGCTGCGGATCTCAGAACTGCGGTTGAGAAGCTGGACGGCCGTGAATTTAAGAATTCTCGCGTGACCTGCGTTGCAAACGTACGAACTCCCTGCCATCAGTCCTTTTTTTCCCTGTGGCTAACGTTTCGAGCAGACTCAACCTGACTTTCCGCGTGGAGACCGAGCTCGTTCGCGATCTCCCCGCCGTCCTTATCCGCCCCCTGTTGATGACTATGATCGGCGCGGCCCTCCCCGCGGCTATAGCCCTCGTCGGGATGCCTACCGGGATGGATACCGTGAGCGTACCCCCCCCCCAAGAAGGGACTACTATGACGACCGGAGGGGCGGCTACCGGTCGCCTCCCCGTCGCGGACCACCCCTGGATGATTACCCTCCCCCGCGTGGCCGCTACGATGACCCCTACCGTGCCCCACGTGACTACCCCCCGGACCCGTACGTCAATGGACGCGGCGCTTATGATCGTCGCCCCCCGCCGCCGGACTTCCCGCCGCCGCGTGAGCCGTATGCCAGGGAGCCCTATCCTCGGGATTATGAGCGCCGCTACTAGAGAGCGCTTCAATGTACCCTACATAGCGACGGAGCTGCAAGTGCAGTAGGTGTCCAACTAGGGGGGCGCTCCATGGCATGTCGATCCTGTTACGGTTATGAGACCTCTCGGTGGGGCCCCTCGACAGATTGTGACGGTTCGCTTGATTGGGGACACCCAGAATGGACTTGATGATGAACGGTTTCTTTTGTCTGGTGGTTGTGTTGCCGAAAAGCGTTAGGAGCCACGGTCGCGGTTGTTTCTTAGCCAAGTTTCTTGTTCGATAGCTCAAATGCCAGTTCGTCGGCGTTCCCGCACATTGTCGATTGCCCTCACTGATAGTGTGGATGAGTTTGGATAGAACTGTTAGCTACACAACACTGATGACGGTTTGGTCGCTTTCAAGAAAATTCACTCTGGAGGTCAAGTGCGACCAAAACCACCCAACACGCCGAAACGCGCCTACGTGATCCTTAGCCTCATCCAAAAGTAAACCTTCGACGCTATGCCGGTCATACAGAACTGCAAAGGCGTATACGCGAAGCGGCGCGGTGTCGCCCGCCTCATCTTCTCCCGGAAGTTTGACGTCAAGATGACCTCCCTGCGTCCATCTAAATGGCCTCGCTTCATCTTTGGGCTTCTGGTTATTCACGCCGTTAAATCGAAGTTTTCCCCGACTATAGTATAAGGTTGCCCGTTTCATAGAACCGCGCATAACCAAGTATCCTGCCCTTACCGCGCCAAAAGGCGCATTTTCGTTTGCTAGCACCACCTTGTGTGCCAGAATCTCACATCCCGCTTTTACGTGCGACCGATACGATTCTCGAAGTATCTCAAAATCAATGGTTCCATCGACAGATGCCCAAGACCATGATGGCGCACGATACGTTGTAGGGCGAGGCTGCCGCGTATCTTGGCTGCCGCCGAGCGGAGTCCAAATATTTTGAACTCTCCAGCAAAGGTTGAACGGGAGGTCTGATTCCCAAAGTCCTGCAAGGTAGACACCTTTCCGCTTTACCATACTTGGAACAGCTGAGAATGCCAGTAACTTGTCGCCGGGGTCAGATAGCTCTCTCCTGGTAAAAGAATTCACTAAGCCAGCCCAGTCGCCTAGCGAAATAACCGAGTCATGCCCATCCACTGCTGACGAAGCAAGATCTGCAAGTATGAGTGAATCGTGGAAGAACTTCTCATAACGCCTTTTGGGCGGAAACCCTGCCTCGCAGCTCTGCTTTGATCGGCATCTCCAGCGCACCTGCGTCGACGAAAACTCTATTAGCCGTTCAGATAGGACGCGTTCCTGGAACGTCCACGCCCTGGAATTTATGGGATCTCACATGTCGTCGGGCGACGGCTCGCCAGTCACAAGAATCCTTCCCTCCATACCGGTTGAAGAAGTGTAGCGAAGTGCAAACGGCTGCATGCTCCTCGGGATGTGTCTGTCCTGCAGGAAGCCCTCAGAAGCAGCAGCAGAACTCGATGCCGAGATTGTGATGTATGCGTGCGAGTACACATTCGCCATCTGTGCGATATCCTCTGCTTTCGTGACGACATCATCTTGCACGATGCAGAGCGAATCTATCCAGATGTATGGGATCTCCAGGGCATATACCACTTTGACAGCGTCAATTATGGTTTTTGGCAGACGTGCTAGGTCGATTCCTCGATATTGATTGTGTAAGGTGGCGCGAGTGGTCTTATATGGCTGGTCTTCCGGGCCCCAACAGTAAGACAATGCACACCATCGAATGCATTCTCCCGGAGTCGGATCGCATAGTTTGATACAGGGGCGTCCGCCGTCATCTTCAACACAAATCAGTCGTCTGGGTGCATAGTCATTGCGGGCCGCCGGGCAAGTGCCTGATCGAACATGCAGTTCGTAACACTCTTTTATCTCGTTTCGGATGAAGTTGAAAACTTCTTCGCATTCTACCCGTGGGTTTATTGGCCTGAATTGGAGGTCCACGGCGGCCGGGTCGTCTATAATGCCATTAGGAACTATTCATGCAAGGAGCTGGGTTTTCATAGACTCAGCATGCCCTTTTCTGCCACAGCTGTGATCCTCTCACTCATCCACCCCATGCAGCGAAGAAGGATAAAGCCATCAATATCGTAGCAGAGCCTATACGGTCTTCGGAGAGGGTTGCACAGCCCTTTAAGTAGGGCCCAAATCATTCGCCAACGGTGCCGTTCCCACCACTTTTACTTTAACCACGGCTCAAAGGCCGCGCGATCGAATGTTTGGTACAACGGGATCGTCGGGAAGAGCTGAAATAGAGGGCAGCCGTCACGGACAGCTACAGCTCCTTGCGCCGCCGAGTGAGGCAACCTCACCTCCAACAAATTAATTAAATCCACCGGACAAATAGGTCTGGATAGCTGGAAGGCCTGGCAATGCTGGCACTCGTGAGGGACTGAGGGGTGTTTGTCTCGGCGGACATGCTGCGCCATAACTGAGACTGAGAGCCTTGTCCGAGCATAAGTAGCATCACCTCCGGTGAGGTTTGTTTTCGAACAAGATTCAAGAATAAAACTATTCAGGTGCTTGGAGAGGGCAAAAGATACAGAATGCTACGGAGTACATACCGGTAATGTGATGTGTGTGAGGTGCGACTGTTGTGTAGCTCAACATTGGTTGAGAACTTGAGATCTTGAGGGTCTGCGGGAACATGGTCTTCCCGAAAACAGTGCCCCACACATCAATCAGGTTATATTACATAGGTACTGGAATTACGCTGTAACAAATTTACGTAGATGTACGGTAACTTTACTCTTATCTTATCGATCAGAGCTGCAGACTGCAGTGCTTAACTCCAAATTTTCTCCCCTGTCACTTGGCAGAAAGTCCACACGCCTCAGCTTCTGAGAAGGGTTCTGGATCTCGATCTCGCAGTCCGGGCAACAACACTTCGGTAACATAGCAATCAGCCAGTGATCATGAAGAGGAAACTGGACAAGAACGGCGAGCCCTCTGAAGTGGCAGAGTCTGAAAAGGAACCCAACCGAGCAGAAAAGAACCAAGTAGCGACGCAACAACCAAACGCAGAACCGTCCTTTGCAGACCTCGGTCTCGATCCGCGCCTTGTGCAGGCCGTCGCCAAACAGAGTTTTGAGAAGCCAACCCTCGTCCAACGAAGGGCCATCCCGCTGGCCCTACAAGGTCAGGATGTGCTATGCAAGGCGAAGACGGGCTCTGGGAAGACGGCTGCCTATGTTCTCCCAATGCTATCAGGCATCTTGAAGCGCAAGAATGTATGTGCTCGGACTGCAACGACTTGCTTGCTGCCACATTTTGAAGTCGAGGTGCGCTGACCTAATTGACAGACGGATCCTACACCATATACGGCTGGTCTTATTCTCGTTCCGACACGCGAGCTCGCCGACCAAGTCTTCAAAGCCATCGAACAGTTCTCCGCCTTTTGCGCAAAGGATATCCAGGCCGCAAAACTGACCGAAAACGTTTCGGATGCGGTCCAGCGCTCCCTCTTGGCCAACGTCCCTGACATCGTTGTCTCTACGCCGGCTCGCGCATGGAACAGCATCAATTCGTCGGCGCTCTCGCTCGGCAAGCTGCAGTACCTGGTCTTGGACGAGGCTGATCTAGTGCTGTCGTACGGTTACGATGAGGATATGGAAAACATTTCGCGATCACTACCAAAAGGCGTACAGACCATCATGATGAGCGCGACCCTATCGGCCGAATTGGATACGCTAAAGGGAATCTTCTGCCGGAATCCAACAATGCTGGATCTAAAGGAAGAGTTTGGGGCCGAAGACGAGAAGCTTACTCAGTTTTACGTCAAGTATGTTGCCATTGCCCTTGTACGCCATTTCAAGTCCCCACTGACAGTTGTTAGGTGCGGCGAGGATGACAAGTGGTTGATTTCATACCTCATTTTCAAGCTGCAACTGATTAAGGGGCCTTGCCTTATCTTTGTGGCCGACATTGATCGGTCGTATAGGCTGAAGGTGGGCTATACGTGATTTCTCCTCTATCAGCTCGGCAAACCTCTGACGGTTTTGCAGCTATTCTTTGAACAATTCAGCATCAGGAGTTGTGTTCTAAACTCGGAACTACCAATCAACACCCGGATCAAGATCATCGAGGAGTTCAACCGCGTAAGGGAAAATGCTCCCAAGATGCAAAGAAGATTAATGCTGATTCATTGGGCAGGGCATCTACGACATTATCATCGCGTCCGACGAAAAGAGCGAAGTATTTGGAGACGAAGCGGCTGGCGAGGAAGAAGCAAAGAAGGGGAGCAAGAAGGAATCCAACTCTAAGCAGAAGGACAAAGAGAGCGAGCAGCCGAAGAAGAAGAGGAAACACAAGAAGGACGAGGAATACGGAGTGTCTCGAGGTATGCAAGACAGATACGCTTCGGGCCATTTCTGGCAGAGTCATACTAACTGGCGGTGTAGGCATTGACTTCAAAAATGTTGCGGCAGTAATAAACTTTGACCTCCCTACATCCTCTTCCTCCTACACCCACCGGATAGGGCGCACTGCCAGAGCCGGGCGAGCTGGCATCGCCCTTTCCTTCGTTGTGCCCAAGGAACTCTATGGCAAACACAAGCCAACATCGATAAAGAGCTGCGAAAAAGATGAAAAGATCTTGGCCAGAATCATGAGGCATCAAGCCAAGCTAAATAGGAAACTGGAGCCCTACAACTTCAGCAAAACCCAAATGGAAGCGTTCAGGTACCGCATGAATGACGGTATGTTTACGCGTGTTCAATCAATCTTGAGCAGTTTGCTGACTTGCCAAAGCCCTTCGTGCTGTTACCAAAGTAGCCATTCGGGAAGCCAGGACAAGGGAACTGAGGCAAGAGCTGCTAAGAAGTGAAACATTGAAACGGTAAACATATCTGCATTCCTTTATAAGGGCATTAGGTACTGACTCGCAAATGTAGGTATTTTGAGGAGAACCCGGCAGAGCTCTCGCACTTGAGGCACGATGGTGAGCTTGGCAGGACAACAAGACAGCAGCCTCACCTCAAGCATGTGCCCGATTACTTGCTTCCCAAAGACGGGAAAAAGGCGCTTACGCCCAACGTTGGTTTCGTCCCGTTCAAGAAGGAAGGTGGCAAGGATAGGAGACGTAAGAAGGGCAAGCCCAAAGGGCGGTCGTTCAAAGTTGGCGGGAAAAAGGACCCGCTGAAGACATTCAAGGTCCGGCGGAAGGCGAAGTGAAGGGAAGTCTTTTAGCAGCCGGCTACTCCATCGTGTAATGCATGCCCATGCTTCCTAGAGGACTGATACCCCCCTTGCTTAATGCTTCTGCCCCCAGTGTATGTCATGTAGAGACAGTGCCAGCGAGATATCACAGTTCTCTGCTCCCGGGAAATGAATGGTGCGAACCATGAATATCCCAATCTGATACCAGCAATGGCAGCAAGATGAGCTGAATCTACCTTCTGTCGTCCGGTAAACATGCTCAGGGCCTCACCCGTCGACTGCAAAAACGGGTTCCATTTCCAAGCTGACAATAGTTCGCCAGAGTGGGTTCAGACTTCAGAGCTATCCCCATATGCTTATTCTGAGAATATTCAAATTGAACCCTTTGCACCCATAACAGTTATATACCTTGCAATAATCCTGTCAAACGAGTAAATATTGTAGCAAGTAAACTCGTCTCCTAGCTATAGGGGGCAGCATTTACACGCACGCAGAAGGACGGGAGTCATAGGTACTGTACTGTACTTACGCGGCCTTCGCCTCCCGCAGCTCGCCACTGCCAAGGCAGAGGGTGATATGTATAAGAACCCACACCACATCCCTACTCTCACTCCTTATTCCTCCTGACTTCCGAAGCTTCAACTCCACAGGCAACTGCTGACGATAAGCAATTTGAAACCTCCCGGGCTATTAATTATCGGTAATATCGATTGCCTCATGCATTCCACACCCAGACCGCACACCAAATCAACCCTTCTCACTCTCCGCCCTCCCAGCACTGAACAAATGTCTGACAAGGCGACAACAACAACAACGGAAACCCCGTCGGAGGCTACTCAGTCCGGGGTATCTCAAACCAGCCAGCAGCCCGGCGCTACCACTTCACAGCCGACAGGTGCCGGCGTCAACACGGGTGCAGGGATCACACGGCCAAAGACAGAGGCCGAGATTGATGCCGACAGGCGCTATGAGGAGGCTATTGAGGAGGAGTATGCCAAGCGCGAGGGCGGCGCATAGGGGATTCGCTTGATGCGAGGTGCTTGTTCAACGTCATCGTCCTGGAAAGACTTCATGAATCCCAACTCTGTTACATTTGCACCTGTACCATCCTACAGTCACCCTATTGGTCAACAAACACAAGAGACAACACGTCAATTGAGTGAATACTAGGTACTAGTTGATGCATTACATGTATACCGGCCCGTCATCAAGACACTTCCCCGGCTAGGGCTTCTATACAATGCCTGATCTCCTTGCTCTTCCACCCTCACGCCCTTTCGCCAAGCGGACCGGGTGTGCCTCAGTGTTATACACAAACTGATTCGTGTGATCGCTCTTCACCTGCCAGGGAGCGTCCTAAGAGAGGGAAAGCCCATCGTCAGTAAAATTCCTCCTCTTCAAGATAGGTTTGTCTGAGTAAACTCACCTCGGCGTGGATCAAATAACTATACTTCAGCACTTCGGCAAACCAGAAACTCTCCTGGAAATCAAAGAAACCTCCTCCTCCTTGCTGATTCACATCCCTCACTCCGGAATACCCACTTCCTATCCTGCACGTCTCGTTCACGGCCACAAATGCCTCCCACGCCCCTACACAGCGTTAGCCACAACACTGCTCTAGACCGTTTCAGGGATCGCAGTTTTCAGGAGTGAAGTCAATCAGCTCGGCAGATAGCATGCCATCCTCCAGAACCGCTGCTAAGGGGGTCGGATAAATCACTCAAACCCCGGAACAGGTAACTTACACTCTTGATACTTCGGGTCCCCGGTGGCGCGATAGGCATAGTAATAGCTCTCGATGACCTCGGGACGGAGGACGTAGCCGCCGTTGGTGATCCAGAAGCCGGCGACGTCGTAAAAGCGTTGCTGCCCAGCCGGCGGCGGCGGGTTGTGCGTCACGTCTTCCGGGGCGCGCGAGAGGTCCTGCCAGCGAAAGGCCTCTGGCCCGATCTTGGTCGCCGTGGATGAGTACGTGGCGCGGCAGCCCTCGGTCAGGGCCAAGCCGAGCTCTATGTAGGATGGCTCGTCGAGAACAAGGCCGCCCAGGATGAAATTGCCCCCGTTGAAGCAGGCCACTTTGGTGAAGCGGGGTCAGCAGGTTAGATTCCTTTTGAAAGAGAATAAATAGGGTCTAGCAGGGTCTAGAACTGACGGTGTTCGGAGACGAAATGAAGCGTCTGGTTGCGCCACATGGCGAGGAAGGTGAGATCGGGCCGGGTGGTAGGGTGCGACACGAGATACTTGATGGATGAGTCGGCTGCTGTGATCCAGCGGTCGCGATACTCGCCGAAGCGGTCAGGGTCGTACAGGAACATTTTGATAAGATACTCGTAGAAGCTGTCAGTGCCACCACCCCAGCCGCCGTTGCCATTCACGAACAACCCGGTGGTGAGGTTGACGTCGCTCCCCAGAAGCCCCGGGAAGGGCTCTCCGAGTGGAGGCTGCGGGTGCAGGAGATATGATTCGGCCTTCTGGGCCAGCCGCCCATACTCAACATCGTCGGTCAGGTCACTGAGCCGTGTCCACTCCAGAACCAAGGTGCCTATGGTGGCAATTCCATTCGTGGTAGAGCCCGATTTGCGTGGCGGATTAAAGAAGAGCCCATTATCTGGAACACCGCTGGGAGTATCGAAAGCTACCTTGAGGTTGTCGGCAAGCCGTTTGGCTTGCTTGAGGATGGCTTCTACTTGGACTGTCTCGTTGATCTGGCCATCTAGAGGACCGGTAAGAAGGTCGTAGGCTGCTCTTCACGTCAATACCCAGGCAAAGTGTACTCAGGGCCCTTATGTCCTACCAGACAGCAGCCCTCCGAGATACCGGATGGTTGTCTCAAACAGAGAGACTTCAGTAGTTGTGTTGTCAAAGTTGATTTCTGGTATGAACTCCAGAATCTGCCTTACGACGGGCCAGTTTCCCATAACCAACGCGGTGCTGAGGGCGTCGACGGCGCTTGCCCCCCACCCGTTTCTTGAAGGCGATGTCACTCAGCCATCAAGCCAAACCAAGGAGCACAGTGAGGGACGTACCTGTCATCTGCATACCCATCTGACACGGGCCGCAGAGAATCATGGGGAAAGGCATACAGGTAGTACCCGTCCCATGATGTCTGGAACGCCTGTTTCACTGCGTCGGCACGATCCTGGTTGACAACATATTGGGGGGCGCGAGGTCTATGAGGAGCTGCGGCCACGAAGTCCAAGACTCCTAGAATGAGCCCTCCAAGGCCGAGGACGTACATGATCGTCGGTTGCTGAGGATGGCTTTTCGAGTGAACGGTACCCTGACGTATGGCAGTCGTCGCCAGACTAAGACCGATGGAAAACAAATGACGGAATAGTCTATATTATGCGGACCGCGGTGATCCGAGAGTGAAGCTCACCTGGGCTCTCCTCAAGCAGACGCGAACGACTGCAGGCCGACTGAAGTCCCCGTGGGAAAAGGGAAAACAATTATATTAATCTATTTCGGCCCACGCCAAGAAGGAATGAGTCGGACGACAGATGCCGCCTTATGCGGGCGGATCGAAAAATGAAAGGTCTCATGTCCATGGGCAGGTGGACTCTGCGCCATGGCTCCTTTGATCTTGCAGGAACGCTGCATTGCTGAAGAACGTCAGAAGGTCGTACCGTACCTTGACTTTGCGAGGGAAAGATGTGTTCACGCATGAGGAATCCTGGTCAAAAGGCCAAGCCAACAGTGCCGATCCCTAGCGCTTCCCCGTACCTTGGCCCTGACGCAATGCCGTGATTGGCCAGTTCCCCTTAGACCTACCAAAACAAGCAGGAGCTCGGATCCCGCTGGTCACTGACACTGGCACCTCCGTGTTGTGTTGTGTTGAATGAGACCAGACAAGCAGCTGAGCAATGTCTACCAGAACCTCATGGCTGTGGTTGCAATGCATAACACAAGTGTTCCTCATCTGACCATTCTAGTCTTCCAAACTGTTGTATGAGGGCGTTCTCTCGTCCTTCGAAAGATGGAGAGGTAGACGATATGACTTATGACTGTCCATCTAAAGGGCAACTCCATTTAGGATGGATCGCATAAACCACACCCTGACTGATCAGCTTGAGAAGATCTCAATTCAACTGAAAGTCCACGTTGGCACGTCTACCACCCACACTCATCCATCGTCGCAACTGGTCCATAGCAAAATGACTCGAATCATGGCAAGCATGTAGCGATCGAGCCAGGATGTATCTATCAGAAATAGTACAATGTCGGTGGGCTGTAAGTGAAAAGGCGGGCAGATGGGCTGCCTGTTCTGCACGAGGCAATATGATTCTAAGACGCCCATAGAGTAGGGTTGACTCGCAAGAGACGACAGGTTTAAGCACGCATTTAATTCGCAAGCGGTAAGTGCCCTAGATGTGCAATGCCAACACGACCAACGCCCATCAGACACGGCTATCAGCTGTTTAGAGCCGGGACCAAATAACCACCCCTAGTAATTGGATGGTCTGCGCCATAAAGATCCGAGATCAGAAACCGTCGTCACTGGGAGTCGACGGCGTGCCAGCGTGCATCACATTACCGACCTGATCGGACCCCGCCTCGCCTGCCAGAAATGATCGCTTTGGTATGACACAGCGATGGCGAACCACAGAGCTCAGTCGCATCGATTACCGGCTCACCGACCCTAGACAAGGTGCCCTGCTGCGCCAAGGGAATCAGGGCAACTCGAGAACGCTGTAGCAGTTGTGGTGGTATGCCGATTCCCCTATTGTAATCTTCCCACTTGGTGTAGACACTCGCGCGGGGAAGTAGATTCCTGGTAAAAACCAATACAAGGAGTCTCCGGCACAGCCAATGTCGCTTCCTTGTGTTGCCGCTCGTTGCTTCTTGAAGCATACAGCGCCAGAGTCTCAACCTTCACGTTGGGCGTACTTGGGCGGGAGAACGTTGACAGTGTCACTTTCAAGGTCTCATGGCCACCCGCCGATATGAAAGCAGAGTGCCCGCGCGCGCGCATACACCGACGTCCGACAAGCATAGCACCGGCTATGAGCCGAATGACAGGCTTCTGACTAAGGCCATGGTGAGGGGGAAGAGTCTTTCCGCCAGTAGCATGCCGGGCGCTGTCGTGCGATGCTAGATGGAAAGCCATTCCCGCTCGAGTAACAGCACGGGCCTGAGGTTAGCCCTTCTCTCTCAGTCTTGCCAACGCGGCAGCTACGCCTTCACTCAAGTGATGATCGCCCTTCTGGGCCGGAGCCGTAGCCGGAACGGGCGTGGCCTCCGCCGCCGCAATCAAAGCCTCCTCTTCCGCTTCGTCCTCGGCGACATCTGCATTTCTTGAAGCAGCCAACTCCTTCCTTGCCGCCGCCGCCGCCGAGCTAGACACGCCTCCAATGGGCACCGCAGCGGTGACCCTCGTCGCCTTCCTCTTGGCAGCCTTTTGGACTCGAAACGGCGCCTCGACGGCCTTGCACCAGCTCTTCACCTTCTTCTCCCCCCAACCGCCCACAACGGCGACCTGCTCCGGGTCGGCATTGACGGCGTGCCGCAGGCTGCCAAAGGTGCTGACCAGGGCTACGGCGTCGGCTTTGTTGATGTTGCGCGGCACCGTCACAAACTCGACCAGCTTCTCGGCGTAGCTCGTGGCCTGCTGCCCGCGGATGGCGCCGAACCCGGCGTGCTCGTATGACTTGTACAGCTCGAGGTAGCGTGCGGCCTCGGCGGCGCTCCAGCAGAGGATCAGCGTCACGTTGTTGACTAGCGACGTCTTGGCCAGCTCGCGCAGCGATTCCTCGTGGTTGGGTATGTCGACTAGGGTTAGGAGGACGCGCAGATTGTACTTGTGCTGCAGGTTGCGGATGCGCGTGTAAATGTATTCCGGGTGCAGGCGATGGTACTTGAGACTGGACTCAAGACGTTAGTGTGTTGAACAGAGTTGAGTACGTAGGGTAAAGAGTTGAACCGCCTATAGACAACGTGAGACGAAATTACCCACCTCAGAAAAAGAGCGCAAGTCGTCAATCCCAGCCCGTAGTCTGCCAGAATGTCGCTGTACTCCCACGGAACAGATTTCAAGCAAGCCAGCACCGGGTTACCCTTCTGCCTAGGCGAAACGAGGATTGACGACCCAGACGACCGGGACGGAAGTGCTTGCGGAGTGGGCTGCACAACCTTGGCACCTGAACTTGAGGAGGCGTTTGACGACGGCGCTCTATCAAGCCGTTGCGGAGTAGGCTGCTGGAATCTAGGGGGGACAGGCCGTTGTTGAGGCGGCCTCGAAGGACCTGGCTGGGCATCTGCCAGAGCGGCCAGGATATCGTCGTCAGCGCCGAATTCATCATCATCCATTCTATCTCGCTACCGATATGGACTGAGAGGGATGGCTGATTTGGCGATACAGCAACAGAGTTGGTTACGTTATGTGCTCGGTTGATCTCCAGGAACAGTTGACATGGGTAAGGTGAGAATCTCCAAAAGCACGAGCTAAGCACGAGCTAAGAATGTCTCGGCAAGTGGGGCATTGTGCAGATCAGGCGTTGGAGAATCGAAGGCGGGAACTGGAAGCGAGCCTGCGCAAGCGAGGCAAGCTCCGGGGATGGAAACCTCTGAGGAGCCATCCTCTGGTGAAATGTGATGCGTTTCTTCCCTTGATAGGTAGATATAACGGTAAGTATTTTGAACTGGGGATAGCACAGGCATGTGAGAAGGGAACTGGCGCCGGTGTTTGTCACATGTTGGCTTTCACATATTAATTGTTAAGATGATACTGGAACTATAAACGCCCGCCCTACCCATCACTGTACTCTGTATGCCGAACTTGAAGAGACGCCCCCATAACCCAAACGCATTTCTGGTATCATAAATGGCTTGCCCTAATCCAGTTCCTCTGTCCCAAGTTCCGCTCCGTAATCGCTCTCACTCCTCGCCCCATTCCCCGTCAATGAGTCGTGTATTGCATACAGGGATCGTAACCACATGTCGAACATCATCTCCAGCGATCTTGACTCCTTGGAGGCCGGTCTCCTCTCCAATATCTGGTCCCGTAACCTTTCGTAGGCCTCGATCATGACCCACACTTGGAGGGCTGATGGATCTGGACAAGACTTGCCCGGCCGGCCCTCCAGGGCGGATGAGAGGTCCCGTGTAAGAAGGTCTAGACATATCTGTAGACTCAAATTGTCGTCCGCAGATGTGCAAGAGGAGTAACTAGGAAGTCGAGCGAGTGGCAACGTCGGCTCTGGAGAAAAAGAGACAGGCTTGAAGTAGACTGTTTCCTCCTCAAAGGCGACTAGCGTGCCGTCGTCGTCCGAGGTGGTGGAACGCTGCGCAAAGTCACGGTTGCGCATTGGTGCACATATTGGCGTCTCGGGCGGGAGGCTGGCCGAACTTCGTCGCCGCCTATCGATCAATGCCTCGTCGCTTTCACCCTCGTCGAGTGACAGTGAGGGCTCTGAGATCGCATCGCTATGTACCGAAGCGCGATAGTCGAGCAAAGCACGGTACTGGTCGGCAATGAGATCGACACTTGATGTCCTGCCGAGGGCGTTGCTAGGTCTCGGTATGTCCTCCAGCTGTCCGATGGAGAAGATGGGCGTCTTTGCGCGACGTCGCATCTTGGGAGCCGAAGGCGCCGGTGATTCCGGATTGGAACTTGATCGCTGATGTGGATTGCTCCTGACGAGGTGAGAAAACTCTGGAACTATGTCTCCTGGACGTCTAAGACCCTCCTGTGAATCCCAAGGCGATTCACGAAGTTGAATACGCCGGTCACCCGGGAAGAATTCGGCCCATTTAGAGTCACTAAGATCCGGAGGCGGCAATGACGGCGCATGGTCTTGCGTTTGGGTCCCTGGCTTGTTGATGTTCGTAGTCTCAGATTTATTGGACGTCCGCGTTGCGGTCGACGCGCCCGAGCCGAGCCGCCACGGAACAGTGCTTCGGTGCTTCGACAGGCTCTTCTGCAGCTTTCTTCTCAGCTTTGGGCCCTTGGCTACTGACGGGAGAGCGGCCAATAGGCTCTCTTTGGTTTGTTCCATTGTTTATCGAAAAATGCCGATTTAGGCGGTTTGGGTCTTCGCGGGCGGGTCAAGAACGAAACAACACAGATCGACAGCTTTCTGTGTGCTTGACGGCTGTTGAGGCTGAAGGGTAGGCTCATCAACGGCATATAACTAATAGACTAAGACAAGGCGGGCGGGTTTTAGAGAAATGACGTCTGACCAAAGTACGGGGTTGGCCACACCACTTGGGGCCAACTCGGGACTCTGACACCAAAAACTGGGATTCTGCCTGCACGCGTAAACTAGCCGACTAGCCCCATGCAATTGCTTCCTGCAAGACATGGTTTTGTCTGAATCATGGAAGCTACTGGACCTGCCGTCGCAGAGGACCGTGAACGCTACTTGCGTTCTAGAAAACGCTCAGATCGCGATCTCTTGGTGGATGCGCTTGCACCACCAGTAGGGACCAAGGTTGGACCGCCGACAACCTCCGGCAGCCACGCAGCCCTGTTGCGATCAGAAATTCAATCTGAAATGTCTCATGCCTCGACTCTTCAAGCAAATACAATGGGATGCGGGCTGAGCGGACGCACCAGTTCCGAGTATCGCAACCAGCATTACCTGAGAACTTGGCAACGTGAGAGACACGTTATGGCCGGCTTTGAGGTGAGAAGCCCAATCTTCCGCGTGCTCCCGACGGCTGAATTAAGACCCTGCTGTCGCATGGCCGAGGTTTCCCAATGGCCAGAATGCGACATACTGGTATGATGGGCAGTGTAAGTAGAATACGCTTGGGAATTGGTGTTTTTCTAAGCTGTGGCATGAATGAGGTGAGCGGCGATCATTGAGCGGACACAGTTGTTGAAACAGGTCGTGAGCTCATTTGAGGGCAACGTCGAGGAAATGCCCTGGCGATAAGGGCTACGGTAGTACACTAATACTGAGGCTCCATGTTGTTGCAGTTGAGCTTGCTTCATCAAGCATTCATCAATTCGACAGGAGAGTTGAAAGCTGAAGCTCCGGGCCCGGCTCAGAGATGGCAGGGAGCTGCAGGCAGGGGCTGGCAGGACGGGACGGGAGCCTTCAAAGCCGGCCGGAAAAAGCTTTTTCCGAGACAGTGAGCAAGGCCCGAAGCGGCATGGGTTGGGGCTGTCGGGCACGGGCTGGACGGGACCCGATCTAGGGAACGGTTATTAGGCCCGGTCCGTAGCCGCATCTGCCCGGCCCAAGTGCTACAAGAGACCCTTTCATGTCCAAAGTCCACACGGAAACACGGAAATGAATGAGGGAGTGAGGGCATGACCTTTCACTCGCCTCGTGACCTCGCCGGCCAGTTCATAACTTCATACAATCGTTATTCCCGAAATCGGGGACTAGTGCCCGCCCATCGGGGACGATGTTAACAATTCTCGAGCTCAATTGACCCGACAGCAGCAGTCTACCCCAGGCCTCTCGATTTATCCATCAATCACAGGACAGGCAGCGGCGTACACTGGACCTTCCTAAGATTTAGCCCCACTATGCCCCTCAACCCCACCGCGCTCCAGCCGACGGCGCAAACAATGGCCTCCGTCTGCGACGATGGCGATTACGCACAAAAGTTCAGCTGGACAAGATGGGATAACGTGACGGGAATTGCCGGCAGACAATCGAATTTGTGATATCTAAACCACCTTGCTGTCACGATTGTCCGGGCAGTGCCCCTTAGTTATACACCAATTCACCATCATCGCCATCTCTCTGCCTGCCCGCTCCTTGACCCTCATCGCATATACCCCAGGGCAAACTCCTCACCATGGCCGAAATCACCATCACCGGCTGGACTACGCGGGATGTCCGGTTCCCAACCTCGTTAGACAAGACGGGCTCAGATGCCATGAACGCGGCAGGCGACTACTCAGCCGCCTACTGCATCTTGCAAACAGATTCGGCTTATACGGGCCATGGGATGGTACTCCCTCTGTTGCCCTTGCGCGTTTGCGGCATGGACTGACTTGAGAATTTCAAGACGTTCACCATCGGCCGAGGCAACGACATCGTCTGCGCAGCAATCAACCACGTTGCCGATCGCATTAAGGGCAGAACGCTGTCTAGTTTGGTCGCTCACTGGGGCAAGACATGGCGTCACCTTGTCAACGACAGCCAGCTCCGATGGATCGGCCCTGAAAAGGGCGTGATTCACCTGGCTCTAGGCGCTGTGGTCAATGCAATCTGGGACTTGTGGGCCAAGGTGTTGGGCAAACCCGTATGGCGCGTCGTGGCTGAGATGACGCCCGAGCAATTCGTCGACTGCATCGATTTCCGCTACATCACCGACGCCGTGACGCCCGAGGAAGCCGTGGTGATGCTACGAGAGATGGAACCGGGCAAGGCAGCCCGTTTGCGCGACGCCGAGAATAGCCGCGCCGTTCCCGCCTACACCACCAGCGCTGGTTGGCTTGGCTACGGCGAGGACAAGATGCGCGCGCTACTGCAGGAGACTTTGTCCAAGGGATATAGGCATTTCAAGCTCAAGGTCGGCGGCAGTGTGGAGCAAGACAAGCGTAGGCTTGGTATTGCGCGCGAGGTGATCGGGTACGACAAGGGAAACATCCTTATGGTCGACGCCAACCAGGTCTGGTCTGTTCCCGAGGCGATCGAGTACATGAAACAGCTGGCCGAGTTCAAACCCTGGTTCATTGAGGAGCCGACATCGCCCGACGATATTCTGGGACACAAAGCCGTGCGCGACGCGCTCCGGCCGTACGGCGTCGGGGTTGCTACAGGAGAGATGTGTCAGAACCGGGTTGTGTTCAAGCAACTACTCATGGCGGGCGCTATCGACGTGTGTCAAATCGACGCATGTCGCATGGGCGGCGTCAACGAAGTTCTGGCGGTGCTCCTCATGGCTAAGAAATATGGCATTCCTATCGTGCCGCACTCCGGTGGTGTCGGCCTGCCCGAGTACACTCAGCACCTCAGCACCATCGACTATGTTTGCGTGAGCGGAAAGCTTTCGGTCCTAGAGTATGTGGACCACCTACACGAGCACTTCTTGAACCCCTCAGTCATCAAGGACGGGTTCTACCAGACGCCGATGGAGCCCGGATACAGCGTCGAGATGAGGCCTGAGAGCATGGATAGGTATGAGTATCCTGGCGGCGAGAACAGCTGGTGGAGAAGCGAGGAGGCTAGGCCGATATTGGAGGGCGATAAGATATAGAGAGGAATGTCAAGTCGGAACTGTCTTGCATCTAGGAGCATTTTGGTAGCTACAAAAAAAATCTGAATGCAAGGAGAGATGGGGGAAAAATAGAACTAGCTGCGACTCGTTTCGATCGAGTGACCTCCGGGTTATGAGCCCGGCGCGCTTCCGCTGCGCCACGCAGCTTGTAACTTGTTTGCTTGTTGAATATAGATGACTAGAAAGTGGGTTATATGCATTCAGGGCTTGAGTCTTTTTTGTAATGTGGAGTGGTGACTCATGGACCAGGCCCATACTTCAGACACTTGACACCCGGAACTTTTCAAGAAAGAAAGACCAGACACTCGCAAGGCACTCTGCAGTTCCCTTTTCCAAAGGATCTCTTGCCGCCACCCTGTCTTTTCGCAATAAGTGCCCTGGCTTGCCTCTGTTCTAGCTCTTTCAACCGGGTACCTTACCCGTCAGCTAGGTAGTCACAGAACTCCAGGAGACTTACTGTGGTGAATTCCAACTTCAACCCTTTCAGTTAGCCAGGGTAGAGTCAGACTAGGTACCAAACACCCAACGGAGCTTCATACCTACCAACTTCTATCGGCGTCTCTTTTTCCCTACCAGCCCTTGAAAACCTCTGTCCTCAAAAGAGTAGAAAAGGGCTCAGGTTTGACAAAATTGAGATGTAGCAGCACTTTCAAGCATGAAACCGGGCGGTCATAGGCGCGAGTGATATTACATCTCCGGTACTAACAGTTTAGGTTTCGAGCAAGTTAGAACTCGACAAGTAGTTCGGTGCTAAAACAGCTGATTGTGAACTTGTGGCACTAGCCTCGAGAGACGGATTCAAGAAACTGAGAATGGGGGCCCGCAGACTTCAAGGATGGTTCTGGAGCAGCCGTCAGGCCTTGGTATGTCCAGCAGTGGCAACCTCTAGGATCTCCTTTTCAAGGCCTTGGACATGAACGACGGAAATCCCTGCGTCTTGAAGGCTCTTCTTCCCCGTATTCTCGGCAACGAATGTCTCTGGCTCCATGATGCCAACGTACACGGTCCGGATAGCCCCGGCCAGTCGCAGCACTCTCTCAACGCAGGGTAGATTTCCGCTCAAGCGCTTCGAACAGGGCTCAACCGTCGTGTACAGCGCCAGGTTTGAAGGTAGGACATTGTTGAGATTTTCTTCAGCAACTCCATGCTTCTCTGCCAACTTCAAAAAGCAGCATTGCTCCGCATGCGTGTTTCCTGGAAGCTCAAGTGTGAAGCCAGTAGCTAGAATTTTATTTGCTGCTGAGTCGACCAAGACCGCTCCAACGCGATAGTTTGTTGGCTTTGGTGGCGATTTCTGCGCCTGCTCAAGGGCAAGCCGCATATATGCCTTGTGGTCGCCTGGCGGGATGATAGCCATCTTTTGCAGGCTGATAATACGGAATGGAACCTGAAGCTATCAAGTTCAAAACTGTAAGCAAACTGCTCCAAGAGCCCAATGAGTCTCAGTACGTGTAAGTGGAGTCGGCTCATTGCAGGTCCCACCAGACCCACCCAGCAATGCAGCAGTGGGGCCCGGCGAGTCCGGGAGATGTACAGTGTGGGTAAGTGCAAGATGACACAGTGGTGCTAACCTCCCGTTTCGCGCAGCCTGACGCGACGCGACCTACCACTCCGGAATAAGCGCATTAGTACCGGTAACCTCAAATTGCAATACATAGAGGTCCAGTATTGTGGTAATTCAGATCCTCTTCAAGACAAACAAAGCACTTTGAGAAATTTCACAATGTCTCCCTCCGACGACCTCACCGAGGGTGAGCCACCCTCGATCGACCCATATGAGATCCTCAATATCGAGCGCACAGCCTCGCCCGAGCAAATCAAATCCGCCTACCGCAAGGCCGCGCTCAAGACACACCCAGACAAGGTTCCCTCGGACCGGCAAGACGAAGCCAAAACCAAATTCCAGCAGGTCGCCTTCGCATATGCCGTTCTCTCGGACCCGGCGCGGCGCAAGCGGTACGACGAGACCGGCTCGACCGCCGAAGCAGTCGTCGACGCCGACGGCTTCAGCTGGACCGACTACTACCGGGCACAGTACCGCGACGCCATCTCGGAGGAGGCCATCCAGCAGTTTGCGGCGCAGTACAAGGGCTCAGACGAGGAAAAGGATGACGTGCTGGCCGCCTACGAGGAGTTCGAGGGCGACATGGACGGCGTGTACGAGACGGTCATGCTCAGCGACGTGGTAGAGGACGACGCGCGCTTCCGCGCCATCATCGACGAGGCCATCGCCGCCAAGCAAGTGCCTGCCTTCAAGAAGTATACAAAGGAAACCAAGAAATCCAAGCAGGCGCGCCTCAAGGCTGCCGGGAAGGAGGCTAAAGAAGCGGATGAGCTCGCCAAGGAGCTTGGCGTGTACGAGCAGCTGCGAGGTAGTCGTGCTTCTGGTGGTGGGGCTGGGAAGAAGAGTAAGAAGGACGACGAGACAGGGCTGGCGGCGTTGATTCAGCGTAACCAGGCCTCAAGGGCCAGCGCGCTGGACAAGCTGGCCGAGAAGTACGGCGCTGTGCCCAAAGCTGGGAAAGGCGGGAAGAAGAGGGGTGCTAAGGAGCTGGAGGAGCCGGACATTTCGGAGGAACAGTTCCAGAAACTGCAGGCTGATATGCTTAAGTCGAAGAAGAAGCGGAGTTGAGGGCGGTTCTTACAGTTGCTTCGGTTCGGGATTTTGTTTGGAGGGAAGATGGCGTCTACTGGCACAGCACGATACAGCATTGGCGTTGGGGAAACAGGCGCTTCTACGCAAACGATTGGAATTTGGGTCCGGGTGTCGAACAGGAAGTCATGGCTTTCATGCTGATGAACGAGTTACATGTGAATGATAGGTAGGTATTCGTATTGAGGAAGCTGATCGTTGAAGATTCGGCCCAGCTTCTTCTGTGGCTGATCCGTGGGCGCTGTGTGACCCGGTGACCATGCAGAAAGCTTGAATCTGACAGACGTGAACAACTTTCCTACCTATCCCATATCCAGAGGGCCGTTGAGCCTTTAACAAAGCAGATCGGTGTGGAAGTAGGTCTACGGCCCCTAATTGGGCAATGAGACTTCCATGGTCGTCACCTGGCCAACGCGCACAGGGCAATGCTCGTGAGCACTTACCCCGCGCTTTGGGTCAAACTCAAACATGGCACTGGCGCTGTCTTGGCAAATCACTGCACCACCTCACAGGCTTCACGCGTGCACCACAGTTGCGAGCAACCTGAAACAAGTGTGCATACAGCCATGAGCAACTCTCCGTGTCGAGCGAGCCATCACTGAAAGCTTTCATTAATTCCTACGGTAATCAATATGCCATGACCGACGAGCGGCAGGCCAAGCTGTACCCGCAGTACTGCTTCCACCTGTCGCCGACCATCAACCGCTGGTGTCATATCCGGATTGCGGACATCCTCGCCTTGACAAGCCACCCTGGGTTTCTGGGTACGTTGCATCACTCGTGCATCCCTCACACCGCGGTGACTGTGATTCTGACAGTTGTATCTCAGGCCAAGATATCTATTTCCATCTTAACCACCCCATTAAATGGGTGCGCATTGCCGGTGTTGTAATCGCCGTTGACGAACGCGAAGGCAAACACATTTACACGGTTGATGATAGCAGTGGTGCAATAATCGAATGCGTTGTGGTTGTTGCGCCTCGACTCGGACCTGGAACTACGGCGAGGAAGGGAACAACAACATCAAATGCGAAAGACGCACAGCCTCTCCCGGTAGTCGACGCACCCATCGACATTGGGCACACCATCGACATCAAAGGCAGTCTCAGCACGTGGTGGGAGAAGAGGCAGATCCGCGCCGAAAAAATTGTCCACCTACACTCGACCGAGCAGGAGGTTCTGTTCTGGGAGAAGGTCACACTGCTGAGAAGGGAGGTGCTCTCCAAGCCGTGGGTGCTGGGCCGCCGAGAGGTGAGGAGGTGCAGGAGGGAGTACGAGGGGAGCCACTCCCGCCGGCTCACGAAGGCCAGAGACAGCTTCAAGACCGACCAGGGAAGAATTGACACGGCAAAGGCGGATCTCGGAAGAAGCAAGGCCCAAGGCAGCCACGAAGGGAAGGCTTTACCCAGGAGTTACTCCAGAGAAACCGGCCTAGAGAGGAAGGCCACCAAGCGTGTCATGGGGCTGATGCCTGTGGCGGCCCGCAACAAAACGTTGGGTTTGTGATTCCGAAGGCTTGCGGGGTTCACAGTATGGTCTACTCGTGCTACCCCATCATAGCCCGCCCACGAGAAGGCAACAAGACGCAAATCGAGGTCAGCAGCACTGAAGGCGTGCAGCCTTGCGCAGCCATAACGTTAGTATCAGGAAACTCTTTTAGTCAAGCTTCATTGTGCGAGGTAGTCCGCCATGATTGGCCATGGGCACCAAATCCTACCTCATGCACATTTCTTGGCGTTCGTCATGGTTGCTACACATCTAGATCCCTTTGAGCAGCCCTGAAGTCTGGTACAATATCAACCTTCCACTGGTCTCATGAATAGCCAGATACGTACCATTGCTATAGGTCATTGCAGACATATACATTCTTTTAAGATAACCTTAGGGCGACTGAGACAGGTGAGGCTTCAAGCCCCTTCACACCCACATCTTTGGTTGATGTGATGATGTGAGTTGTCATCAGCTTATATACACAGTCATGAGACAAAAGGGGCAGGGAATCACCTGCTCAGAACCAGACACCGCGAATGAAGACACGGATCCACTTCTCAGTTTACGCAAGCACGGCAAGGTACCATATTTCTGGGTCGGCAAGAACCGACTTCTAGAAAAGTATAAACTATAAATACTGCAATATGGACGCATCTCGCTCCCGAGACATCACTTAACGTACAGCTAGCAGTTGTATTGCAAATATACCCTACCTGTTTGAATCACGCTTTCAGATCATTGCCTTACACGGCTCCCAGGCCGACTTTTGACTTCCATTCCCGCGGATACCGATCCTAGGACAAAGTCCAATATCATCAGCCTTGGTTATCCCGCAATCAGGCTCGCCAGCATTACAATAAGAGTAAGGTATTATACCATCCAAGCCAGGTAAGGAGATGTTCTCTCTTGCCGCTGAGATTAAGACACCAAGTTCCGTATCAACGCATTCAGTACATCCACATGCACTGCCCTCCATCTTCCTGTTCCGCCTCAGATGGCAGAAATGGGGGCTAGGTATCCTGATGGAGCCTCTTTCCGCTATATGCCTCCTGGTCCCAGTCATCAGGATCAACACAAATCTAGGGCGGCTACTAATCCCACTAAGAATCGTTCATTGAGGCTGGCTTTTACGATGTTACTGTTGTTGCTTCTAACTGTTATGCAGGGCAATCTGCCTTTACAACGTCTCTGCCCAACGGTAACCCCAATCGCCTCCATTGGCCGGCTGTCCAGACAGTTTCGCCACCCATTCAAGAGGTTCGGCCAAGAGCTCACCGTCTTGTTTATTCGAAGCACCACCGGGGACCTGTGTTGAAGTTAGTAACAAGGCAAGCAGAGCCCTCCCGTCGGTCCACGTGGATGGGACACTCTTCACACTTTTCAGAGAGAAATCAACGGCTGTTATAAGGTGTATTTTCAACTTCTTCCTCCGGAAACTTGAGCCAAAATGGCGTGCGAGAACATCTTTGAGAATCCCATCTCCACCGATGCGCCGCCTGGAAACATTGGCAGGAGACAGGACCATCCAGTGCCTCGCTTGGGCATCACGGCTTCATCCCCAATACAGACCAACAAGTTCTATGCAAATTTCTTCCTAGGAGATCGGGCCTCTCCGACCTTCCTCCACCCGTACTCGGTGGCTTGGGGCCAGGGCAGGGGATCCTCGGGCAGCTGGGGGCTGGCCATTTCGCATATCGAAGCCGCCCAGAGAGTCTTTGGCGAGACTGATCCGGTTACGAGAGCTGCTAGGTACTTCATCAACCCCATTGGGATTCACTCCGTCTCCATTTCTGCCCGGGGGCTGGGGCCCGGCACCGCCCTAACTATGGAATCCTTGACAGAATTCTCGGCCCAAGTCAGTTTGCGCCCCAGTGCCCAAGCCGCGCCCGCGGTGCAGTTTCCCCTCGTCCAGGGATCAGCATTCATCACCGCCATCTTCAACGGCGCAGTCCCCTTGATCCAGACCGATGTCTTTTTCAGGACTGTTACCCGGGTTACCGGCGAAGTGAAGCCCGGCATTACCAAGTACAAAATCCTTCTTGAAGATGGGAGAACCTGGCTGCTATACTCCTATCGGACAAGCGGCAATCCCCTAGATCTCCAGGTTGTCAATAATACTCTTGCACAGTCAAACGGACCGTTCATTGGTATCATCCAGATTGCTAAGGACCCTGGAAACGGCGAGGCTATGTATGACCAGGCATGCGGTACCTATCCCACGGGAGTCCAGCTCTCGGGAGCCGTGGGCGGCAGGAGAGGATCATACAAGTTTGCCTTCACGAAGGCGGGAATGTCTGGAACAACGCTCCCCATGTTCGCGTTACCTCATCACCAGGATTCGTTTGACGATGCTACACGGGCAAGGATGACGGGCGTGAAGCTGCAGACCACCACAAAGGGTGTTGCAACTGCGGTTGTGGCTGATTCCTGGACGATGGTCGAGACAAATCTCCCAACGGACATCGGACTTTTGCCCTGGTCACCGACGACTGGAAGCACCAAGATCCTATCTGAGTCCACGAGAGCCTTCATCCGTAGCATTGCCCAGAGAGAGATCTCGCAGGATATCCTCCAGCAAACGAACCTTGACTCGATGTATTTCAGCGGCAAGGTGAGAGAGATCAAAGTTGCCCAGATATCACGTAAAACATAATCTGACCTAATCGATACAGGCTCTGGCTAAGTTTGCTTGCATCATGTTGGCAACCAATGATCTCTTGGGCGATAGTGGGCTGGCCCGGTCAGGCTTGAACAGGCTCAAGGAGGCGTTTGCTCGATTTGCGAACAACACGCAGCAGTTCCCTCTGGTATATGAAAGTCAGTACCGCTAGCTCCTGTTCTCCTAGTTATCCCCGAATGTTTTAACACGAGGCAGGCGCCTGGGGAGGTGTTGTCTCATCAGCAACGTATGTAACCGGCAACCAAGGCGTCGACTTTGGGAACACGCTGTACAACGACCACCACTTCCATTTTGGCTACTTCATCTACACTGCCGCTGTCATAGGGTATTTGGACCCTTCCTGGATCCCCGCCAACCGGGGGTACGTCAACCTGCTAGTCCGCGACATCGCCAACCCCAGCACCCGGGACCCCTACTTCCCTACCTCGCGGTCATTCGACTGGTTTCACGGCCACAGCTGGGCCAAGGGCCTCTTTGCTAGCTGGGATGGCAAAGATCAAGAGTCCAGTTCTGAGGACACGATGCACGCCTACGCCCTGAAAATGTGGGGTGCCGTGTCCGGCGACCGGAACATGGAAGCCCGGTCAGTCTCTCTCTCCGTCAGATCCTTCCCCGAGTCGTAGTCCTAACCACCCTCACAGGGCAACACTGATGCTCTCTGTTCAACGACGCTCCTTGCAATACTACTACCTCTACACGCGCGCCAACACGGTCCAGCCGAGCCAGTTCATCGGGAACAAGGTGGCCGGGATCCTCTTCGAGAACAAGATTGACCACACGACCTACTTTGGCGCCAACATTGAGTACATCCAGGGGATCCACATGCTGCCTCTGCTTCCGTACACGCCCTTTATCCGCACGCCCGAGTTCGTCAGGGAGGAGTGGGACGCCCTGTTCTCGGGCGGCCGCGCCCAGGCCATCCAGGGCGGCTGGAAGGGCATTCTGTTTGGTAACTACGCCACCATCGAACCCCGCGCCGCCTACGACTTCTTCAGCCAGACTGGCTTCGATGACGGCTGGTTGGATGGAGGTGCTAGCCGGACTTGGTATCTGTGTTATGCCGCTGGTATGTTTCTTCTTCCCACGTTGCCTCCTGGCAAGAGAAAAATATAATTATTTGGAGTCCTCTGCTTCGTTTCTTCTGACCTATACTAACGCGGTTTTTGGGAAAAGCTTTGGCTGGACTATGAGTTACTTCCCCTCTTTTTGGCTTCGGCTGAGTACAGTAGGGCGATAGAGTGTCAGCTTAGTTACAGCGGCTCTGATTTTGACTAGTTAACTTAGACAGCGGATGGAGGGGCCATATTTTGGGATGAGCATTTTCAAGTACTATCGTATGGGGTTGGTATTGGGTCAGCGGATAAGCATGAGCGGAAATGGTCGGTCATTACTCGCTGCTTGTTTGCACTACATTCTTCGATGTATCAGTTTTTTCGGGTAAAGCGGTTGAATGGCTCAGGTAGCCTCTGGGAGGATGGCTCAGGTAGTTCCTTACGACGTGATCGGTTCTACTAGTAGTAGATATCAAGCCCAGCAGCTATTTCGGTCATCTCCTTTTCAAGTGACTCTAGGGACAATGTCTCGAATCCCTGGATCTACATGGTCGTATTCATTGTCTGTACGGCATGCCATGTACCTATCCACCGCACTATTGTCGTTAATCACGGCCGTTTCCAACTTCGATCGCTGCTGTCCCACCAGAATTATGCCTTATGCTGACGGAGTCTCGGGGAAATAAAAAACCTTCTGATGCAACAAGTATACTAGGGGAATAATGGAACGAGTCTGGGTTATCAAACTAGGAGAGATAACAGGCCTGTATCGTATACTGAGCCTGTGTGCCATTTCAGGAACCATGATTGATCCAACCGGCCCGTTGAGGGCTACAACAACTCCCTACAATAACCCTGTTACCGTCTGTACCGTATGGCACTTGGATCCGACCCTTGCCGAACAAGAGCACCAATCTTCAAGCTTTTTAAGCTGGCCAAACTGTTCACCCTGGACATGGACCTTTTACCCCGATCAAATGACGGACTGCCGCCGTTCGAGCCCTGACTCCCAGTCCCCGGCCCGGCCATCCCATTCGCACCAGGCACCGCCCCTTTCTTAGGCGATGGAATCGCCTGTCCGGTAGCCCTCTCCGCCTCACAGTTTGGGCAAGGCCCGGGGTAGTCGTAGACGTCATACAGGTGCCTGAACAAGGGGTATAAGTCTTGGGCCCTTGGCCGGTTTGTAGGATCCTCGTTCATCATGCGGCGGATGTGAGGCAGGACTTGAATGACGGCCTCTACCGATCCACGTCGCTGGCCCCCGTGGCTAATCACGCAGGATCTGAGGAGCATTATATAGGCGTTAAGTCTAGGAATGCATTCCGAATATTTGAATTCTTCATCGCCGTCGTAGTTGCCATCGGTTTGTCCTTCCCCTCCTCCTACTAACGGTAACCGCTCCTCCCCGTCAACATTCGCGCTGTTGTTGTTTCTGCGTTTTCGGAGCTGTTCTTCTGCAAAGGCAGGCGGTTTGCCCAGCAGCACGGTAGCCATCTCCAGGAAGACACATCCTAAGGAGAAGATGTCCGAACTGACGTCTCGCGATGTCTCGTGCATGGCTTCGGGATCGGCATATTTGAGCGTCTTCGGAGTTGGTCCTTCGGACAACTGGCCTATTTCGAAGTGTTTGGACAGCCCAAAGTCTGTGAGGATAGGAAGGCCGAAGTCGTCGATGATGACATTTTCCGGCTTGATATCCTTGTGCCGGATTCTGACGCCTTGGTCATGAAGGTACGCCACGGCTTGTGACAGGCAGCCGAAGTAAGTATGCAGGTGTGCAAGCATCCACTCTTTTGATTCCTTTGGGCTATGAAAGACCTCAGCCATGAAGGTATGCAGATTGCATTGGCCAGGAGGATACATGGCGATACCTAGGATGTGGCGCTTGATCTGTTGGTTGACCGTGAACAGCGAAAACGGTCGAGCCTTGGCACGCAGCCCTCGTCGCGGCTTAACCCCACGAGTCTCAATACAGTAGTCCTCAAACGAGGCTACGTATGCGACGATGTGTGGGTGCCTGATACTAGCCATGTTCTTGACTTCCGCCAGGGCTTTCTTGCGGACTTTGCTGTCAGGCCCCGGCGGGCGAGAATTCTCCTTGCATATAATCACCTTGAGCGCGAGTGGCAGAGTCATGCCAGACCTAATATCAATTAGCCATGTCACTCAGACTTGCTGGAAGCAGCAGGAGGCGTACCCTTCGGGGGCAGTAACCTTGTAGACGACGGTTGATCCCGACTCGCCCAGCTCGGGCCCTTGCTGGATGAAGGGGCTCGGCGGTCTGAGATACTCCTTGTTGCAATGATGGAAAACCTTGTGTTTGCGCGGATCGAGTTTCACTTCCTCCACAGGCTTGGTCCAACGTTCAGACGTCTCTCGGTCGGCGTCGTCCCAAACAAAATGACGGTCATTCTCGGAACTTAGGAAATCACTCAAGGGGATGATTTGTGGCTGTGAGCTGCTGCTTGACGGGAGCGACATCAGGATGGTAGGAAACGAGAAGAGAATGAAAGTATCTGTCGTGCCAGGGAGGGCGTCCGGAGCGCGTCGGTGGCATCTGCCAACTAGTTTACTGAGTCACCATCAAGGTCGACGATTGCGAATCTGTGATTCAGCGCACATCACCATGTCCCGAACAGGTTTCAGCTGGTTGCTGCCTGATACTAGCAGCAAGAGCGGGCGCCGCGTGGTCTCGTTGCTCTAAGCAGGTCGCAATCTGGCAAATGACCGAGTTTGACTCCGATCTTAGGGGTCCTAGGAGCTAGATATTGAAATGTTCGATTTGAGTCAAAGTTCGATATTTGTTAGGAGAAGAACTGCGAAGAGGAATGCCTGGAATGTGCTGAGGACTGAGGTTGGGTGAGGTATGGAGCCCCCTAATCCCGCTGATCTAAAGCTACCAGGCATTGTGCGGCATTGTTTGAAAACTGGTGCCTGATGGTCATCGGACTCCTTGAGAAGTTGAGGAGGAGCTTTCCCTCGTATGAGGAAGTTGCGTCGGAAGAATCCAGGTGGCTCTTTCCAAGTAAGGATGTGTTAGGCTTGTGCCGGCTTATATCATGGATGCTTGACAGCGAACACGGATCCATCGAAAACTGATATCAAAAGGAATTCGTGCTCATGTCATTGCAGCTGTTGATATTAGCAAGTTGCCATCCAACATCCCCTTGCTCCTCGGGGTCCTCGTTATTTTTCTTTTGCATATCTCATACACTCTTTAGTCCAGCCTAGAGTCTACCGAGTCTCTGGGCCGCGGCTGCAATGTATAGCCCGAGTCAGACACTGAATGAAGTCAGGGGTCGTGGATAACGCCTACCACAGCTGCTTGGGACTCGGAATATATAACCTCCCACCCTCAATTTCATGAGCGCAGTTGCACCAGATCACAATGCCGTGACTCGGGTTGAATTCTAACGGATTCTAACCGGCCGAGCCGGCTCTCTCCACTTGCACATGCAAATGCTTGTCTGCATTGCCTTGTAGATCTGGATTGCTCTGGCCACAATCCCCACTGCCATCCTGCTGTGTCTCCGCAATCATGTGGATCAAAGAGAGTCTCTCAATGCACGCTTATGCTGCAATGCTTGGTTTAGTGGAAGCGTTTACGGATAGACTCCGGGGTCCAGCCGTCAGTCGGTTCGATAACAGATGTCAAGATTGCAAACATTGAATCTCTAGGAGGGATAGATACACTTGAAAAAGGCCGGATGAAGTGGTAAGGCGTAAGATGAAGAGAGAAAAAGTATCTGGGCTCGGCTGGGGTCAGATGACTCGACATTACGCCTATATGTGGGTTCGAAGACGCTGATCGTTGAGGTTGCAGGTGTTCCAGACGTCTCTGTCCTTGTGGATCTTGGTGTTCTCTTGGCAGTTCTCTGCCTTTCCCGTGATCGGAGACACCCCACAAGATGTGATCCCCCGCAAATGTTCCACCAATGACCTAATTAAACAGTGGATACCAAGCCCGGGCCAGAGCTTCCACTGCTGCAGGATGCAAATGCACAATGCGAGTCGTCACTAAACGTTACCGATGCCAGGGGAGGAAAGAAAAGAAAATTAAGCCGAACGGAAGATTGCTCTATGTAGGTCGGCCAAGCACCTTTCGGAACAGGCACGACAAGTCACCGGGATTAGAAATACCGACACTACCCCTCACTCATTTATCAATGCGGCAGCAACCGTTCCTGCGGGCACTCGTCCCTCGAGCTGTCACAATTGATTTTGCCATCCCGTGGAACTGTCGAGCGCCACTTCAAGCATCAGTCTCGGGCGCCTTGCGGAGCGGAAGCAGCAGTAACAACAGCAGTGGAAAGATCGTCCCCCTCCCCCCGCCTAGGCAGAACCGCTGTGCGAATAGCTAGGGCCAGGCTTTGGATGACGTACCGCCTTTCTCCTCCCTCAACCGTCCGTATCTCACCCCTCAACAAACCCCGCCGTATCGGCCTTTATCAGCAGTGCCTCGGCCGTCCGCGTCTGCCCATCTTGTACCCTCCCAGGACAGACATCGTCGCCTATTCCACAGCAGCTACCCGTCTCCAGTAGAGAAACTAAATAAACACTACGTCATGGGCAACGCCGGCGAAATCACAACAGCACGCCTTGAGGATACCTTTGTTGCCGGCCATCCTCGCCTCGAACTGGACATGGACCGGGTTTTCAAGAAACCCAGGACAACGTATAAGAGCCTCATCGACGGGACGGCTGATTTCCACACCCACCACGAGGACCACTTACCGCAGGGCATCCTGGAGACGGAGGAGGAAAGGAAGCAGCATTGGTTCGTGGGCAGCATCGATCAGGGCACCACATCGTCGCGTTTCCTTATCTTCAATGGAGAAGGGGACCCGGTTGCGAGCCACCAAATAGAGTTCAAGAACCTGTATCCCAAGTCGGGGTATGTATGCCCCTGCTCTGTCCCCGTATTTCTTGCGGCCAGAGATGCATCACGGATTCGAGGCTAACACGCTACAATCCAGATGGCACGAGCACGAGCCTTTGGAGCTTCTCTCGTCAGTTGAGCAGTGCATCGAGGAGGCAATGCGCAAGTTTGGTGACTTGGGGTATTCGAAATCCGACATCCGGTCAATCGGCATCACCAACCAGCGCGAGACCACAGTAGTATGGGACACCACCACGGGCGAGCCCCTCTACAACGCTATTGTGTGGCCCGACACGCGAACGAAGACTATTGTGCGCGACCTGAAATCCCGTGAAATGGCAGACAGTTTGACGGAGCTTTGCGGCCTGCCCCTGTCTACCTACCCTAGCAGCGTCAAGCTCCTTTGGCTCCTCCAGAACGTTGACGAGGTTAAGCAAGCCTACGAAGAAGGCCGACTCGCCTTCGGAACTGTCGACTCGTGGCTGATTTACAAACTCAACGGTGGCGCAGGAGCCGAGAAGCCTGTTCATGTGACCGACAGTACCAACGCCAGTAGGACCATGTTCATGAACTTGCGCACGTTGCAATACGACGACAAGCTTTTAGGCTTTTTTGGCATTGACAAGAACAAGATCAAGTTGCCCAAGATCGTACCGTCATCGGATCCAGAGTGCTTCGGGAAGGTGGCCAGTGGAGCCCTTGCCGGCGTCCCGATCGCTGGGTGTCTTGGTGACCAGTCCAGCGCCCTTGTGGGACAATGTGGCTTTAGCCCTGGGCAAGCAAAGAACACGTACGGGACCGGCTGCTTTCTCCTGTACAATGTCGGAACCGAGCCCGTCATCTCCAAGTACGGCCTGTTGGCCACTGTGGCCTATGATTTTGGCCGCGGCAGAAAACCGGTATATGCTTTGGAGGGGAGCATAGCCGTCGCCGGCTCTGGCGTCAAGTTTCTTATGAACAACCTCGGTTTCGTAAAAGAGTCTAGTGAGATTACTGCGCTGGCTGAATCGGTCAAGGACAATGGGGGTGTCGTTTTCGTCACGGCCTTCAGCGGCCTCTTCGCTCCTTACTGGATTGACGATGCCAAGGGAACGCTCTGTAAGCCTACGCCTTCCTTCCGTGCTCCCTCATCCCACCGCTAATAATGTGTTACAGTCGGCATCACTCAACACACGACAAAAGCCCACATTGCCCGCGCCACCCTCGAAGCGACCTGCTATCAGACCAGAGCCATCCTAGAAGCCATGGAGAAGGATTCGGGGCACAAGCTTGAGTCTCTTGCAGTCGACGGAGGCCTCTCCAACTCAGACCTGTGCATGCAGACGCAAGCCGATATCAGCGGTATCCCCGTGGACCGCCCGCTCATGCGCGAAACGACGGCCCTGGGCGCTGCCATTGCTGCCGGGCTTGCCACAGGTGTTTGGCGCGAGCTGGATGATCTCAAAGAGGTCAACCGGGCTGGCCGCAAGGTTTTCCAGCCCATTATGAAGAGGGACAAAGCTGAAAAGCTATTCAGAAAATGGGAACAGGCTGTCGAGATGAGTAGGGGATGGGTCAAGGACCAGGGGGAGTGACCAGGGGAAGACGGAGAGGGCTGCTTTCCTGTTTTGGAGATTCCCTCCTAGGTTGGCGGCTTCAGCTTATGACGGTTATGATGATACAGGATTGGATGGTTTGCATTGCTTTTTGGATTTCAAAGAATTTTCCTGTCATGGCTCGGCGCTAGGGCGTCTGGCCAGCTTGCGTACCGTCAGGTTCAATATGTCTTACCAATAGCCGATCCAGACGGAAGGAGACGGCTGTATGACCATGACTTGGAAGTCTTCGGTCTGTATACTATTATTCGCTAATAGCATAATGGAGTTCAATGTGGACTACAACATGCCTCCACTTTTGTACCGGTTTGGTCGCACTTTATCTAGCCTTAGCTGTGATTAACCTTTAGTACAATGGAGCATGTAGCTGGCATGAACAACATGAGCTTTATTTGGTGTTCCTGACGCCCCTTGGCTCTAGGACTCATAGCTCAGCTGCAGCGTATCGTGTCGTGCCTGTCAAACACGGGCAGCGCCGTCATCCCATCTGGGGTGTGGTTATGATGTCAACCACCCGGGAGATTTATGATCCCCGATTTGTCCTAATCAACAATGGTATGTACCTGACATCGCAAGCGTCAACGGTTCGACTTTGCCACATGGAAGAGTCAGGCACCTCATGGACAGCCCCTGGTGGATCTGAGATCTGTATGCAACTTGTGCAGATCTGCGGTTACATCACAGATATACGTCACATAAAGGCACACTTCGATTCTCCATCAGGAAACGAAAGGCGCAATATTATAGTACGAAGGTTCTATCGAGCCCACTTTGAGTCCTTTGCCCCAGTTGGGATCTGAACAAGACCGCTTTGCCATGAAGCCCCTGACCAGCTGCCTTGTCCACCCCGAAATATCCCTTGCGCTCCAACTGGATGATGCTGTTCGGCTCCACAGCCACAAGATTGGCATCGCACAAAGCCTCAGTCATGATGGCCGTGTTGGTTGTCAGGAAGTCGTCCAGCTTGTCGTCTTTTCCCAGCGTATCCTTCGTCAGGAGGTAGTCAAACTCCCAGAGCTCGGCATCGACGAGGGCGCTTCCTCCCTTAGCAAGCCATGTAACCAACCTTCTTGTCTGTTTTTTTTTAAGTTGCCTTGCAAGTTTAGCTCGAGCTGGAGCCCTGTGACAGTGGCACCTTCTCGAACTATATCGCGAACGATTGCATTCCCTCAGTTTATGAGCGTAGTCTCCTCGTTCATCGAGAAGCTAGCCGCGTCTACTTGGTCAATAAGTACCGTGTTAGCATACTTGACCAACTTGGTCCCGACGGCTGCATTCTTTGGGTGCTTGGGCTTTTCCTTAGAATAGGGTGCTTCAGGACCACCTCGAACGGCCGCCACAACCATCTGCTTTGTCTCGACAGCCGTATGTCGAGGAGCCACAGGGTCAATCACTCTCTTATTTGTCGCCCAAAGAATGGTTTAGTCCATAGCGACAGCGTTGCGACTGGGGCCTTGCTTCAACATAAAATCTCGGACGGGAGGGACGGTAAGGCCGCGGCGAAGGATGCCACGGAGCGTTGGCATACGCGGATCATCCCAGCCAGTTATTCCGGTATCGACTACCTTGGTGAGCTTCCGCTTCGAAAGGAACGTGCGAATGAAGTTAATACGGACAAAGTCCCAGAGCTGTACGGGCCGGAGCTTCAAGGTCTTGAGGAACCATTGATATTGGGCATTGCGGTCCGCGTACTCGGTTGTGCGGAGGGCATGGGTAACGCCTTCGATGCTGTCGATGATCGAGCAGGCGAAGTCACAAGTAGGATAGATGTCCCAGGCCCGCCAGTGCGGTGGTGAGGAATTACCTCAAGCTCCTGGCCTTCGTCGGACTTATATTTGGGAAACAGTATATCACCGGATCTCTCATCGCACCGTTCACCGAGTCGAATGCAATCCGAGCTCTTATACAGTGCTTCCTGCCAAAGTCGGTTCCATCCTTCATCTCCTTGAAGATAAGTAGCTAAGCTCTCTGCTGACGGCCGGTCTCGTCGCTTGCTAGGAAGACGATTGAGTCGCTCCGCCCTTTGGACATCGGGATCCGTATCATCGGCGTAGGCGTTTCCCTCGGCTATCATACGCTGACAGATCTCGTACAACTGCTGGATGTACGCCACACGGTCCGGCCTAATACCGACCGAGTAGATGCAGGTCTTGCATGATAGAGTCCTCAATTCCTGCTTCTCCTTGGCCGGGTTCGTGTCATCGAAGCGAACAATGAGCTTGCCATCAAATGCTTCGGGGCGAAATAGTCGTTTAAGAATGCGGCTTTGGCATGGCCAATGTGCAACTACCTGCCGTGTTAATGGGAGTATGACTGGAGATCTCACGATGGCTCCGGTGGAAACCGCGTTACCACACCGTTCTCCTCAGTCTTCAGCCCAATGTTATAGCTGCCCCCAGCTTTGCTGGCTGCGGCACGCTTCTCTTTCTTTCTGGCCGGTGCTGCCCTGATCTCCCCTTGTATCTCGGGATGACTGGCTCGACAAAAGAAAACCAACGCGCCACGTTAGGTAGGCTGCCTTTGCGAACGATGCCATTGGCGACTTTGTTTGTCCGCAGGGCAGTCCATATATCCTTGCCAGCGGAGATCAACTGATGACGAAGCTGCCCGGGAAATCTGACTCTTGCTCAGCCGGAGTCAATGCCACTGACCCATTCAGATCCCAGATCACCTTGCTCGTGCCGAAATTAAAGATATGGTGATAAGGACACCAGGCCACGCACACAAAACCTCAATTGCTTGGTAACGGTACTATGGTGAGGCAACATAGCTGGCATCCCGAGCTTCAACGCAGTTCCCTGAATTACACCACCACCAGCACCAAACAAACCACCGAGCTCAACGACCATATCAAGGACTTAGTATTTCCCAATTCTCCTTTTTTTCCTCCTTTACCCGTCTAGCAGCAGAGAGGTTCCACCATTAGTCCCAAATCTCCTTATTACGTTCTGACTCTCATTATTTGGCGCCAACAAACGAATCAAGTCGACACGGTTTGCTTCATGACTTGACGCCAGGCCGTCGTTGCGCGGTTCGGCGGTGTATTTATCCAGCAGGAAATAGGGGGAAGCGGAAAAGGGGAGAGTTGTGTCTCCGAATGCGGGCGGTGAAATAATCCGCCTCCGTCTTCGGGGGAAAGTGATACGCAGAAGGAGTTGAAGGCAGTATTCGCTTTCCATCTCGAACGCGCAGAAGGAGAATACTAGGGTGAGGGCGCTCGAGACCAGCAGGGCGACATCGGAACGTTACCTCGTGAACCACGTCGGTCAGATGAATCAGATATCTGTTTACATGATGATGGCAGGCACGTCAACGTTAGCTTTGATGGTTTTGTGCGGCAGGATGCTACCGCCGTTGACGTAGATCTCATCGCCGATGGTGACGTCGTCTCCCAGGACCGTCACGTTCTCGAGGCGCGCCCATTTCCCGACAACGCTGTTCCAGCCGACAATGGTGCTCTTGACCCAGGCGTGGTCCTTGACCTTTGACCCAGAGAGCAGCACGCAGCGCTGTAGCCGGACCCCGTCGCCTACCACAACATCTGGGCCGATGGTCACATTTGGCCCTATTCTGCAATTCTTGCCGATCTTGGCCGAGGGGTCAATCAGCACGTTCCCGCCGTGCACGTACGGCTCCGTAGGCGGCGTGAGCAACTTCGAGCCCTTCTTGCTGAGCGACGACAGGTATAGACAGGTGCCTGTTAAGAAGTCCTTGGGTTGGCCAACATCCATCCAGAAACCTTCGAGGTCGAACGAGTGTAGTTGGCCGTCTTTAACCATGGCCGGGAACGTTTCCTGCTCAATGGATGTTGGTCGCAACTCGATGCGGTCTAGCACCGATGTGTTGAAGATATAAATGCCGGCATTGATGCGGTTGCCGACGAACTCGACCGGCTTCTCAACGAAGCGGTCGATACGGGAGGGGTGATTTGGTTTGTGGACGATGACGCCGTACTTTGACGGTTCCTCCACCTTGGTCACGACTATGGTGCCCTCGTCGCCATGCGATTTGTGGAACTCGGCAAGCTCCTTAAAGGGGTACTCGCATGTGATATCGGAGTTTAGAACGAAAAATGGTGTGTCATCTTTTCGTAGAATGCGCTCAGCAAGCTTCAAGGGGCCGGCGGTGCCCAGAGGTTCGCTCTCGATCGAAATGGTGATGTTGATGCCGAACTGCTCCTCATACTGTTGCAAAGGAAAGGGGGTTAGCCGTGCGCATCACTCCAACAACTCAGGCTTGTGAATCCAAAGAAAAAGCACCAACCTCGGCCAGATACTTCTCCATGATTTCAGGGCGGTAGTTCACGGCCAAGACTATGTCGGTGACACCGGCGGCAGCAAGGGCCTCGATCTGGTGCAGGATCATGCGCTTGTTGCCGAACTCGACCAGGGGCTTTGGCAGAGTGAGGGTCTATAGAGGCACTGTTAGCCATTATCGCCGGCAGCGGTATAAAGCAGGCCGCGGGGCGGTTGGCGCCCATGAGCGACAAGCTGTCGGGCATCGGCCGAGGATGAACATACAAGAGGGCGCAGGCGGGTGCCAAAACCGCCGACTAGAATTAAAGCTGCAAGCGGGACAAAGTTGTCAGTGCCAGTCTCTGACCCAGCAGTGCCTGCTGGGGGTTTGCCTACCCTTCATGTTTGCTGTTGGTGAACGAGCGAAGCGGGAGTCAGAATAGTATTCAATGAGCGTAGAGAAGTGAGAAAGAAGTAGGATCGAAAGGCAAGTTCAGCCCAGGAGCAACTGCCAGAAGCTTAAGTTGATACGACCTGGCAGAAGACGGGAGAGGGAAGCAGATACGCTATCACGAGGCCGCGAAATCCAAGCGAAGTGGCAAGACACACACAGTTGTGTTTCTTGGACAAAGCCGACACGGTATGCAGGAGACACGAGAAGGACACTCTGGAGCTTGGAGATTTTTGTGGGATCCCCCTCTCTAGTGTAAGTTAGTGGCCTCCGCGTTGCACACGCATTCATACACCCCCTGAACAGATGCAGTGCTCCAGTGCTCACGACGGCCTGCAGCAAGGCTTGAGGACTGTGCAAGCCGTTTTGAGGTGGGTTTGGGCAGGGGCAGCCAGCGAGATTGGCGGGTGGTGCAATGTGGCCTGTGTGCCACGATCATTGGGCCACATGCCGGTCTACCAGCCAATCAAACAACTCCTTTCCTGCCGAGATTGGGCCCGCTCACCAGCAGGGGGCTTCGATGTGGATACCTGAGTTCTGAACTCGATATTGATTGAATCAGATTTCAGGGGACTTCCATTGAGGACGATTATTTTTGTACTTGAACTACGGATACGAGCATGTCTGGTATTCAACAATTCTCCGTCAATGGCCAGTTTGGACTCAGGATACATTCGACGTCTTGCATTAGCTATTTCTGCAATGAGTTGCATATATATCCGTACCTCCGTATCTTGTTCGAAATCTTGGAGGAATACGGCGAACGTTCAACAGGAAAAAGGCGAGACTGCCAGTCGTCCCCGAGCCGGGAGTCACCTGCTTCATCATCCCCACGTTGGACTAACATTAGCGGGCGTTATTATGTAGGAAATGCCCGCGCGGCGGGCTCAAGCCGGTCTGGGCAACGAATGGACATCAACGTTGACTTCTTGAAAGGCACCGCACCGCAGTCATTTCACATTGGTCCTCCGACACATCGATTGCTGACGAACCAGATCACCAAACCACCGCAGATGACATGGATGTTGCCAGAGGAGTCTCGTGTCTTCTCAAAAGACATTCATTGATTACCGTCTCGCAACGCCAACTAACAATAAAGAACGATTTCCCAAAGGTTACAGTAATATCAGACAACTCGAATCTCAGCTCGGCGAACTCCGACCACTCAGAGCAGTGCCCCAGGACATCAAACAAGACCCAGCAACTGCCTTGACACTCGAGCCGAAGACTGAATGATGCTGTGACGGACCGATTCACATTCCCAGCCCCCGGGCAAACTCAGCCTTCCACAGTGCTTCGACACCTACACTGACCCCACCCATCCAGATGCTACACTGCCTCGACATCTACAGTACGTAACGTGATCTCCTTCCCGAGATACAGCCCGCTTTATATCCGACCCATCCCGAATTTCTAAACCACTCAAACCCGACCCGATGATCCGGATCTGGTAGTGCCGTGTAACCACAAAGAGGGGTTCCAAGTCCACGGTATGTGGTGTACACCACGGCTAGCAGCACTCTGACTTCCGGGGGAACATCACCAACAACAGCCGGAGTTACCCTCAGCCGCCAAGCTCGTGGGCTGACGGTGTATAACCGGATCGCAGATCTATCGATGTATGTATGTAATCTACTCTTGCATCATGCCCCTGGTGCCTCACCTTTTTTAAGTAGATGAATGCAGCACACATACGCCGAGCCGAATGGTGAACACAGCTACCTAGTTAAAGGCTTTCTTCCAATCCTAGGAAACCAACGACGCACTTCTGGCCGCTGAACGCTTGAGAATCCAAACGCAGCATCATATATCAGGTGTTCTTGTATTCATGTATGGTGTACTTGTAGTGATTCATCATCGTCATCGTCATCGTAAGTCATTAGAACTGTATAAGTAGCATCCCCATTTGCTCCAACACATGATGAAAGGCATCCGGGCAACTTTTCCCACGTTCGAAGAGGGGAAGTTCTTCTTCAGAGACAGAAATAGGCACCTCTCGCCCTCCCCACATTGAGCTGTCAACAACGGCTATCTAAATGAACCAGTTGGATCCCAGCCACACAAGGACGGCCGCCTGATCGGTGGGGAATAAGTAGAAGAAAACAAGAGCAGAAGTGTCATATTCGTTTCCGATTCCGATGACACGATACGAGCAGCCAGCTCGGTGCCCGCAGAAGAGAGAGGATTAGAATAAAAGTAGTCATGAGAAGGGGATCTAAAAGAAACAGCCCTACACATCTGCCACCTGGATCAATATCTCCAATCCATGCAACGTCTTCTTTTGGCATGGCACCGGGTGGCAAGCAAGAGTTGCCTCCAGAAGTTTTGTTGCCGAACTCGTCCGTGGTGCCCGTCTCTCGTGTCCGGCTGGTCCTGTGATTCCCAGCAGGGTGGAATGTAGGCGACAGTGGCCTAGGTCATCAAAGTCTTTCTCTCAAGAAGCAAAGTATACTAAAGCCAAGGTCCAAGGTCAAAACTATGTAGCTCTGAACGGACGGCCAACCCAAGAGGACCAGGCCTAAGTAACCATCCTGGCGCGAGGGAAAAAAGAGAGATAGTCGTTAAATGCTGAAACTTTGTCTAGATTTGTCATAACGGTCGTTCAATCATGTCGTGTCGAGATGCAGGAAAACAGAGAAGAAAAAGAATGCTTTTCCCAGAGCAAAGAGAAAGTCATGACTTCGTTCAATCCCGTTCTCCGGTATGCTTGAGCCTGGAGTAGGGTTGATTGCCACCAAGGGTATAGTCCGCGGCTTGTCTCTCTCGCCACGTCGCTGTGAAGCCTTCCCAGAATTTTATATCAGAAAAGAAAAGGTCCGATGTTCGCTGCTGGTTTTCCGTTCCACGGTCCGTGGGAATGTGCAGGGGTCAAGATCCGGAGGGGCGGCTTGCCCTTTTGTCGCACAGAAAGTGCGGCTCTTCCCTGGTTTCATTCCAATGAGGCGGTTGAGCTGCTGCTGGAGTGGTTGCCAGATCTGCGGCTGTGTCCGTGATTGGAGGAAGACGTGTGGCGGCTGCCTTTACGAGACTTGCGGCTACTTTCGTCTGCAGGTAGACCCTGGACGATGCCATTGCGGGCGAGCATGCCCCCATTGACCGAGAAGTTCCGGCAGACCATAAAGGCGCGCATGGCCGCATTCTCTTGGGCAAGCTTGCCCGATTCATATGCGAGATCCGTCTGGTACTCGCGGCCATTGACCAGGACCAGGCAGGTATAGCCATTGGCGTCCCGGTAGCACTCATACATGGGGTCATGCCATCCGCGTCGCCGGCAGAGACCTGCAAGGCATCCTCAGTTAGCCCTTGGATCCCGGTTACCGGCCAATTGCGTGCCAGTTGGGTATCCCTGCGCTGCACAAGACTCAGGGGGTTGATGGTGAAGGGGGGTTGCAAGACTTGGACGGCGCGAAGCAAATCTGCATGGCAGCCCGACATAAACGCTCCTCAGCCCTACAACGTGCATGGAACGGACAGAGGAGGGAGAAACAAGATCAACAAGTAACAGGGCTTAGGGTTGTGGTGGTCAGGGGTTCCAACATCGAAAGCAGGAGCAGCAGGAGCTAGCTCTCTGTCTTGGATATGTGGTGCGGGGGTCAGGCACCGATGAGGTGTACGGATGGCATCCTTCTCAGCGGCGCCCCACCATAATAGGGATGACGTGTGATCAAAGCCGGCGAAGACGCCAGGGACAAGCGATATAACCCCCAAATATAAGTCAATTGAGGACTTACTCTCTAGATACTGAATGTAGAAGCCGCCCATTGTGCCAATTGCTTCCAATGGGTGCGCTGTGACTTGTAGGACCGGGAAACGGATCTGAAAGGGGCAAGCCTGGCGGGCCGAGGCAAACAAAACAAAATAGAAAAACCGTTGGACGCCAGAAACAGAACAAGCCGCGGGTCGAGATCCGGGACTCCGTACGATGCGATGCAATCGAGCCCAACCAAGTGGGCAATGGGGTATAGAAAGCACACAAGGCAAAAAAGTAAGGGGCAACGCCCGGGGCGAAAGTGCTTGTCCCACGGACGGGATGGAGGTGCGAGTGAGGCGGTTGTAGAAGTCAAGGCTGATGATGTGCTACGTATCCAAGGCTCGGACGCAGGGAAGGGAGGTTCCTGGGCCAGCACCAGCGAGACATGTGTGCTTTATTGCAGTGATGGGGAGCGTGGATGCGGGGCAAGTGATGGCGAATGTCCAGATACAGACGGATGCAACAGGGAATGACGGCAAGCAAGACGGAGACGAAAGAAGGGTTCATCAGATGCAAGTCGACTGAGAGATGCGGCTCAAAGTGTGACCCATCTTGATGCTTGATGTGTTGGCGCGTGTCGTTGCCATTGATACGACTGCTGGGGCCGGGCCAACTCCACACCAACCCATGAGGGATGCATCGTCTTGGAAGAGAGCTCTCCTTTGATAAGTCCGGTCAGGGAAGGACAAGGGCCCCAGCACCACGGTGCTGTACTTGTTCGTGGTGTATGTACCTGCCGCGCCTGGTCCTCCCGCAGCCCGGAAGAACGCTTCTTGCTGTCCACAACCCCCCTCGCAATCCGTCCTCTGTTTGGGACTGCGAGGGGCATTACGTGGGTAAAAAGGCTGTAGAATATGCAGCCCTGGGCGTAATGAGGTGGCAAAAATGGGCTAGGTGAAGCCAATGTGCTTACGAGCTTTAGGAAAACCGAGAGGGGGAAAGGAGACTGAGAGAAAATTGAATACATAATGACCCGGCAGCCTTTGTTGTTGTGCTGACAAGCTTGGCCCGGTCAGAACCCGTTTTCTGGTAGTCTCGAGAAGGAGAGGAAGGGATTGCCTGGTTCGCAAAACAAGAACCTGGAAGTAGACGACAGGCTGGGGAGAGAGACGGGGGACAACACTCCTCCGAGATTCATCTGGCGGCCACTAATGCAGCTGCAGCATATCGACCAGATGTAGTTTTGTACCGCTTGGTACAAAGAGGAACCGTGGCATCCACAACGGCATTGCCCGGGGAGTACATGATTCCGCAGCCAAGTGTCGCCGTGGGTTGACAATAACAAGCATGTAAGTAACGGATGGCGAGCACTAGAGCAACGCCGCCCGAGTACGTAGGTTGCATTTGAGCCAGGCGGGAGCAGGACAAAGTCGGTTGCCCCAAAAAGCTAGCGAGGTAGCGAAGACGCAGGTCTCCAAATCATTGCTGCAAACATGGGAAGTTCGGAGACGCATTTGTGGGCCATGCCCCGCGGGGATCAAGGGCGATTCGTCTGTCACTATCGTGTTCCTGTCACCGCCGACAACCGAGAAGTGGTTCTGGAAACCTTTTTTAGTCTTGGTATGCGACTCTTGGGTTGAGCGAATCAGGGGCGAGCAATTGATTCTCTCGGGACAGGAGGATGACACTTGACAAAAAGAACAACTGGCGCTTGGTCGGGATCACGAGCCCATTGGAGAGGCCAGCGGCTGTGATTCGTCTCGATGGCGACTCTTGACCCCCCGATCTCCCACTCGCCCTGAGCGGTGGTGAACATGGAAGACCCGAACGGCGAGTTGCCAGACGTGGAGAATGGCTGGCTGGCCTGAGGCACGCGAAGGTCGGTGAGGAGAGCGATGAGGTGCATGAACAGTGCTGTGGCTGGGGCCGGCAAACCCTTGCATGCCCTGCATCAGACCCTTACCTCGAGCGGCATCTCTGAATGGAGGATAGGAGCGCAAGGCAGCTACTGTTAGACACAAGCCGACCTTAACGCTCATGCAATGATGAGTTGGCACTGCTGCTTGATATTAAACAAGAACCCAAGTATGGGTCGGTGGCGTGGAGAGGGGAATGCATGGCGAATAGACTCTGGCGAATGCTTGCATGTATGTACAAAGTACATGTAAGAGAGCCACAACATGACCCGCAATCGGCCTCGGACCCTAGAAGGCTAATAAAGAGAATGAGGGCGGAGGGGTAAGGCTAGGCTGGTGATTGAGATCTCTTGTGGGATGCTTCTGGTGAGGCCATTTGTCCAGACGGTGGCCATGACCGACTTTGGGAATTGGCATTCGAATTCCACGAAAAAAGACAATTGTGGGCGTCACGGGATTTGGCGGGCTAAAACAACCCCATGGAAGGGCTAGCCAAGAAGAGAAAGAACAGCTGGGGGGGCCAGCAGCAGGAGCAAGAGTCAAGATAACATCTCGCTTGAGCAACAGGCAAGAACAAGCCAAAGTTCCGCAGCACAAAGGCCGAATTTGGGAATTCGAAAACCTTCCATGTCGAGGGCGGGTAATGCAGCGGCGAGTGTGTGCGCCCCGAGTGGTTGGGAACGGAGGGTCACTTAGTATTTCGTACAGCAAAGTCACAAACAGGAGAGTTCTGGGTCCAGGGAGCCATCCAATCCCACGGATACTTTGCACTTCCACGAGTGCAGAAGGCCAACCGTCGGCGATGTGTGGTGGCTCAACCGAAGCACCTACACTACAAACAACTTCAGAGCCACTAACACGGGGCCACGAGGAGACCTCGCACCAAGCTAGTTCACAACGGCCGTTTAATTCGCAGCCTCTCGGTTCTTGCATCATCGATATGACAGCATCAAATAACACACAGGCATTGCTTACATGATGGGAATATTGCACGGAATACAGAGCGAACTACCCCAGCGATACTCACGTCAGACCACAATGGTTCCGGTTGAGAGAGTACGGCACTTCTTCGGCTCCGGTGCCCGCTCCGAAATTTCAACGGCCGGGCTCGGGATCGACGGATTTGGGACTTTTTCTCCATAAGCTAAAGAGCAGGAGGGGTCCCATTTGCCCCGCAGCAGGGTTACACGGGCCGTGTCGAAGGGAGAAAGGGGAAAAAATGTTTGAGGGGCGAACCCAACCCCTCAACGCAACGTCACTCTGCTGGCCTCCCTTTTTTGTCTTCTGGAGCACCGTGTAACCGTTGACAAAGTTACACATCTCCCACAAAGTACAGTACCTATAGCGACGAAGTACGGTAGGCTCAACCGCCAGATCCTTCAGTTGACTCTGCGACTGGATAATTTATAGGACACAACCGAGGAGGTCAGGGAGCAAGTACATACATACATACATGTAACCGCGGGTTTGGCGGCTAGGACCGCACGCGTCGCCGCACCTTCAGTTCCTCTGTTCGATAATCCCTCCTCATTGAAAGCATGTGCATATGTACAATGCTCTGTAAGTGCATACATAACTTGGTCCTGTTTCCAAGTTCCCTCACGTAATCCATAAAAGAATTACACAACAGCAATTGTACCGCCCAGATGCACGTAAAAGGCCTCTGTGATGCAACCTTCTCATTTCGATGCCCTCGGCACCACTCACTGATTGCCGTCATCCGGATACCGCCCCTAGGCCCATCATCAGGCCCATTACCGCGGCCATGTTTACACTTTCGGAGCGCTCCGGAAGCACCTGGGTCCGATGGATGAAACGAAAGAGGACAATCGAGAAGAGCAAGAAGCCGCAACATTAGCGAAGGGCGTGTTGTTTGTGCCATATACGCGGACATCAAAGCTCAGGTAGCTCGCGAACCATTCCCTCGAACAAGATAAGGCGACTGTGGGCAGCTCAAAAGGTGCTCGATATCTTCTCTCTGCGGCCAGCTTCCAACCGAATCAGCTTCCGAGCTAGGCGCCGTTAAGAAGCAATGATCCCCCACGCCAGAGGAAGGCGCCTATGCTGTATAACTAACAGGGAAGCATGACCCCGTCCGGATAATCGCGACTATGGCGGCGGGCGCGTCATAACAGTCCGGCCGTCTAATTGGGACCGGATTGGCGGGTTTTCCGCCGGCCATGAGCGGGAAGAAAATGGGAGATAGAGCAGCAAGTCGAACGAAGACGTGTATGCTTGGCGAGGCATCCGTCCAGCTGTACTCCGTACGCCTTCGTCGTGCATGAAAGGCAAGATGGGACCAGGCACGCCAGTCCGTTGGGGGCGCCATATCCACGATCCCGCCTCCCTCTTTCTCCCATTCTCCCCCTACCCACTCACCCGCCTTCGCTGCCCTCGCATCCTCGGACGGACACTAAGATGACAAGCATATCATGTGGCGAGCGGGTACCCGGTATATGCAGTCAGCCACCGCTTGGTTTGATTTCCTTGCCTCCCTCCCAGCTTTTGCCCCCCAGGCATATGTGATTCAGCGAGTAGGAAGTGGAACTGATGGAATCATCCGATGAGAGGGGGGCCGAGATGCGTGTACTGTAGACAGACGTTGGAGATACTGAGATGCACCTGGGTCGCCCATTCAGGCCAGCTTAACCTGCTAGCCGCTCGCCCTGCATGTTAGACCTATGTGTATGATGAAGTGTACTATATTCGCAAAAAGGACACCCATCCTTCATTCAGTGAGCATCTCCCCACGTGCCCATCCGTGTGACGATCGTCCAACCTACAATACGTCATGCTCACTGCAGCCTTTGGGCTTCTGAGAAGGTTCTGTTGATGTAGATCCACTTCAATCCATCATCAGTTTGCTTCTTTGCATATCTGTCGGGCTGGCTGAATCCAATCATTCAACAGCCCCCTTTAGAAACCTTGCTTGGCCCTAAAGTAGTCCTTGATGGCTCGCGCGTTTTGCTGGGGTATGGCATAGACCGGGTGAATCGGTCGGACGAGGTCCCTGCGGTCAAAGATCTGCTCGAGATGCGGTAGCACGGCCCACACTGGGTCTGCTGTTGCCGAAATCTCCTCTGCCGCTGTAGGCTCCTCAAGATCCCAGTCATGCTGGGCTGAGCTCAGGCCGGCAAGGACGTAGCATGAGTGGTATGCATCCGCCATTCTGGTTGAGTGGGCGGGATCCAATGAGCTACATGAGCGAAACACACAGAACTTGTGGATGGCGATGAATGGAAGCAGGGAGGGGTTGGCGAGGGCGTGCGAGAAAGGAAGGTTGTGGGAGAGACGACTTACTTGCCCGGTTTATCGCGTAGACCGCCCCTTTCGGATTGATCCTGGCAACAACAAAGAATATACCGCATCAAGCCTTCCCGGCTGAATAGGGTTTCTGGAGCTGGGGGAAGCGTGCAGCTGGCGCCCGTGCCGGCCGCGTTGTATGCGGCCTCGGTCCCGTCGTTGCCACTGGCGATGTTGTTAAGGCATGCTTGGATCAGGGGAAAGCATCCGCCAACCCAGTGGCTGTAGCAACCGTCAACCAGCTTGTTGGTGCGTCCGGAGAATCCGCCTTCCGGTGCGTATTGCCGTGACGACAGCCAGGCTACGAGTCGTGGGATGTCCAGATATCTGTGCATCTTGTCAGTGTACAGTATCTCCTGCCACGACATGTCCCGATGCTGCGCACCTCTGGAATATGCGGCCAGGATGGTCCAGCAGGGCCAGGCAGCCAAGAGCGCAGAATGCGTACGCCCCATGGGCCTCGGCGTTTGGCTGGCCGGAGATTCCGCCCTCAAAAGTTTGGCCTACTCGGTTAGCGGCGACCTAATAATTCCGTGTATTGATTTGTCCCGCTTACATCGTCGAACATACTCTGCCACTCCCGTGAGGAGGTCTGAACTGCCGTCCTCGGTCCATGCTGGGGACTCGGGAGCTAAATTCAGCGGGAGCTGTAGCAGACTGATAATCACAGATGCGCAATATGCACCCCTTTCCACGGATAGTCAGCTCAAACTAGCCTTCTATCTAAGAAGCACGCTCGTCGCCGCTGGTACTCAACCTACCTAATGTCTTCCTCGCCGCCCAGGCAAACTTGGAATCCGCCGTCCGGCTGCTTCAAACTGGATAGCCACCTCCACATTGCCCGACGGTCGATCACCTCAAAGGCTTTCTCCCCGCCTACCAAGGCCAGCGCCAACACAACGGCATATGTGGTAGCCATGTGCGAGAGCTGACCGTTGCCCCCGCCGAAACCTCCGGTGTCGTTCTGCATAGAGCGCGCAGTTTCGATGACCGCCTCCTGGTAGGACGACACATCCTCACCCAACATAGTCAGTGCGGCAAGACACCAGTAGAGGAACCATGGCCTGCTCGAGTCGGCGGCCACAAAGCGGCCAGGCAACTTTGCCAGATTTTTGTGCAGGAACTTGACATGGCGTGCCCTGTCGAGCCGCGGAAGTCCGTGTTCGTTGTACTCGGCAAGCTCATCCTCCCCACTCAAGAGGGGCAGGCATTTGCCGACGGTGTCGTCCTGGAGCTGCGATGTCTGGGTAGCCAGGGAGTCCCTGACGGGCGGGAGCTGTGTGAAAATATCTGGAATCATGAGAAGTGTGTTCTTCCGTTGGATGACTATCTCCTCGTCAACAGTTTCGCTGTCCAGGTCGGATTGCGCCGATGCTGATGATGGAACCAGTTGCGGATTCGACATCCTCTTCCACCTGAAGGCCACGCGCTTTTGGTGCCTAGGCGTCTTTGTTCTAATCGGCATTAATAACGCGAGCCACTAGGCGGGATGGCACAGGTAAAGGAACAATACTTGGAATTCCTTGCTCTCTTAACATTGTTCTCTAATGCCCTAAACGGAAGCTTTGATGTTTGCAGCTTTGAACGCGATCCCTATTGGGCTACAGGAAGCTGGAGTCGCATGGCGGCCAGATGCCAAGAAATGAAATGCACAAAAGCAAAAGCGGGTCCTTTTACTCACCTGATGAATAATGAATTTGCTAATTCTTTTGTGATCCCCCTTTTCTCCCTTTTTGCAACCTGTTGTTATGTTCAAGGGAAGGAGCCTGATAGGGCTGGACTGTACTTGTACGGTACTTTCCCATTTTTGAACGCTTTTTGGGCTGATCACGTCACGGTATACGGAGGTTGGGGCCAAAAGTCATCACCCGGTTCTATTACAGTCAAACCTGCAAATAACGATTGAGTCTGTCATAGCGAATCTGACCGTTATTCCCAGGTTATCGTTAAACCCAGGATGACCCACTATTACCTATAATGGAAGGTTAGGGGCTCTCATTCGCTCACTGAAGTTCAGATACAGCTAAATTGCTTGATTTCACTGCTTCCCTGGCGTTGAGGATGGCTGGAAATACTGATCCAACCAGGTCTAACTAACTGAAGCTTTGGCCCGTAGGAATAGGGGTGGAAAATGTACCCAAATTTTGGGGGGAATGGGGGTCCCAGGTCGCCTAGCAGTGCTGAAAATAACATATTTCAGTATTAGTAAGCCCATTTGTGTGTATTACTAAGCAAAAATCAATCGTTATACCGTATTAGCCAGCGAATATCGGTTTCCTATACATTTTACGATGGGCACGCGATAGTCTAACGCTATTTGGAGGATATCGTTATTTCTCGAATCGTTACCGTATATTCCTGGGAAATCCACCCACCGCTACTGCGCGTACCTAGGTCAACCGACCAATCCTGGGCGACCGGCTTGCAGTGGGTTTGCAGTAGATTCAAACCTTACAGTCAGGATGCCAACTGGAAGAAGGTTTGAAAGATGGGTTGAAGTGGGTAGAATATGCGATAAGATACGTTGCCTGGCTTAGGCGAGGCAGTAGCGGTAGGTGGATTTCCCAGGGATATATGGTATTTGCAGGTTTGACTGTAGCACGAGGGCCGCCAACGTGTGAATAGCTTGAAAGCATGCGACCGCACTGTATTTTCGTTGGGTTTAGCGGCTGCTCGCTAATTCCGCTGATTGGCTACCGTACATGAAGCCCTGCGAAACGGGAGCCATGCACTATTCCTACAGTGGCTAGTGGTACGTGGCTGGCTTGGACTGTGCGAGCTTTACTGTATAAACATCTTCAAGTTGGCAGTCTTGGCCAACAGAACCGGGTGATGACTTTTGGCCCCAACCTCCGTATACGCAGACAGGCAGACAGGCTGAAGCCGCTACGGCTTCGATGCACGCCGGCCTTTGTCAACGGACAACGCCACGCCGGATTTCCATACCCCGTCATTCTTCTCCATCCACCACGGACCTATGTACGCACTTTATCGGGCCGGCTCGGCCGGTGGACTCTTCGGCCCCCTTTGAGCCGGATACGTCGTACTGTTTGGCCGAGTCGCGCTGCTTGGACGCCAGAGACTTGTGTGGCTCGGGGCTCCGCAGAGCCTCTTCTCCATTGCGCTCCCTCCCCAGAATCGTCGTGGATTTCGTGAGACCCTTACGGATTGCCTTAGAGAGCGTCTTGTGGGGTACGGAGAGACGGGCAGCTTGCAGACTGGAAGGTGCAACAGATTATAACAGTATGGGGGCAGAAGGGATCTCGTAGTGATGCAGACATGGTGTCTGATATCTTTCCTTGCATTCTCACCTTGAACTATATTGGGTCCCCCGCTGTCACTATCGAAGCAGACCGGCCGCCAACCTCGGCAAGGTACGACACCAGCAGATGATATCGGAGGCATTCTCTCAACCGCTCCGATCCAAACGCAACTACTCGGCAGCTGCTAGCCTAGACTACCCAAGCGGCGAGGGATTTCCGTTTTAAAGGAGGTGAGACCTGTGTCCTGTCTGGTTCGCAAACGGTGTTTGTGGGCTTTGTGGGCAGACCCTAATCCTATCGGCAATCGCTTACTACTCCGTGCCCCGGGATGGATTCAAGCCTCCAAGTTTTCAATCCTGTCTCTGCGCGCTGGCCGGTCTAGCCCGTTGAGATGGTCCAAGGAAAGGAGCATGGTTGCTACAATGCACGTACTCCGTACAACAAATCACCACTGCCTATGTAGATCCTCGCCTCCCGTCTAATAAATAAGTAAGGGCTTGCTTGTTGAGCGCTTGCTCTCTTTGGCGTACGGTGGGCTTTTGCGATGGTTCCTGCTTCTCCGCTTCGACGGAACTCAAGGTTCGGAACCCTTGAAATCTTCAGGACATGGCGTCTCTCCCAGGAAGCTTTGCCTAAGTATTTGATCCTGCTGATGACTGAGACCTGTGAACACCTCCGTTGCATTTCTCTGATCAGTTCTCAACACGATGTGCGAAGTATAAGGTAGTTATGTAACTAATGTTGCTAGCCAGCGGTAGATTGCAGGTTGACCCCCTCATCCTGTGGGTTCAGGGACCAGGGACGACTCAAGGGACACAGCCTAGAATCTAGAGATCTGATAAGCGAGCAGAATGTGTCCGGCATAGTGCAGATCAAGCTCTATCTGCACGGTGATGGGAACTTGCTTTCGTATCTCTCAGAGAGCCGATGAGCTCGGTTGAATGCAACTCCCGGGAAGGGAACTGTTGCGCCGTCGTGATGCAGCACAAGCAACCCAAACACATAAACGTATGTACTCCATACGGAATGCATAATTAGATAAGGTAGTACTTCTGTACTACGATAACCTCCCGCTTTCCAGCATGCAATTGCGGACACCCCTTAACATTGCCGGCACTTCGCCGAATGGGGTTTGCTTGGCATATGGTTCCCGTTTAAAAGTTGTACTGGCACAACAGAGTCTAGAGGGCTCTGTCTGAAGCCGCTGAAGTCAAGTTTTGGGAGTTTCCTAGAGTGCCTTGTTTCCAAATTCATTAAGATGGCTAAGAAAGGCGCTCAAGCTCACAGATTTTGATGCTTCTCTGAGCTTCAGCCACAACCTCTCCAACCCGACGTGGGCGAAGCGGAAACCTGCATGTCCGAAACTCATATCACAGCACAACGGCAGGGACAGTTCAACCGCCCGATTCGCCCTTCTCAGTGTTGATTCGGCAGAAGCCGAGGCGTCGCACAAGACGGTGTCCACGGCAAGGGCTCTGCTGCATTTTGCCACCAAAAAGAGAGTGAATCCCCTCAGTTCAGACTCTCACCTTCGCTCGTCTTGCGATGCGATCTTGCCTGCTTCCTCGCTTCCAGGAATGAATACCTTGATCTTCAGCCCCAGATCTGCACAACATCCACTGCAGCATTAGATGGCCTGACGCTAACAGGCCAAATTCTGAAGCTGCCCCATCTCAAACCTACACTAGTTTATGTCAGCTATTAGTCTTCAAGTTTTCGATGTTTTCACCTGACTTCGTCCCCCAAGTGGAGGATCTTACTTAAAGGAACTAGCCAAACCTGGGAATTGGTTATAGATCTAGGCCACGGACTTGGGGCAGAGGCTACTCGCTCTCCACTCACTCAAAGACGGCCAGTGCAGTGGCTGGCTGGCTGGCTCTTTGCACAACGCTTTGCTTTCGGCGGCAGGCTCAGCCTCCATGTCAATTGGCTTCGCGATGCAATGCAATGCATAATGTTAACGTCCATTGACTACCGTTAAGTAACTACACGTGTAGTGTCACTGACAAGAGAGGCTGGAAAACCAGGCGGGATCGGGAGGTTTTAACGCACAGTGCGGCGGGGCTGGATGACGATCCCTAGCAGCTGCCGTCCATCCACTAGGGCCAGATTTAGCGGCCCCTGATTGGCTGCTGGAGCACCATGCAGCCCTCCACTGCTTGCCCTTCCCGTTGGCCAAGAACCCAATCAGCGATGGGCGCGGAACAGGGTTTAGATGCACTCTCACCGCTTCTTCAACCGACAGGAGCGAGTTGCGTGAGAAGCGGCAGCTGGGGCGGGGGAAAAGGTGCGCTCCACGCCTCCACCTCGCCCCGTCCAACTAACGATCTCCTCTCCCAGGTCCGCCCTCGACCACAAGCAGCAGCGTTTTCTCACGCTCCCTGACGCATGCCCGAAAGGGTTCCCTTCCGCACCCTTTCCCCAGATCCCCAGACTGCCCTTCCAGCCTCTTTTCCAACCAAGACAGCCGCAGAACGAAGGCGCTGGGTTCGTCCTCTCGGCAACTTCCTCCCTTTTCCCATCCTCGACGCGAGTCCGTCCAAACAAGACAGAGCGCTTGACGCCTGTCAGGGGAAGCCAGGGAACCACTCCTGAGTCTTGACCGACTCGACGTCTAAGAAAAGAGCGGTGTCGGCGCCCCCCTCCCATCGATCCTGGCTGGCGCCTCAATACTCCCGACTATCCTCCAATCCCTTTCCCTCTTGATCTCCCCTTCCTGGTTTTGGCAAGATGACCTACGACTTCAACGCCTCTGGAGGGGAAGCCGCACTGTTGGAGCACTTGGTATACGATCACCGCGACCGCTACTCGTATCCAGCCGTGACGTCCGCCGCCCCGTCCCAGGATCTCACCTCAACCGCCCTGGCCACCATGTCGCAGGCGAGCCGCCTGAGTTTGAGCCCCGGGACGACCTGGCTGCCGCTTGACCTGACGGGCACCGGAAGTGCGCCGGTATCGATTCACTCGCCCAACTCTGCCAGCGCGACTGCCTCTTCTCCGGATGACCAGAGCGCCCACTCTCCGGGCCACCAAAGCACCATGTCGAGCCCTCTCCAGCAACAACAACACTCGCCATACCAGCCCGCTACTCATTCGAACCCCTCGGGCATTATTCCGGACTGGTCCCTTCCCTTGCAGGCCCACCAACAGTCGGCTGCTGAACTTTCTCAGTTCATCCAGGACTCAGCCTTGATGGCCTTCAACCCGTTCACCTCCAATTTCCAGCCTGCTCCGCTTGATTACCTTCCGGCAACCACCCAGGCCTCATTGGGGGGTGGCCTGCAGCTGGAGCAGACCTTCAACGCAATGTCTCCGGTTGATGGAGCTTCGCGGGTTATGCCGTGGGGGACAGGCATGGCGAACTGGCAGGACTTTGATACTACCATCAATTTCCATCCCGATGGGTTGCCCCGCGTCAGGAGTCTCGGGAGTCATTCCCCTACCGGCACCTATTTGGAGGTGTTGTCTCTGGGCTCGAGCAGTGACAATGGTTGGACAAGCGTAGATGTGTATCCCAATTGCGACACATTTCAGCGGTCGCAGCACTCGCAAAACGCGGCCATCTTCAACCCCAGCCAAACGCTCCACTTGAGGAGTAATTCTGACTCGACTTCTGACAGCAACTCTCTGGAATTTGGCAGCTATGAGGAGGTCAATTTCCCTTACTCTCCTTTCTCACCAGATTCCGACACATTTGTGGATCACTCCAGCAATCATCGCAACTGCTTGCCCGGGGAGCACCATCATCCGGCTTCCTCGGACCTCGTCAGCCCGTCTTCTGCGGTCGCTCCCGTGCCCATAACCACTGTGTCGACCACGAACAGGCCCGTCGCCGCAAGCGGCTCCAGCGGTTCTGGATCAGCTTCTCCCCCAGCAAGACGGAACTCGGGTACGCGCAAAAGCCCCATCGCCAAGGCCACAAAACCCGTCATCAGGAGGACCTCGTCAGGGAAGAAGGACGGCAACGGCGAAAAGAAGGTGGGCAGGCGCAGAGGCCCTTTGCTTCCTGAACAACGAAAGCAAGCCAGTGAGATCCGAAAGCTGCGGGCCTGTCTCCGCTGCAAGTTCCTCAAGAAGACCTGCGACAAGGGTGAGCCTTGTGCCGGCTGCCAGCCTTCTCATGCTCGTCTCTGGCAGGTTCCTTGCACTCGGATTGACATCAAGGACATTGGCTATTTCATGAAGGACTGGAAGGCTGACTACGAGCGACACCTTGATCTCGGCAAGTCCGTGTTCAACGTGAAGGGATTCGCACAGAAGGAGACGTTGATGTGGATCACACACGGCTACGGTTTCTGCCTGCCTGTTATGGTCCGAGAAGTCTTCGTGGCGGATGATAGCTGTTTCCAGGTCGACTGGGTCGAGTCGACATTGCAGGACCAGGACCCTATTGATTTTGAAATCCGGACCGAGCGCCTTGACGTCGGCCAAGAGGGCATCTCGATGGAAGCGTTGTCCGAGTATCTCGACAAGCACATCGACGAGGGGTTCGAAAGATTTATCGACGACCACTTTGAAGGAACGCCCTTCATCACCGAGATCTTCAAGACAGCATACCGGTTCTACACCAAGGAGAGGCTACCGGTCATCCGTAAGGCCCTGAAGCTGGTTGTGGCCTACAATCTCACGCTGCACATCACCATGGTCGAGCAGCCACCAACAGAGGAGCCGATGGAAGGCCAGATTGACGACGAGGATTCCAAGTACTACGGCAAGGTTATCGCCCCTGTCATGATCAACTTCCAGATCAAGTGCGCCATGGCGGATATGTGGCGTGAGCTCCAAAAAGACATTCTGGAGGAGCTCTCGGCTCTCTACTCGAGTGTCTACAGCGGAGAGCGACTGAAGAACTGGCCCACCATCTTCATGCTTGCCTCCATACTCCTTGCTGTTTGGGAGGAGATTCAGTTCGACTGCCACTACCGCGTTCCCGACCCGGTCGCTGTCGAGAAATTCTGCAACGATATGGAAACGGTGCCTGTGGGTGTCATTGTTGGTCTATTCCATGCCATTTCACAGAAGCTGCCCTCTTTCACCGAGTGGGATACCCGGAGACACGGCCAGCTTCTGAACAACAACCCAGCGGTGTGCGAGGCCATGACCGAAGTACGGCAACATGTCATCAAGCATGGTTAGTATTGTTACCTCCGTTTCTGTCGGACATGTAGTAACCCATGACTGCAGAGGCCTACTTGAAGACGCGTGCGGATACGAAGTTTGACCGATATGACTTTGATTCTCTATCAAACAAGCTGTTGTCCAAGCTGGTCATCCGGGCTAACTAGGGACTGCATCTCCACTGCAGCATCGTGCCGCATTCCGGCGCTGAGGCCGTTGATCGTACAATTCCATTACGCCCCAATGGCTATGGGCTTATTTTCTTGTCGTTTTTCTTCTTCTTTTCCATATGTTCTTTGCTCCCGGCCTGCTGCTGAGCGACGGCGTTGCGTTCTTGCAATTGTGTTGTTTTGTTGTTCTATCACAAGCACTCGCTATCTTTCCTCTTCTCTACTCTCACTCAGGGCTGGCCATCGCCATGCCGCTACGGAAATGACTGACGTCCATCATGACGGGAAGACATTGACTTATGACCACATATTATTATTTTTGTTTACGATTTCTCAGGTTCATCAAAAAGCAACACCCGACGATCTGTATGACGGAATCGGCACCCCCACCCACGCTTCAGCTCGTGGAGCCGTGATCAAAATCATGAGTCGCATGGGGAGAAATGACGAAAATGCTCTTGACGATTTATTCGCAGTTGGCACGAAGAAACAAACGAACAGAGCATATAGAAAACCTGTGCATGGGATTGGCGTTTGTTGATAGGCCTGCCCTGCAGACCTTCAAAGACACGACTATGTTTGCTAGTATCAGATGTGAGGGATTTGGGAGGAAAGCAGTGGGATTCAAATACATGCGAGTTGAAATGTAGTAATTGGATTGGTACTCGAAGTAATTATTGGACAATCAGCACATATGTTATCGCAGCGTCACACTCTTAATGACTGGCGCCGAAAAAGCTTCCATTGTTGTCAGTCCTTTTCCCTTACCACGGAGTGGTTGAGACGCCGCGATACCTTTGTGTATGCATACAGTACACACCTAACCTATGGTCAGTACGCCTACCTTAGCTATTGCGTCTTCGGCGGCTCCGATAAGCTCTACATACTTTGCACTCCCACAGGAACAAGCCATCCGAAAACTGACCTGAGCCATGCCTCGAAAAAAAGGGTTGATTACAGAACTGAGGAACGGAAACTGTGCTCAAGCTTCCATAATGGTGACTGGTGGAATCACATCCGACCACACCCTCTTCCTTAACCGCAAAGCGGAGCGATTATTAAGCTGCACTCAATGATCTGTGCATAATGTATCCGTAGCCGCCTGGCTGCTGGGCCTCAGCGAGAGTCTGTGATATATAATCTACCCTCGGTTTCCATTAATGGAATTGACGGGATAGGGAGTGGGTGTGCGGCAGCGTGTCGCTCGCACGGAGGGACGGGATTTATCCATGAAGGTGCCGGGACAGCTTGGGGCAGGACTCAACGGCCGGGAGAAGGATGGAGATTCCGAGAATGGAGATTCCTGGAGGGTGCCCGGGTGGTGAGTGATTGACAGGGGTATTGTGAATCGCCAGTAACCGCAAGGCAATTGACCACGAGTTGATACGGTGGTCGAGATACAGGTTGCACGACATACTATCAGGTAGTAGTATATCCGTATCCCCTTCTATAGAATAATATAGGGAACTTTACCTTGCTCGCCTTTGGTATCTAGGGATGGGAAATTTCCT